AAATTAGCGTGGTGGTACAAAGTGACCGAGAAAGTGGTGAAGTACGTCACTGCCGTTTATCATGTCATTATCAGAGTTGTCATAGTCAATTCGATATTCTTTTGATATTCAGTATTTGGGTAAATATCCGGACATCCGATTGTTCCGACACTATTTGATACTTGGCATTAACCAAGGTTCAAAATACTCCCAGATTTATGTTAGTGTCAAGTCTCATTAAGGCTATACACATATCAGCAATATTTTTAATCTCTTGCTGCTATCGTCCTAAAGGAAGAAGAGGAAGAGTGTGTGTGGGCCCCGCGGGAGGAGGGGGGGGGGGAGGAATATTTTTCTATGATTTATCAATCCTAACCTTCTAGTTTAATCCCGTCACCTCATCCCAAACCTCCTGTTGAGAGTGGTGAAAAGGAGAAAAGGTGAGACTAGTGATGAGTGTATTAGAACTTGTAAGGAAATGCTTCGCAGAGTTAAGCATGGTTGAAAGCTGCAACTGGGCCGGCTAACACACCCACTTCCCCTTTCCGCCCCCCTGACACCAAATGCAACATCTACGCAGTCCTTGGCTCACACATGTCTGCACCCCTTTTCGAAACAAGCAAGTGCGGAAAGAAAGAAAACCCCCCCATTCTCCTCCTCACAGACAAGAAAGGAGAAAAGGAGTGAAAATGAGAGAAAGAAAACCAGAAAAGCGCAAGCTTTCTATAACAGATATCGTCATATTTGACCTGTACTCGAACTCATAACTCTGTACGCCGTTCATTTCACTTTCTTCACCACATTGCATTCGATTCCGATCCACATTCTTTTGATTGACACCTCTATACCGCTCCCATCCCGATTCCGGCCCTTGGATGGGGATTTATCCTCCTGCCATGTTGAGATTGAGGAAGAATAAGGTAGAAACCTGCTTGAATTGCAACATATGGAAAGAGGCAACAAACGGCACAGGGACCAAAATGTAAACAAGAAAAAAAAAAAGAAGGGGTGGGGGGGGAATTAATTGTCTTCTTGACGTTCTTTGTGGATTTTCATCCTCTCTCTTCTAAAATGCACAAAAAGGGAAAAGAAAACGAGAAGAAAGGAGCGAACAAAAGACGATAAGTATATAAATTCGAGGAATAAACACGTAGTGCGTTCATTGTTGCGTTTGATGAGAACATATTCTATCTAGAGGAAGTAATCGGGTGTGCGGCGGGAGACCATGGGTTCGCCGGCGCGTGGGCAAGGGTCGAATTGGAGGCTGGAGAGCCGGGAAAAAGATTAAAGATAATGTGGTCAGTAAAAAGCAGGAACGGGAGCTATGGAATGGAAGGTAGAATTATGGGTAAGATCAGGCTTACAAGGTATATTTGAGAAGCTCATCGATTTCCATAATGGCAGCTTGATTTCCGCAACGATAACAGTAATTTGGAGCTGTTGATCACACGTAGGTGTATGGCAGAAAGAGTTAGTATGTAGTCCCAAGTTGCAGAACGATGGAGGACGGGGAGAGAGTTTCACCTGAGAATATCGTCACCACATTACGATCTTGCGACCAGTTATATCCCTCCATCACTAATTGATGGGCTCTTGCAACCAGAGTCAATCCGTTGTTATGATTAAACGCCTCCGAAATATCCTGCCCGAAGGTATAACCAGCACCACGCGGCGAAATCCCCCATCCACACCTATCATCTGGGTCACTCCAGAGCAAATCACACATCGGTCCTTCATGGGGCACTTCCTGGATCCGATCTAGCGAGCGAATATTGTCCAGGGTGTCGATGGACGGACTCAAACCTCCGTGGAGACAGAATATCTGGTTGTCGATGAGAGCGGTGAGGGGCAGGAAGTCAAAGAGATCAGTGAAGTATTTCCAGACATTCGCGTTACCGTATTTCCGCAGACACTCGTCGTAGAAACCGTACACTTGGGTGATCTGACGCGATTCGTGGTTGCCGCGGAGGATGGTGATACGTTGCGGATAACGGATCTTCAGAGCGACGAGGAGAGTCACGGTCTCGACGGAATAGTAACCACGGTCGACATAATCACCTTCAGGTAGTAATTGTAGGTTAGGAACCCCGATGTGAAAATGAAGAAATGAAACGCAAGCGTGCCATTCTTACCCATGAAGAGATAATTGGTATCGGGGTTGGGGCCGCCGATACGGAACAGTTCCATGAGATCATGGAACTGGCCGTGTATATCTCCGCATACCGTCACTGGGCATTTCTGTGAGAGTAATCAGATGATCAGCACACGGAACATTGCACCACTGACCACTGGTAGGATAAAAAAGCAAGCTTCGCCAGAGATAGGAAAGGCGGAGGGATACATACCACTGGCTGAACATTCGACTCCTCTTGTAGCACCTCTCTTGCCTGTTTAAATATGAGAACCCATCGTTAACTTTACCCCCATAAAGCGCACGCAAAAGCTGACGCAGATTATGGCCAGCGATCCTCTATACCCTAATACTTCTGTTCTTCTTTGAGTTCTCGCCAGAAAATATTATAGAAACTCACCCTATCGCACAGTCTCTGTACATCTTGCTCTGCCAGCTGCTTGCAGGTCATAAGGCTCTCAATCCAGCCATCCAGAGTCGGTATTGATTCCGGGTCGGACACAGGGGAAAGGTGGTGAGGTTCGGGCGATCGTCCTGAGTCGATTTCCATTTTGTTGTCCATTAGGTGAAGAAAGGGACGGGGGCGGGAAGAGACAAGGCTATGGGGGATGGAGGGGCGTAAGTTACAAGCTAGACGAGGGTGAGCGCGTGCGTGGGGAGCAAGGGGGAGAGAGGAGGGGGTAAAAACTGAGGCAATGGGTATCAACAAATGATCAAAGAGAGCCGGTCAAGTCGTAGCAATGCTTTGTTACAGAGAGAGAGAAGCGGGTAGAGGTGTAGCTGTTGAGACAGGCGTCGATAACTACGTTCTTTTGGCCTTCCTTTTGTTGTGTTGGTTAGTCAGTCGAGCCACAGTTAGAAGTGCACCAGCCACTGGAGAGTTGGCGCTGCGCCACATGTACAATCCCGAGTTATCCTGCGCAACGGCATTTAGCTAAGTTGGCAGCTTGAACATAGTTCCTAGTATTGTTTTGTTTATTGAGAGGTTCCAGACTGTGATCCTTTCACCTGTCAATTTTATATTTCTTTTACGGACAGCACATACATGGGATATACAAATTCGGCTCAAAGAGGAAGACAAATATCAGTAAAACCATTATGCATTGAGCCATCACACAGTAATGTAGCACGCTGTATCCATGCATCATATCCTTAAATAATATCGCCACCAAACGGACCTCCAAATCCCCCTCCGAACCCACCACGAGCCCCAGGAAACCCGTGGTGCCCGCGACCACGTCCCATCGGTGGTCCATCCCCTGGCCCAACAGGGTCATACCTTGCGCCAGGGGGAACTTGGGGATCGTATTCATCACCATCACCCCTACTACCCACACGCTGAAACATAGGATCGTCAAAGGTTGGATGCATGCCTCCGCCCCCGGCCCCGCCCTGCGGTCCAAAGTGAGGTATCAGTGGATCATGAGGCCCGAAACCAGGAGGGTATAGGTCCCGCTCTCCAATATTCGGTCGCCTTGGCTCGTGGCCTGTTCCCTGCGGGTGGAACCCGCGTGGAGGAACATTTATTTCGTACTCATCTTCAAAACCAGGAGGAGGGAAATCACCTGCTGGGACCGGCGGTCGACGTGGGGGGCCCGCTAGAGGATCACTTGTCGGCTGCCGTGGTTGCCGCAATGGTGGCCTTAGTTCGTGCACCTGCCCCTCTCCCTGTTGCCGTTCTCGGCTAAGGGAGGAGTCATCTTCATAGCCCTCCTTTTGCAGACCCGGCGCAAGTTTCTGGATTACATTGATTTTAAACAGAGTGATAAAATCACTAAGCCGTGACAGAGAAATAAACACTTGTTCGAGCAACTGAGTAAGTTCCTCAGTAGATTTTGTCAATGGGAGGGACGATTCGGAGACGTAGTCTTTGACCTGTATATCGAAAGATGTGGTTTTGTCATGCCCCAAGGCCAGCGCGTAGATGACTGCGTTGTCACCGAGTCGGCTGATTTTTAACAAGAACTGCATAGATGATTGTGGATGTGAATATGTGAAGGCATATGTGGAGTTCGCATTCCACTCCTTGGGTAATGGCGATGAGGGTTCCTGAGATTCTATCGCGGGCGGTTTTAATTAAGTTGGCTCCTCAGAAAGGGTGGGGGCTAAGAAGAAAAAAATGAGGGCAACAAACCTATTCTGTGACTTTCATCCAAGCCGATTAATCTGAAGGAAACAGCAGCCATACAGGCATGTCCGATCAGCGCTATGGCTTCCCAGGGATTCTTCAGTAACACGTCGGCATCATTGCCAACACTCGCCGCGGCACGACTGAGAATACTACGCGACGATAGTGCCCATTCAGCTCCGCTAGTAGTGCTGGAGGTATCCATGATAAATGACACGAATAAGATGACATTTATTGTGGAAGAGAACTTCTAAGGATGGAGTGATATAGATGAGGATCGTTTTTTGATTTATTTGTTGCTTGATCCCCCAGGTCACCACATGACGTAATAGCTGCTCTAATCCCATGCTGGTTAGTCTATTTATAGTGATGACTAATTAGGCAATCGCAGCTCCAAAAACATATGTATCTACGCTTTGAATTCACTGTCCTTTCTGAGGATCCTGGAAGGATCTCACACTCCATATACATACATGTTCGTACCTACTAGTATTGTGATAATTCATGCAATTCCCCTTCGCACCTTAAAACCCCTCATAATTGCTGATCTTATTGAGTAGATATTGCGGTCCTATGTAATGCAGATGGCCCCATTATGAACGCCCTGAGATGGTAGCGATAATTGATAATCCTGAATTTGCTTGACACGGTGGGGAACAACAATATTGATTTCTTTTGTTCCTTGAACAGTATCTGTATTCTTTGTCCGAGGAATATGCCGGTGTTTACAGCTTTTTTTCGGTACACATATGGACAATGGTCTTGTTCGTCTACAACCTGATAGACGAATACAAAACTGTCAGAAAACAATGAACCTCTCTCTTTGTTTTCAATTAAATATAGATAATATAAGTCTAGAAGTGTGGGTGTGGAAAAGCGATGTAACTGCAGAGAGTACTCTGCACGGTGTTGTCAAATTTCCAAATGACATCATCACCTCAGTCAAGAGCTGTCCGTAATTTTTAGATACAAGGTACTGTACCATACGGACAGTGGGTGATACGGAGCTTCTAAGGGATTAGGTTCAACAAGCGCCGCAGGGTCTTGGCTTGCGTCAATTTAAACGCTCCAGAAAATTCTTAGTTTGATCATGACGACATTATTGATAAACCTATATGGGTGTTGATATTGAGAATACCGAAGACTTCGTTATTGCTTTTACAGCTTGAACATGCGCTTCCTGCTCGTAAACAAGCCTTTTCTTAGGTTTCCATTGGGAGATATGTACCTCCATACAATGGTGAAGTCTCCTGGACACCCCAGCGAAACGCTAATCACACCAGCTAATTGTAGAAACGGTGTAAGATATCAAATGATACCCCGAGTTCGTAGTAAATAATGGATTAGTGTGGTGTGTTTTCCACTGCATTAAATGAAACTTGCAATGTACAGTAGATGTACAGCTTCAGCTCTCAGCCGACTTGTTCAAAAGGGTATATGCACAATAGTCCTCTGGACGAGCATTCAACTAGTATATCGAAGACACAGGGCGATTCCCTGGAATTTAGACTTTGTCTGCAGTATTGCGCTGACTCTGCTGGGGGACTGCAGTGGCGTCCCCCGCTCCTCCCTTCTCCTCGCCTCTTTGACCTCCTATCCTTCCTCCCTCCTCCTTTCCCCACCATCACAACCGCTTTCGTTCGCATGGTAAACCCGACCATCTTGGTTCCCTTGTCTTCTCTGGGATTTCTGATACACATCATTCTTTGAATGCAACAGAAAAAAACCATCTTTAACATCATCTAGATCCTTGAAATCTAGCCATCCATTATTTTCACCCACACATTAGCATCTTTCGCTATCTCCCCATATAGTCAGGCCAACTAATTCTTCAAGACAACTTACTATTGTGTGTCCACAAGTCGCTCTCATCCTGCACCTCCTCAAGGAAAGCTCCAATATATAGTGCTTTATACGTCACCTATCAGCCAACATCAATAAACGAGTTGTCTGCCAATCTATCACTTACTCGATAACTGCTCTCCGTCCCATATTTAACAAGTATTTGCCGCGTCAAAAAACCCCCATACTGCACATAGACAATAAAACCTTAGTGTCAATATGTCACAAAAACATCAAACTTCCCAACAAGACCACAGCCCGTGGAGTATCGAAGCGTACGACAAAATGGCTGGCACATCATACACTTGGCCAGGGACACCAGGTGCCAGTCCTCAAAAGCCTTCCAACGGCGACCATCAAATCCTTCCACACGATATTGCGGCAAACAGCGGCCTCGGCCAGCTGAACACTAACCCTGGCCCCTACTCCTTCAACAACCCGTCCACCTCTAACGATGATTCCACCAATGGTATGCCGGGTATCAAATGCCATAGTAACGGTAGCATGGTGGCCGCTTGTCCACATCCCGCAATGCCCAACAATGTGCATACAGAGATGCAAGGGCTTCACCATTTGCAGAATAGCCAGGGTGACATGCAGAAACTTCCGCCCATGTATCCTTCATTCGGGGTCCAACAACCGGTCAGCAACGGCAATGGGCATACGCACAGCAATAACGACATCAATAACAACGGCAACGGCAACGGCTGCAATTTCCATGGACGAACGCCCGACACTCATCACAATGAAACCTGGAATGTGCCCAGCCAAAATAACCAGAGTACTTATATGGTTGCACAACAAAATGGAACAGCTCAACTTCTTCATGAAGGGGATCCTGGAATTCCTCCCCAAATGCAGGGGAATTATCACAATGAGATGTTCCATGCACGCAACCACCCTGAACAGAATAACAACATGGTTGCATACCAGAGTGGAGAGGCTCAACGTCCCTATGAAAAGTTTCCTGAGCCTCCTCGACAATATCTGTCTCCGCCTCATCCGCATGTACAGCATCTTCCAGTAGAAAACGGGATAATTATCCCGCCCCGCCTTCAGTCCAATGATGTCCCACCAATGAATGGAGGGCATCCTATCCCTAACTCGCGAGCAACAAATAACGGCATTGGAAACCATCATCTGCACCCGCATATTGGCCAAACCTCTCCACTGCCTGATCACCGTTTCGGGTTATCCCTCTCTCAAATTCAACCTATTTTTCCTGGAGGCATGGGGACTGCACCTCGTCCACCAACCAACGGCATGTACCGAATTGACGTTTATCAACCTAACCAGAGTATATCACAGGGAAACCCAGTTACCAAAATAGGCGCGGTTAATACTCCTGCATTCGGTCAACCTTCAGTCCCTTACCACAGTGCACCAGCCTTCGATCCCGCTCTCGCTAATTTGGGTACGCCTGCATACCAGCCAGAGGTTCACGCGGGATCCCAAAACTCACAATTTCCCCCCTCTGGTGCTCATGCGCCTGGCAGCGTATTTTCCTCTGAAACCATGTCTCATTCAAATCCTTCAAATGGCGGATTTATCATGCCGCCAAAATCGAATGAAATCAGCTCTGGTGTTCAGCATCCTAACAGAATGGGTGCCGGACCTCGACCAAATGCAACTGAGCCCGATTTCCACAATGGGCAATCCCACAAGCAAGTTAACAGTGGTGTTCAGCCAGTCAATAATCAAGACATTGAAAATACGGGCAATACATACACTGGCCAGCATGCAAATCCAAGCAATCATAGTTTCCTGAATCGCGTGGCCCATAATCCGACCCCTGGTCCTTGGCCAAACGGCAATTCGGCTGCTGCGCAAATTGGCGTCCCATACCGTAGCCCATATCCGAAAATAGATACAGGGGGCAGTTGCGAGACTCATGGAATAGATACAAGAGCGCCTACAGCGCAGTGGCCAGCCTCAGTTCCAGCCCCAGCCATTCCTCTATATCAAGACGCCCCTGCACATATTCTCGACGTGCACTCTGTTCAACGTCCCAAGTTTGGGAACCCGCCAGGTCCCGATGCGCTAACTGCGGGTGCAGGAGGTACATTCACTTATCCGGCTATTTTTGGATGTCCGGCTCCAAGCCATCCTGCTCCTGCTAATTGGAACGTAAACGTGAGCGGAAACGAACACACCCATGGAAACAGACCGTCTCCAGCTCATGCTCACATTCAACAACTACCCTCCAACCCACAGAAGGAGAACGGCATGAGGTTCGTGGTGAATAATCGCGGTAACAGAAAATATGGAGCTAAGAAGCGTGGGCAACCGCGTAAACCACGGGGGGGGAAGGTTGGCACAGGGAAATCTCCTTGCCCACCCCCACCACCGGGGTTTTGGTGGAATGGAGGGTTCCAGGCCCCTATTGTGCCTGGTATAACTCCAGTCATCGGGAACATTAGTAGGGTTGGGGGTGTGCCGCCAGTCCCACTTGGCTTGCAGCCGAATGGATGCCAGATGGCACCCACATCTGTTGAAATGTCCGCGAGTGCGTCCTCAGCACTACAACAGATCAACAGCTTGGCCCCATCCGTGAACGGCAACCACGAGAATGGAATACCTACACATCCGGTCATGCCACAGGGTGGCAATAGTGGGGCGCATCCAGGCTCACCCGTTTTGAAAGAATCTGGACAACCACCCGCACCAGCTCCAACCGCAATTGGAATGCCTGTTTGTATGCCCGTAGCACCGACCCATGGTATTGGCATGGCTCCTAACGTGAAGGGAATGACGAGGGATGCCAACAATCTTCTTTTGCCTCCCGACTCATTAGACGACCTCTTAGAGCAATTTTTTGCTGGTTGGGACAGCGCCAAAAAGGAGGAGATGGAGGGGACTGAGGATCCTTTAACCTCTACTTCTTCAGGGCAGAGCATGCCATTTCATAGCACGCCTGATGCCTTGGCTAGTAGAGTGGCGGCAACAATGCAACAAGAGCAACCAGTTACTGTTTCAATGGGTGAAATTCAGGTTGATATGGATAAGGGCTTCCGTGAGCTGATGGAGCAGATTGACCATGATAATTTCCCAGGGCTTCTTGAGGAAACTTTGTCGCACACAGAGCCTAGTTCGAGCCGGCGCGACACAGTTCATCCTGATCTGGGAGAGGGGTTTTCTGAGAATTTCCGTGAGAAGACTGAGAGGGTCGGCCGTGTTAATTATAATTTACTAAGCCTCCATGGGAAAAATCAGTCCTCTATCGATTTAAGCTCAACCCAGCAGGGCACACCAAACCTTAAACCGGACATCCACTCAAGCGGCAGTGAGGGAAATAAGAGGGCGGGAGACGACGGGAACGAAAAAGTTCAGGAGCCGGAGGATCCGTCGATGTCATCGACAAGGAATTGATGGTCGTGCAATAGCGTACAACGCTGGCTGATGAAACCAAGGAACAAGCAACCGACTGGATGGCTAGTATTCCTTCATTTTTCTTCTCATTCCCTCCCCACTGTACATGTACGTTAATAGCGAACGTGGAAAATCCGTCTCTGACTTAAAAGGGAGAAAATATAGATTTTTGTCGGCCATGTCATCGAGAATTCAAAATTGATCTCGCGCGAACGAAATATAAAGGGTAAAAAAATGAACAAAAAGCAAAAATGTTTTCAAAAAAAATAAAGGAAAGAAAAGAAAGAGAACAAATGAAAACAGAACAGAAGAAGAGAAGAAGATAAGAGAAGACAAATATATACTAGGACCAGCTGATTTTGTGTAACGTTATATGTTTCTGGCTGTTATTCTATTCGACTTTCTTCTGGATATGTCAGAGGTACATAGGGTGTTGAGAGAAACCTCTTGCATGGAAAAGAAAGGGAGAGAAGAAGAATTGGCCATTCTATTGTATTCCGCAGGAAAGATGTTTGTTAACTAGTCAGTTATGTGAAGATATTGTTTTTCCTTTACCAATCATGACTTCGTCCACTCTCGCAGATAGAAGATGTGAGGAACGGTTGGGTCTAGGCCACACATAATGCAACAAGTACTATTTTGATGAAGGTCCGTTAATCAAGCACGTCATCTGCACGTTTTTCTTCCGTACCTTTCAAACAAGCTGGCCGTGGGCGGATGCGCTCAACTGCGGACGCATGTTTTTTTCTTCTCCACTTTCGTGTCCAGTTCAAAGTCAGGTTATGTCACATGATCTCTACATAATCCACAGTCTCACTGTTTAGCAGGATAAAGAAAGGTATGTTTTTCAGAGCCTAACCATTCTAACTGGCCCTAGATTTCTAATCTAGTGCTCTAACCTATAGCTATTATTCCCCTAATTCTACCCCTCGTCCTGTGTTTAGAATAGTGCGAGGGTTGAGATGCCTGTATTAAGTTATATCAAGTGTTTTAGATGGCGGTCACAAATTCCACTTAGCGATATAGCTCATAAACCTACCTAGTAGGTTAAGTCTTCCAACCGAGCCTTATTGCCAGCCGAGACGCAAGCGGAAACTGTAGAAAATGCTATGTAGGACTGACCAAATTGGAAAGTAAAGCGAAACTTTGTCAGGTGCTGTAATTTACCGACACAATACCGGGACGATACAGACCAATGACGCCAAAATAAACGTTCGGGCGCTTAAATGGCGGATAATTAAGTTAATCTGGCGGCTAAATAACGGTGGAGCGAGGATCAGCGCCGCTTAGAGTTTGGATCCCAGCAACCAGGCGAAGGTTAAATCGACGTCAATCATCTCTTTTAGTATTCTGCCCATTCTTTTCTCTACTTCTGTTTACTAGTATTTCATTTTCGATTTTGATCTTTTTGTGTTTTTGTTTTCTTTTTAGGAAAGTGGGGATGAATCACCCATCTTTGCTATGTGCTGGAGCTAGAGCTGCCGCTCTAGGCCAAACCTCACAGCTCAAACCACAGATCTGGACGTTATCAACTATCTATCTCTCCTCCCACTCGAGTGCGTTCGTCACTCTTTCAGTTGTTGCTGTGCCTAGACTGTGGATAGTTTCCTGGAACCCCTGAGAAGGGAGCAAAAAGAATCATATGAGCTGGTGCTTGGCCAAAGGAGATATGCACGTGTCGAAAAGCAGGCGGGAGCCTTTTCAGGACTGGCATATCCGGAATACTGATGAACTCTGCTTGCTCTTTTCTGTGGCGCAGAGGGGAATCTGATTTCCGGAGCCTATGGATATGAAAGCAATCACTCTCGATTAGTACGCTGCTGTATGCGGGACTGAAAAGGAATGAAGAAAAAAATATGAAATTTAAAAATGGAACGTGCAGAGAAGCCCAATCCGAGCCCGTCATTAGCCTCTTCGAGATCTCTAGGACTTTGCTGCGTAATCTATTTACGCTTGTCGTTGGTATAGATCGTTGGTCTAGTTGCCATAGTAAGATTCTTGACTTTGGTAAACGTTAGGAAGTTTTGGTCCGACAGCGCGCATCCCAAAGGGAAACATGGGTTGCCCAGGGAATGAGTTTGCCCTAATGCACCAGATGGGGAGTTACCAGACTTTGGGCTCTAGTATTTACTGCAGTTTTCTGAGCTTCGAAAAATCATTCCTGGATCATTCATCGCCCGCGTAAATTGAAATGCAAAAAAAGTCACGAAGGCCCCCCAGTATTTTGGTCAGTAGAGCACTATAAGATTAGTGTGCCACTTAACGAACCGAGTTGCAAGATAAAGTTATTGGTTCAATCTCAGCGTGCCTCGATCCCATGCGATCGATCAAGTGGGGGTGCGGAACACTTGATCATGGTTCAAAAAAGCTTGGTTCAAATTTTCGGCCGGAAAAACTCCTAACCACGACAGGATTCAAAGTTGGACAGTCGTTAAGAAGGCAAAAGTACTTGGCCCCCAATAATGAACTAAGTTGTACGCACTGTCTTGTCCACTCTGCAAAAAGGCTGCGCTAGGAGCCTGTACACACCTCTACAATCTCTACGCAGTAGAAACGTCGTCTATCTTGTGGCGGGTCAACGATCGAGGATGAAATCGCTCGTGCCAAGATAAACGTTTGATCTTGGATAACAAGCCGCCACCGCCACTAGTCGCCACAATTCTGATAAGTAGAGTCAATCCTGGGAGCCCCGTACGATTTATCCATAGCGATATACTGCGGTGTACCCTAGCTCACTGATGATAATAGCATCCTGCTAGCCAACAGATTGCGGGGTTAAAATGGGTTTAATCGCATTTCAATTGAGGTGTGTACAATAATGATCTGAAAATATACATCATATTGCATTCGATCATAGATTTCACATCTCTATAAGGAAGATCAATCACTGTGCTGAAGGCAAAAGCGGGAAACAAGGTGGATTAGGCATACATTAAAAATGTGTACCAAACAACCATCCATTCGAGCCAATTATTGGCAATTCTACCAGCAACGTTAAAGTTTGCCTCCCGCCCGAGCTAATGGCGGATAAAGCGATCAAGATCAGCGACGAACGTCGATGGTGGGTCAGCCACAGGCTGTGGTGTCATGTCACAAACGCCTCTGGGTGGTTGCCGGCATCTCGATGAAAATACGGGCTGTACAGTTGTGTTCGGTGATCTAACCATTCCTCCCATACCTCCCAAAAGTATCATCAAACAGTCGCGTGCTGCAACAATGTTGAATGTAATGTAGTAAGTATGTTTGCACATATACTGTCCCGTCCGGAACCGCGGCTGAAAGTTGCAGCCATGCTCGTTTCGATGATGGATCAGGCCAATTGTTGGAAGAGCGCCTTAATCTTGCAAAGGTATGCGGAGTAAGACTCGGACGAGCGCCGTTTCCTGGATCCATGGTTGGGGGACTTGTACAGAGAACCAGTACCTGGTCCAGCAAAATTTTCAACGTTCCACGAACTAGTACTCCGTACTTAGAATATATTTAAAAAAAATACTTGTTTCATCCTTTTTTCGACAAATTAAAAATTATTCTAAAAATAAGTAACATTGAAATCAATAATTGATAATTTGCAATTCTTTAAATTTGTAATGAAATTATAACAATAGCTAAACTAACTACAAAATTCTCCGTAACTAATCATAGATTCACCATCCTTCCTTACTAGCCAGTTCACGTGATGTTGAACTTTATCTTAACCCCCTATCTATCCATCTGAGGCAAAAGACTCGATCACCACCAGCACCATGCTGGTAGCGAGGACAAAACCAATCCGAATGAATCCCTTCAGCACTAAATTGAATTACTTGGTTTTCACCATACACAGTACAGACTACTAGTCCTAGACACCACCATTGAGATGTAAGCCTTGTATGGATGTGTAGGAGCACAACCCTTCTCTGAGTTCATCCTCGACGTCTTGTCAAGATAAGTTTATTTTTCACACACTCTTTGCCCTTTTTTTGCATGAATGTATAAAGTTGAAGAAGCCTGAGTAAGTTAATTGGTAGCTTTGAAAGCAAACCATGTCATGTCAACGGGCGAATGAGGATGTGGCGTGAACAAGAAAATGGTGAACTCAATGATAAAGTAACGATCCCATCGAAGACAAACAGAGCGTGGCGGTACAACGGGGCTAAGAAAGTGGTGAAGTACGTTGCTATCAATTTGATAACAATTGGAAATTAGGTTCTAATTACAAATCCATCATTTTAATATTGCATTATCTATTCAATCATTATTGTGCATTGCCTTTATAGATATTCTTGTGAAAAAAACATTGACTATAATTGAACGTTTCTTCAAAATCTATATATGTACTGTACTATAGTTATATATTATGCATTAAAGAATGTGAATAGCAGATGGGATAAGACCCTCTGATTCCTCATCTAAACATACATGTAGGACCCTTACGACATACAACAAGGGGGGGGGGGGGGGCGCGAGGCGCAGGCTGTTCCTTGCTTTGTGTAGCAAGAAGATTATGAAACTCTATAACTATTAATAGTATGAAATGTTTGCAGCAAGTTGATGATGATAAAATAAGGCCATTTATTTGTCTCTTCTAAGAGAGTTGGAACTTGGGGAAGCGCCATACCTTGATCCATGATTTGGACTGGTAACCCTCATCGTAATCCAAACCAATTAGTTATGAGACTACTAATTGTATAATATCCATATGAATTGTACTTTGATTGTAAAATACACCTTTAGTTTACTGTGGACATTTCATCGTAAGAACTATATTTGATGTTCTCTAAGAGAGACAGTGTTTCCACCCCTTACACACAGATTACATTCTGCCCATTGTCGTATAAAACGATTTTGTGCAGTGGTACCGGAAGGGGCGAAAAAGGAAACAGTGGATCTGGATCACAAGGCTGATAGTTAGACGAAATTTACCGCGGGCAAATATTCCTCAGGGAAGCAAGCATACTAGACTTGTGGGGCAGAGCAAACCTTGCCAAATGAATGCGGATCTGCGGAAAGTGGATAAATAAACACAGGCCTCCCATGTCAGCTTTCTCATTTGTTCATTCCATCAGCTCAGCTTTATCTCTGTTTATAATATTGGTTCATCGGGCACTATCCCACACACCCCGTCCTCTGCTGATTACTGATTACCCTCTCGCTGCTTTCACAGTACTATAAAAAAGCCTCTCACAAACAAATGAAGCTCGGTCTCGTCTTCCTTGGTGCATATGCACTCACGTCAGTTGCTGGATTGCCTCAACACCACCCGCCACTCCCATTGTTGAAGTATGAGTGGTGCGATGTGGACAAAACTTGTTATAAGGATGAGGATTGCTACGAAAAGGATTGCTTGACAAAATCCAAATGGGAGACGTATCTGATCCGTTGCGGAAGCACGTGGTGGCCTCACAGCTGCTGGACTTTTATTCCCAACTCGGCTTAGAGGGATGACATACGATTCACAAAAGAACGCAGGCAAGTAGGAAGAAGAGAAAGACACGGGGAGATTTCTCATCTCTCACTCCTGATCAACGTCAATATTTGGTACTTTCATGTGACGGGTTTTCTGCCATCAGGGGCAGTCTCAGGATACGAAGGATGGTGGGGAATCATTTGAATATGTGACTCGTGACAATGGCTCTGAAGGTATATACTATATTGGCTGGGGAGGCGACCGTCCTGGATGGATCTGCTGACAAAATTGTTTTGTATATATGAACAGATATGGTATGGCGAGTAGGGCATCGTTCAAAATCCACCTTTGTGTGGACATAAATAGCAGGAAATTGAAATCTCCAAACACGAAAGTGAGAGAAGGGCCTGTATGAAAATGATCTCTTGTGTCTGTACATCTACATAAGAGAGCTGTAATCCCTTGCCTGTCTACAGAATTAGAGTAGTAAGCCTTAGCTCGGCAATCGTGGTCAGTGCGAGGCCCTCCCGGGTGAGTGGAACGGCGCAACCGAGAGGCAACGTGGGGTGAAATCGTTAGATTCTAGAAATCGGGATAGGGTTAAAGTTAGGGCATGAGAGCCTGAGACGTAAGAAAAAGAATCACTCCACAGAAGCAAAGGGTTGAAATTGCACCTCAGTTCCTCTGCCACATCTGAAGTTCTGAATTCCATTCAACTGTGTGTCTCGACTCTCAACAAACTCGTTTGAAATATAGCAGTGTCATGGTGAATTTCTGATTTATATTCTTAATGAGTTTGTCAGCTCTGGGAATTCAGCAAATATGTATTTCTTTGCCTACATTGTTTTACTGTGTAACTAGTGAAAATTCAAAATTCAGTGGCAACATCTTAAGTAAAATAATCCTTCGTACGTTCAAAGGTTCCCAATTATGCTTCAAAAGTGGTTTCAGCGTGGTTCCACCGATCTACTCCGCGCGTGTGGGACATATACCACCCCTGGAAATGTTTCTGGAAAGTCAAGCTCTCGGTCAATCAGCCAATCATAGGTATCTAGCCAATTATGGCATGTTTTTGAATATTTGTTCCTCTGCGGCCTTGACTTTTCCTCTCCATGGATAACTAAAGAGTATACACGACCCAGGATATAGAGGCTGACAGGGGGACTTCTGCATCTTCAACGGCAGCATACAAAAATGAGTAATATTGCAAGGCTTGGATTGTAAGCGGGGTGACTCGTTGAGGGAGTGGATTTGCTAAGTGTGTTTTACGCATGCGGTCGTTCCTTTTTAAGAGACTCACTATTCTCTACTATATGGTATGGTGAATTGTTTTCAATTTTTGTTCCTTGATGTTGAGCTTTTATTCTGTTCTTCCTAGCTAAAATGCCCTTCTGCATAACGCGTAATGAGCAGGTGGAATCAATCCATCGAGAAAAAGAGAGGCCAAGTTAGATAAAGTTAATTGCGGCCGCCGATTGTCAGCATTCCAATTTGTGCCCGTGCCCCTATCCATTCGGAATGAACGCCAAAAAATATAGAACAAGGTCAAATAAAGAGCAAGTTTCGTACCTCAAATCCATAAAACTGAGTCACTTAGTCGGCAATTTAACCAACGTCTCTTTCTTCTCAATAACAACTGTGCCACTATAATCAACTTTCATCCCCTTCGGGGGTGACACCCTGCGGCTAGGACCTTTCTCTACCCATCCACGCCTTGCAGCTTCATCTGTATACTGGGAGACATCGCGGTTAGCAGGGCTGACCTCTAGAGGGCCTGCCTTACTGTGGCCGTCATGCATCGCCTCGTCTAGCGAAGCCTCTCTCACCATCTCCGGCGTGATGTAACTGAGATCCCATGCAGCCCGCTGCTCCGCAACGGCGTTGTCCGAACCGGATTTTGAGTACTCATGCCGCTCGGTATTTATGCTGGAGCGGCCGTCTGGGTCATTTTCGATCTCATATGGGACTGGGTCCTCGGGTTGCTTCCGGTCAGTGACAAAGGAACGTCGTAGGAGCGCCGACACAGCTGCTGGGAAAGGGGCTTTGGAAACTTGCAACTGAGCTGCAGTTAGGTTGAAGAAGGAATGGTAAGGGAGGTTCTGGTGGGCCCGCGGTACTAGCAGGCTAGTTCGAGCTGAAGCGAAGCGGAAAGTGGCCATACTGAGCAGATACGCAAATAAAATGGTTCAATGGATGTTGTTATTCGTTTTGCTTTCTTTAAGAACCTGCTAGTGTCCCGCTGTTAGGGCGATGAAGGGATTTCCTTTTGGTATGACCAGGAGGCGAATATGGCACGAGCAGCTGCCAACGTGGTCACAGCACTGGTAGATATGATGCGGATCATCAGCGTTCTCACGCTTCCAGTATCTCAAGCCGCGCAATTCATTAAGTCACGGATGTATATGGTTCGCAGTCATTTGTACTGACTTGAGGCAATACTAGAATGGATGAACTCGCCCAGCCTTAGACGGGGTATGAGGGTCTATTTCGCTCTGAGCGAAATAGAGTGGCTATGTGCAATAAACATTCCCCAGTCCAATAGGGTTTGACAAGGGAAAATAGTGAATCATGTAAGGAACTTTTCTTGACCCTATACAGTTGTAGAAATGATAACATGGTTTTGGATGTTAATGGGAGGCGTGCACTGTTTTGGTCTGGGCATTTGGCATGCCGTGACGTCATTTGAATGAGCTAACCCTCTTTGTGCCCTAAGCCCTAATTGCTTTGTTCCAACCAATGTCAGGGGAACACCGGTGTAGGATACAAGAAAATTAATACGAATGATTTTCTGGAAACATTTCCCGCAGGAGAGGCTCGTCTCAGAATTGGCTGATATAGAGGTAAACGGTCTAGCAAGTTATCTGTGCCGGCTCACCCGACGACAAGTGATCGCGGTTCAAATATCTGTTGACTACACGCTACTGCTCGCCCATGCCCCAGCGTACATCAGAGCCGAAGACGTTTGGAATCAAGCATCTCTTGAATGGGTCTGCATGGCACAAGGAATGCCAGAGCTATAGCTCCTCAATGAAAGCTGCCGGGTCAATTGTTAGCTGTGGATTTCCATCACCTATGACAACCAATGCACGAGGCGAAGTTGCAGAAGAATTGGTTCCATCCAGACAGTGAATCACACACTCATACAATGAAAGAACATTGGCAATGTGCCAACGGTGCAGGAGGGGGGAGGGGGGAGGGGGGAGGCGATACGTGTTGGATTGACCTCGTTGTCAGCAGCTACAACCGCGGAAAAAGCCTGAATGAGCAATGTGTGGAGCTAGAACGGGAGAAGAAAACAAGGCAACTGAAGACAGAGGCAGGAACACGAGGCTGACCTACACATTTGCAAGCTCTGTGAGCTGCGCCGCCGGAAAGATGACTGATAATTGATCGTCATTGCATGGTCGATTTAGCACAAGGTTACTGAGGAGGACAGTTGATGTGATTTGATAGTGGTCTAGTGTTTAGTGCATGTTTTTCCGAAGATAAAATTAAAAATAAAAATGTTCCGAAAAAAGGAGGCAAAAAAAAGGATAGTGAAACTGAATGGAAATCATAAATAACCTTGGACTGGCGGTCAAGGGAGCAGGGCGTTCAGAGATAAAGCCCTGGGCTGCCCAGGCGAACATTTTCTGTAGCCCTGTTTTGTGGCGAACCAACGAGACTGCGGATGTTATGGAAGCAATGAAGAATCCAAAAAAAGACTACATATCGTCAGCACGAGCTAATATGATGGAAGATCATGCGAGTTGGGGTACATCTCGCAGCAAGCACGCCCGGCAGCCAGGGAGATGTGGAAAGGTCGCCGATTGAACGTTCTCCCCGAAATAACAAAAAGGAAAGGGAAAAAGGAGAAGGAAAAAAACGCCCTTCTTTCCGTGTTGCGCTTGTCAGGGTCTTGTGAAACATGCTCATTGATAGTATAGGCCGTGCGAGCACTAATATCAACAGCCACGGGGGATAATTGTGCAGGTGTACGTCGCATTCGACTTTGGTAGTCGGCATTAAGTTAAATGGCAGGACCAGATGCAAGGCACTGCCGGTTTTGTGTTCAAATGCTAAACTATATAAAAAAAAAAAAGCATGCCAAAGAGCCAAAAAGAGGGTGCGCCAAGCTTCCTATTACCGAGTGTCTTTGCAAGAGATATTTCAAGATCGGAGGTCAATTCCTCAAAGAGCCAGGTTCAACTATGGGGCTGAAATTTCACTGGATGGCGATCGCAAAAACGCTTCGGGAGGATGAACAAAAAGGGGACGAGATATTTACTGAACTCACACATATACGCACGCAAGTATCAATTCGTGGGAGCACGTACATTAGAGTTTCTGAAAAAGACAGAAATGGCTGCCACGTCAATTGCTAGTGACGGAGATTAGGAAAGGTTGGAAACAGAAATCAATGAAAACAATGAAAACAATGAATCAGGTAAGGTGGATTACTACCTGCTGCCTGTCAACTATTCCACCCGTCAACCTTAGAAGTGAAATTGGGCACAACCAACGGCGCAGCGATGTAGGGCATTTTCCAGTTGGCTTCACGTTGTCACACGCTAGGTGGGATTTATCCTTCGTGGATATACCACGGTATTCACACCGCTGTGCTAGTTGTTAGAAGCGGCTAGCGCCAATGCCATGAAAGGATGTAGTCGCAACATTCGCTGAAGAATAGAAGCTATAACGGCGGTCGTAGGGAACCAAATATGCCATGTCAACAAGGGGGGAGGTCCATTCGAGGGCTGGTGAAGAAACTTGGCGATAGCCATGCCACCTGGCAAACAGGCGGGGTACCAAAAGGAATCGAGGCCCGGATTTCGCAATGTGGCACCAATAAGGCTGGAGGTTTGATTAGGGGGCCGCAAGCGTTGTGACAAATCTAGTCGAAGGGGCGAATTGAACATAAGGCTAGAATGAACGACAGACGATCAAGCCCTAGCAAGAGCAAAATCAAAGTGATATAGGGGAGGCGATGACTATTCAAGCGTCGCGCATGCATCGTACAGGCCCGAATTCAAAAGCTGACCGGAAGCATCCTGAAAATGAAACGCCATCGGAGCTATATGCCACCATCTAGAATCGATCATCCAATGGAAATATTACAACCCCTATGGTAGATCCTTGATTGCCTGACTAGCTGGTGTGGAGCAGCCATTGGGTGGCTCAACAGGATGCTGTACTGCCAATTCACTAAGGACCAGGGGGCATATAATACAGAGATACCACATGTATAGCCCACATTTGGGGCTAAAAGTCGAAGGTTGTTCTCCGCATCTGCAACTGCTGCATGCTGGCATGCAAGGGTGAGATTTTCTTCTCGCTCCTTTAAAATCACCTGAGTAGTTTAGACCCAGCTGTGTGGATACGAATATGGGGCTAGAAATTCAATTTCAACCTTCAAAAAAGAGAAGAACGACGCCAAGTGTATTCCAAATGCGTATCCACGGAACTTACAACAATCAATTCACTTGTTATTTTGAGTAGATATTATAGCAGAAGGAGGAAATTGGAATGGTTATTTTTTTTATTGCCATTCAATACCTTGTAGCCGTAAACAAACGTAAACAAACGAAACCTTGTCGGTTGACCGATGTGATGAAACAAGGGGCTAAGACATGACATCGACAGATCAACGAGGCAGACACACTTCAAAGAGACCCATTCGCTCGTCTTAATGCCTTGTCATCGCCTCATCATTGTTCTTGGACCTACTGACTCATCCACACTTACCCCAGCCCATTTAGTGTAACTCAATATTGAACGCTTCATCTGCTGCAGGATATAGACAGGCGTATTTGAGAGGAGACACAGCAAGCAACGATAGCCTCCATACTGAGGAGTTGAGGGATGAGATTGCGGCGTCGCACAGGAGTCGTGATTGTTACGGCATGCATGCATTTTCAGAACGACAGGATATGTTCCTATCGTCGGAAATATTAGCATAGCAGGAGCTCCGTTAATCCAAACCCCGTCATGATCATGTCCTGCAAAAACGGAATATAGAGTGTCTCCTAGCCAGACGATTCACGCCACGTCATGGAAGTCTGTAATGCCTGGCTCGACAAAATATGTGGAACTGGAGCCATGAAATCCATATCATAGTGTGGCAGGCTCTGTTCCCTGTCCGTTATAATAGAGAGAAAGGAAGGCTCATGTAGTGTCCCGCATCTTGGAAACGACGCACCAACGCAAGGCTGTCAAAAATGTGACAACGGAGGATGATAGAACTATGGGCGCGAGGCGGCGTTGGAAGCAAGTGGATAGCCTACTTTAAACTTTCAGATATCACAGCCGTGGCGGACGGCTGGGATGAATTGACGTCCACAAAGTGGGATGGTGATACACGTCGAGCATTGGCTCAAAGGAACGAACGAAAATACCTGCAGGTCAGAACAATGCAACCTCTCGCCCCCCCCGAGACTCAAAAAGTCGAACACCTCAAGTGGGATGGAAAGGCCATTCTTAAACCATGCAGGAGGTTGGAGGATATCACAAACAAAAGTGCCAATGATCCAATGGAAACTAAATGTGTGAGTTGAGTTGCAGAACAAGTTTCTTGCATGGAGCATGAATGTCACGGAAAAAGTCGCATTGGCACTTTCACCTCCTGAGTGGATATTCCCTTTTCAAGTTAATCGAATTTTGAATTAAAATGTCTGGAGGGATATCAATTGGGATGATTGGGCGTGAAGAGCCAAACGAAATCAAGTTACACCGAGCCCAGACCGCTAGGTTCAGCCTGCCGTAGTTCCGAATATCAAGGTAAATCTCGTGAACGTCAAAGGATGTGGCCACCATCAAGGAAGTATCCACAGGTGATAGGAGGTGGCTGATACAAACGAGGCTCCTGCCGTAGATGGTATACACATCAACATCGAAGTGAGATTCGATGAAAGGCAAAGAGGGGAAGTACAGGCAACCAAGGTTCTTGACAGGAAAAAAGTATGAGCTGTCCAGGGGTCAAAACGCCACTTTCAATCGGATAACAGGAGGAGATTCCAAACAGGAGGGGTAGGAAAAAGAAGTTGGATGATGACGGTAGATCACAATGCCACGACAACCATGTCGAGCAAGTATGCATTCGTTGCCCAACCAAGGCAAACCCGATATCACCTTGCAGCGTCGGAAAGAGCCATGAAAGGAATGCTTTGAAGTAGAGCTCCGCTTTTTCAAGGTCATGTACCCTGGCTAGTGGGGACCAGGAACAGGTTGGGGGTAAAATGTTCAAGGCAAACTCTCTAGGACGGGCAGACACGCAGATATCGACAAATTTGATCGGCAATGTGTGGATGAAAGTATCTGGATGAAAAGCTTTGGCAAGAAGGAATCTGCACTGAGTCCAAACATAAATACCCAGACAAACCCCAGGATACTCAGTTTTTTCCAGCACAGCTCCAGTTCCAACCAATTTCATTACACTTGCAAGGTCAAAAGTCAAGCACGATAGTACATACCTAAACAAGCTCTTCCTCTATTTGTTTCAAATTCCTTCAACAAACAAGGTCCAGCCTATCGTTCCTGGTCTTCAGAAAGGATCCAACCCCACGGCCAATAGAAACCAGTCGGTATCCTGAAACAGTCAAGGAGAACATAAGTCGGTATGTAAGAAGGAAGCCTTATGGTTGACTGCTAGCTGACTTGTTTCAAAGCCATGTGCTTTTATAACCAGAAGAAATTCTCCTGCGGAGACTGGGCATGGGGTAGTTTCGCCGCCCGGTGCAACCATGAATATCGAATGGGCGAGACTTGCGGCATGAAACTTGTTCACAGCACCGAAAATATCCAAACGCAATGTAAACTGTGCGAGAAAATCGACACCAAATGCCGCCGACGAAACACAGAGGTCGAGAGGCTCGCACGGTGGCAGCGGGAGGGCGGCACACTCAAGGCGTCAATGGAAAAAAGCAGTGCTGAGATCAGGGCGCTAGAGGAGGAGATCCGGCAGTTGGAGTATGAGAGGCTGATGAAACAGAAAAACATTGGAAAGTAAACTGGCTGACGAAAAGAGGCGCCGGGAACACCAGCCGTAGACGACATGATGGAATGTCCCAGGTTTAAAAAAAAAAAAAAGATATGAGCCACCTCATTACCTTTTGTTATCACACTTCATGTTTCATGATCACTGTTATTTCATAACATCCACTTGGTTCTAATGATTTCGGGTCTGTTTTATTTGATTTTCATTTGATGGTTATTCCGTTAGGTTATGTGTTGGGGGAAAAATGGTTGCTTCTGGGGCCTGGAACGGCGGCTGGTGTAGGACATGGTTGAGGAAATCGGCATTCAGTATTCGGGCTTAGCGTTTGGATCCTTTTGATTAAGGGCTCTTGTTTGCCAATGAATTTATAAGTTTTTCGCATTCTGCCCACACTATTTATGAATCCAACCATTAAGCGCCCTGTATCATCTGAGCGAGGTGACCAGGAGGGGAGCTGCTTTGTCGCCCAATGGTTCAATAAATTTCGCCCCGCTAGCGCGAAAAAAGTAACGGAGGGACAAGGTTAGACGTAGGAAAGGTATATCACATAAGCATGGTCGGATGAATTAGCGAAAATGGTGGTATCGGGAGTGACGAGAGTGTGATATCAGTAATGAAAGTTGGTTGATGTTGTTTGATGCCAACAGATGAGGTTGAAATCCAGAGGGGTGCGGGACGTAAGCTTCCTGCGCCCCGCGTAGTCCTCAGTACTGGCGTAGCCGCGCTCCTATCGCGGAATGTAAGCGCCGGCTTCCCAATAGCACGCTTGGAAGGTATGGGATCGCAGTGCATGTATTCTTTTCCCACCAGATCCGCAGATTAGATTTTATGAGATGCAATATGTTATATCTACAAATAAAATCGGCTAATTGAGAAGTAACATGCCCAGGATTGGAGATAAATACATGGCTTGTGGCCATGGGGTGGAAAAAATAGTAGACTTAGAAAAACTATCGGTTGATTAACGGGCAGCTTAAACTAGGACATAAAGTTCAACACCAGGAGCTTTTCGTATTCGGTGTTAGGGGCCTTATCCCAGCAACTGCCAATATGTACCCTCCATTTTTGTTCTACCCGGTTTCTTGATCAGCTTCCTTTGCCAGGCCATGCTCCCGTAACAAAGCATCGATCTCATCGGCACCCCACAAATGGTGATATATTTGACCATCCTTGGTTTTTCCCACAGTCGCAAATTCGACTATATATAGACGAAGCAGTGCTTAGCATTGAAATGTGGAATATGAACAAATAGATAGATTTGGGCAAGAAAAGGAATAACCAATTTATGAAGTTCAAACTCACTTTTCTCACTGCTCAGCTTCGTCGAGTCCATCGTCTTGCTCAGCACCTTCACCGCCATCCCACAAGCTTCCTTCAAATCGCAATCTTCTTTATAGTCCTGCTTCAATAGACTCTGAGCGCTGGCGTTGTTTGCACCGACACTAGTCGCCTTCCATCCACCGTAGTTCCCACTGGGGTTGCTCTGGTACAGCTGGAACTGCCGGAGGGGATCATACCCGGCGTATATGAAAGAAACGCCAAAGGGTCGCAGACCACCGTGCTGTGTATAGCCCTGTTTCAGATCGCAGAGACGACGAACGAGCTGCTCACATGGGATCTCTTCGTTGTATGTCAGGAGGTAGCGTTGGGCGGCTTGGCGCGCATAGTTGATGAGGATGTTGGCATCTGCTGTCATTCCAGCCACCGCACATATCATATTACTACGAGATAGGTTAGTTATTTTGGTCCGTTGGTTCTTTTTGCTACATAGTGGTAGAAACGTAGGAAGTTCAACCGTACTCATTCAGTATGTAGAGCTTCTCCGCAGATGTGTCCTGTTCCAGTAGTTTGCTCGTCACCTTCCTCTCTGCGGCCAGCACGATTCCATCCTGCGCTAGTATTCCAAGGGCAGTTCCGGCATGTGAAATTGCTTCGAGGGCATATTCAACCTGGTACAGACGGCCTTCCGGTGAAAAGATCGTGGTCTACAAGTAATAGAGTGGGTTAGCAGAGGACCACCGATTCGACAGATACAGACAGAACACTGACTCTGGAATCATATCTTCTGGACATTTTCGCTGGACTCTATTTCGATTTCAAAGAAAGATGTGCGATTTATCCTAAATCAAACGCTAGTGGCCTGTCGAGGGAAGTTGTCTATTGTAAATAAAAGGTGTTGGAGGAGCTGGGCTTCGTCCAGGCAAACTGGCTCCTCGCGTCCAACCACTAACTGAGCTTGGACCAATTGCGGCCTCCAATATCGTTTTTCCTTGGCTCACCCTCAACAACCTCCCAGTAACAACAACCACAGCAATCATCTATAATATAATTCATAGCGGTCTTACATATAATGCCTCTTATCATATACATGTAATTTAGAGGCAGCGGCTAAGATGCTCAAATCTACCTATTCCGCTTTAAATCCACTCCCACCCGGATGGACTGAGCACAAGGCTCCATCAGGTAACCTCTTGTCTCCGACTCCCTAGGTGAATATTTTGCGGCAAAGGCTAATTATCAAAAGGCCATTCCTATTACTACAATGCCCAAACAAAGCAGTCAACATATAAGAGACCAGCCCCACTTCCCCCAGACTCTCCGCCTAGAGGAGCACCAGCTCAGCCGCCATTTGGTTTTTCAGCGGCTTTTACCGGTGTCCCGATTCCAGCGTTCGCGCATCAGTCGCACTACGGACCCATGCCCTTCAATATAGCAGGTCACTTCGATAAATCTCGCAGAGATAGTGCCGGGAACAGGCGGGGTCATGATAGACCACCTCGCCATCCAGAGGACAGGCCAAAGTCCAAGCACGCGATCCCCGGTTGCCATCCGTGGCTTCTCGTAAAAACAAAATTAGGTCGTCGATTTGTTCATAACCCGGATACTAACGATAGCTTCTGGAAATTCCCACCGGATGTATTGAAAGGGGTTGTCGAGTATGATCGTCTCGAACGGGAAAGAACAGAGCGGAGAGAGCGGGGTGAACTAAGTGGAGAAGAGCAACCAGAAGCGGGGGTTCCTGGAAGTGTGTCACAGGAACGCGAGCAATTACCCTCTATCGGTCGGAATGAACCTAGGGAGGAAGAGGATAGCGATGAGTATGAAGAGGTCGAGGTAACGGATGAAGAGGGCGAGGAGGGGACTATACCATACAAAAGGGAGAGAACCGATAAAGAAGCCAGCGAAACCGGACCCATCGAATTCAATGAAGGTGATATCGAATATCAGCTTGCAGCCATGGGTGAGGAATACGGATTGGACCCTGGAGAATATGGAGAGCCGGGTGAGGAGGGATGGGAGGACGGCGCAGAGGGTCTCCCACTCACAGAAGAGGACTCAGTGGCATTGTTCCGCGACCTACTAGATGATTTCCGGATAAACCCTTACATGCCATGGGAGAAGCTAATTGAAGAGGGTAAAATCATTGATGACTCCAGATACACGATAATGCCCAATATGAGATCGCGCCGTGAGGCCTGGACCGACTGGAGCCGCGATCGGATACAAGAGTTGAAAGAACGACGAGAAAAGGAAGAAAAGAAAGATCCCCGAATCCGCTTCCTTGCTTTCCTACAGGAATATGCCACACCGAAATTATACTGGCCAGAGTTCAAACGTAAATATAGAAAGGAACCTGAAATGAAGGATAATAAACTATCAGATAAAGACCGGGAAAAGCTCTACCGGGACCATATATCACGCCTTAAATTATCCGAAAGTACTCGAAAATCGGACCTTTCCACCCTTCTCAAGTCCATACCCATCCACGAGCTGAATAGATCGTCGACGCCGGATACGCTTCCCGCTAGTATCCTCGCGGACCTACGATATATCTCATTGCCACCCAACGTTCGCGATTCGCTAATTCAAGCATACATATTAACTCTGTCCCCCGCACCCGAGCCGGATAATATATCTGCTGAGGAACAAGCAGCACGTGATAAACGTCGGGCTGAGCGGGAGAAACGGGAAAAGGCATTTGCCGAACGGGAGTTATTGGTGCAGGAGCAAAAGCGGAAGCAAAGGGGTGCATTGATGCATGGCAGGGATATGTTACGTCAAGGAGAAGCGGAGTTGGAAATGGCGATGCGAGTTGGCAAGGAGGGATTGAAAAGTCATCTGGAGCCGAAGATGGCAACTCAAGTTCACTCTGATGATAATGATGGTTAGACAGAATCTACATGTATATACCTATATTATATTTGGTTAGAAAATGCCAATTAAATCACCAGTATATCTCGAGACGAGAACATATCCAAGACGCGCTGAAAAAAAAAAAAAAAATGGTATCATATGCATATATTACACTGATTAAAACTTTAACACCCTGTAGATCTTTAACCTAATGGGTCATTTCCATCTGATATTCCAGTTAATATTCCAGTTATCTAAATCTCCAACTATCCCAATCCTCATCTTCATCGTCATCCCCCTCGTCCTCATCATCCCCAGCCCCACCACCTTCCCTTGCCTCCTGCCCTGCCATCTCCTCGCTCTGATCTTCATCCTCAAGAACCCCAACCCCAACCCCAGCTCCCTCCCTTGTAACTCCCCTCCTCCGAATCTCGTCTCTCATTTCTTTCAACCGCCTAACCCTCTCCTCAAGTTCATCCATCTCCTCAAATTCCTCCTCCAACAACCTCGCCGCATCTTCCTTCTCAAGCGATGCTTCCTGCTCATGCACTCGCATCTGCACCTGCTTATCCAGCTTCTCGCGCTGTGCCAGCTCAGCCGCAGAAAGGGGCCCAGCGGATATCGTGGCATGACTGGGAGCAGCAGATATTGTTTTTGTGGGTGCGGCAACCTCTCGTTCAAACGCGGCCCACTCATCTTCGTCGATGGTTTGTGGTTGTGATCGTGGTTGCGATTCGGCTGGTTCTGAAGGAAGGGCCGTGGTAGGTTGTGGTGAAAGCTCGGATGCTTGCTCTTGGTCAAGCTGCGCGGCTTCGTCTATTATTGATGGATCATCATGTTCTTCATCTTCAACAGATTGAACCTGCTGGCGCACTTTTTCCTGCGTAATTTGCTCCTGTGTGGTTTTTGGCTTTTTATGCCCGTCACCCCGAAATTCTGGTTCAAGTTTTCTTTTTTTAACCGGTCTGGCTTTAGAAGAGTCATTTGAATCAGTGGCTCGACGAGATGCCAACTCGTTTCGGAGTAATGCCCGAATATCTGCCATGACGGGATGGTCCGTAGCTTAGGATCTAAAACGTGGAATGGATATAATTTTTAGATAATAGTAGCAAGTATGAACACTTGGTATCTGTAGTGCCGTAGAGATTCCGGATAGAGCATCAATAACAGAATGGAAGCATGAAACCAATATTGTATTATGCAACAGCAAGGTTCGCGACGTCACCGTGTCGGTCCGCTGGTGAGATTGAGCTATTCCTAATTTGAACTAGTTATCAAGCTCGAATCGAAATTTCGTCACATGCGCTTCACGTGATTATATTTCCATTTACGGTCTAGTGCCATCTCTCTTCTTGCCATCTCCTCATCGCGACGTCGCAATTCTACAACAAGATCCACAACATCGATTTGTGCATCTCAACTCCATCAATCTAGTGTTCCGAGATATCACCAGCTGTTCGATAGAAGCTTCGCAAGTCGATTGCGGGATGGTTATCCGTCCGGTATCATCCACAGTCTGAGATTGGGAAGAATAGGTGAATTTCTAGCTTCCCCGGATTTCCAGATCAAGGAGATTGTACGCGTGAATCTGTTTTTGGAGCAACAAAACAACAGCGCACATTTTGTTCAACGGTTGAATGGGGAAGTAATTTCCGCGTGGAAGAAACATACACAAGGAAAAAGAGTGGCTATCCCTCTCCTCTTCCGTTATCCGTTGTATTACTAGTTCCTGTCGATGCCGTAGAGGAGGCAAGACTAGTATTTTTCCATTGGCTTCGCAAAACTCAGGCAAAAATTCAAACCTTCTCAGCAAGCCTTCTATCTACTGTAGTTCATTTTATATTTCTGGCGTGTCAGCTATCTCACCATGGCCGGTAAGCATAATCGTATCCCAGCGTTTAAATATTTTGATCCCTCCCAACCCCATTGGAATGGGAGATGGCAAATCCGCGTATTCAACAGTCTACACCGTGGCATACGGAACTCACTGCTAACTATATTTCTATCAAACAGAAGAACCACGGCGCTCGGGCAGAGCAACAAAAGGCCAGCATTCTAAAAACAACGATTTATCAGAATTGGCACCCTCGAAACGCAAAGGGAAGACGCAGACCAAAGCCCAGAAACAAGCTTCCGACGAACAGACCCCTGCCCCCAATGAAGAAGAGGACGAGATAATCCGTTGCATTTGTGGTGAATATGAAGAGGAGGAAGACGTTGAGCGGGATATGATATGCTGCGACAAGTGCTCTGCGTGGCAACACAACGATTGCATGGGGCTTACTTTCCCGAAGGGACAGGAACCTGCAGAATATTTTTGTGAACAATGTAAGCCGGAAAATCATAAGGAGCTGCTGGATAAAATGGCTCATGGCGAGAAACCCTGGGAGGAAGCTGCGAGGCTAAGAGCCCTGGCTGCAGAGGAGAAAAAGGCACGGAGAAAGAAAGGCGGCAAGCGTGGGAGGAAATCCACCCGGCCTAGCGATATCAAATCTGAAGGGGGTGATGATGGTGTCAAAAGTGCCTCTGAAACACCAGCAAAAGAGATTCCCGTCTCTGCTCAGCCAACCGGCAATCAAGTCAGTCCGCAGGCCCCGGGAGCGTTCCCTAACGATGGTCCTCCTAGCAGCCAAAAACGCAAATTCGACGAACAGGAAGTTAGCCAACGTGAACCGGTATGTACTTCCTCCATTATGCTCTGACCTACCATTATGCTAAGATTATTTTCAGGGACCAAAGCAGAAACTTCAGCGATTGTCTACTGGCCGCCAAATCGAAAGTCCTGAGGTGAAGTCACCGACTGTGCACAGGAAGCAGAGCGTATCTAGTGTGCAATATGTTCAGGAACAGAAAAGTGGAAGGTCACCCACTGAGGGAACTGGAGGCCCGTCAGACCTTCAGAGCCTGGCCAGGAGGAATGTGGCGAATGCCCTAGTCAAACTCTTCGTAGAACAGGCAGCATCGGCCCTGCAGCAAGGCGCTTATTCGATGCCTGCTGGAAAGACTAAAGAAGCTGTTGGCGAAGCACTGGGAGTTGCAATTGAACATGCCATGTATAAACATCTCTGTGGAGGAAGTGGAGAACCTAGTGAAGCCTATAAGCAACAGATGCGGACCATCCTATTCAATGTGAGGAAGAATACTTCGTTACGTGATAGTTTGCTTGTAGGAAGTATTTCTCCAGACACACTTGCCACCATGAGCACCCAAGACATGGCTAGCAAGGAGTTACGACAGAAGGATGATGAAATCAAGCGAGAGGCCGAGAGGCAGCATATGATTATCCAAGAACAAGGGCCCCGAATCAGACGTACACATAAAGGGGAGGAGTTGATCGAAGATGATTCACAGCATGCTGCAACCGAATCTATCTTCTCAGCGGCGCCAACTCGCCGCGACACCCTACATGAGGCCGACCTTCGATCTACTACAAGCCCTACAGGAGCTCGACCAGCCAGCCCAAGCATGTCACATCAGCCTGAGTTCAGAGAATACCGTGGCTCAGTAGATCGAACAGCTGACGATCACCGGCTACACTCCATCGATCCCTCAGCTGGTGACCAGCGACGAGCCTCGGCCTCAAACTTCAATATCCAAAACGTCTGGTCGAACGTCCAATCACCTGGTTCAGCACCTCATGATGAGCCATTTCCTCCTGCTTCTGCTCCATCTCTTCAGGATGTACAGCCGAGTCACAAAGTCCAAGCCGATGCAGAGATAGATCAGTTGCTTAAAGACGAGGATGTCGATTCCCCTCCTTACTCTCCAAAGGACTTCCAGAGTGAAGGTGAAATTTGGCGTGGCAAAGTATCCATGAATCCCGTTGCTGAATTCTCTGCCACTGCAAGGCATGTTGCTGGAGCAGACCTGAGCGGAAGAATCCCGTGGGAACAATTAATCCCCCCCACGTTGGTGGTCGATGGCCGTATCGAAACGCAACTCGCCACGAACTACCTCTGCGGTCTCCGCTTCAGTCAAACGACCGATGTATCCGTTAATGCCATATCTCCCCCAATCGCCCCACACGACAATGCAGAATTCCAAAGGCTATTCGAATATTTCCTGCAGCGCAACCGATTCGGCGTCATCGGTAAACACCCCTTCCATGCAGTCAAGGACACATATATCATCCCCATCGAAGCTGGCCAAAGCAAGAAACCCGAATTCATTGAACTGCTAGAGAACAACACCCTCGAAGACCCGACGCCAGAACGAACACTTCTTGTCGTCTTCGTCGTAAAAACGAACAACCACTACAGCCCACCCATTGGCCATCCGACACCGCAAGAACCTGCCTATGCCACCGCCAGTCCCTTGACGGTCACCCCAAGCTCCGCTCCCCACTATTCCCAATTCATTTCTGGTCCGGCCACGTCGAGCGGTACGCCTCCCGTCGTTCCCACGACGGCATTGGTATCGCCTTCCCCCCGCATGGCAACAACTGATGGCCCCAACCAACAACAACAACCAAAGCCACAACCACAACCCCATCAATACAACCCAGCCTCCCACACCTCGGCCCCACCGCAAAATCCTCTCGGCAAATCTGCCGCAATGCAAGTGCTCGGGCCACTAGCGGCCTCTCCAGCGGTAGTACAGCTATTGCAGCAAGCACCCAATTCAGATGTGGAGCAGCTCAAACTCATCGCGGGTATCCTGGCTCAGAACCCTGCTGCGGCAAATGATTATCAGTTGTTAGTGAGCAAGATCGTTGAGAATATCAATGGGAAGGCGCAGTGAAATTTGTGTTATTGACTTAGCCCCCTCCCAAGTCCCGACTTGAATTTTTCCTCTTATCCGCATTACGCCAGTTTCTTTCTATTTTTTGTTTGCTTATTCGTCTCCTGTGTAAATTGCTGCAGTTACTTGCAAATAAGGGATTTTGTATTTTTCCTCTAGCTGTACTAAAAATGGAAGGAATGATTATTTTACTTTCTATGTTCTACTTCTTCCTTTCCTCTTCTCAATTTTTATTTAGCTCTTGAAAGGGAGAAATTATGGCACAATTTTCCTCAATTGGCCCTATTCCATCCCTCCTTTTCATTATTTCCCCATACATCGCTGTTATATTGGTTGGTTTCTTATTTGAATTATTTCAAAAGTTTCTGATGAGTTGCTAGTATTTTCCTCGATAAACGTTTCATTAACTGTCTATCCAACCCTTGTTTCCAACTCCTGCTTCAAACCTTCAATTTCTAGCTACCCTTCTGCCCCTCCAGTTCAGCCAGCTTTCTTGCTATTCCTTCGGGACATGGGAGTTAAAACGTATCGTAGTTGGGCTATCTTTTTTTTTTTCTTTCCTTCCCTGCCCTCTTTTGTGTTCTCTTCCAAACCCTTTCATCCCCATGCTTTTGCTATCATCCACTGTGTTGCCGCAATTCAGTTGGCTAGCAATCCATGTCCATGTGTTATTTCTCTCATGTAAATAATTAACGATGTTTTTGCTACTGCTTTTACTTGCCTGGTACTGTACTTACATGGCTCGTTTTCAAACAAATGGGTAAATATTTTTTTCATTCACTTCTAATAGTTAAAAATATCAAGACCCTTTATTTATAAACGAGGATGTGGCATCCATCATTCATCAAATTCTGGGAAGAGTATGTTTTAAATGAGCAGCCACTTGATCCACACATACATACATACATATATACATATGTGTATATATATATCTAGTCAAAGAATGATGTAACATAATTCTTGATGGCCAAATATATTATTAGAATTGAGTTAGGTCCAGTAAATATCCCCTTCGTCATTGTAGTTTTTTTGGCTAAAAAATATTCTCTCCAGACTGTGCCGCCAGTGAAACTCGCGGGCTGCTGGGGGAAGTTTGGGCTTTGTACAGTTTGAGAGTTTGTGCTGAAGAGAACCCTAGGTAGCCAGTGGTGAAACAAAATAAAATGATGTAATAAATAGACACAAAAAATTTTTCTTTTTCTTTCTTTTTTTTTTTTCAGTTAGGTTTACAGCATTTGGATATAGGTTTCTTCGCATCAAGATAGAGAACAAACTATATAAAACCTCGCCTAATTCCAAGAGCAAACCCACTAACGCCAGCGCTATGCAAATTCTCCCGCGCCTCAAATAAAAAGTATATAGATGTAACAGTAGGTCTTCTCTACCACCGTCCCCCATAGCCTCCCCCTCCTCTACCCTTGTACCCTCTATATCCACCACCTCCACCACCAGTCCGATAAGGTCCTCGACCTCCACCCGCTCTAGATCCCCACCCGCCCTCATTATCATAGTCACCGCGGACGGAGGGTCCATCGTCATGTCTAGAGGGCGGTGGGCCCTTCAACTCCTTTTGCAAGACAGCAAAAGTCTCGCGCATTTTCGCATAGCCCAGGTGCATTTTGCCGAAGAAGTGATCTGCCAGGCGACGATCGTTATCTAGACGACTGAGATACGCGCCGCATACGTCGCAAACTTGTAGTTTCTGATGGCCCGAGGGTCCTGAGGTATCGGCGAGCGCTTTGAGTTCGCGTTCACAGGATTCTTTTTGGTGTTTCGCGGTGCGGACTTTGTGGAACTCGTTGAAAGCGGTTGAGACGGAGCCCATTTCGCTGAGAACTGAGACCTCGAGGAGGCCGTTATTTATTGTTTTTGAGAGGTCGGATATTTGTTTTAGCTGCGTGAGAGGGATGTGTTGATTGGTTAGGGAATATAATCAGCCGAACAGAATAGTTTTCACGTTGCGGAGAGACTGGGTCTCAAGGAAACGTAAACAATGATAATAAAAAGGTGGAAATGACATACCAAATTATTTGTCTGACGAATTTCATCTGGAGTCTTCTCTAATCGTCGCTGCGCCGAATCAATCCTCCGGTTGCAGTCGTCGACGTATTTCTGAATGTCTCGGAGGTAATCATATTCGAAGCCCCATTTTGACTTCTCATGCGCCGAAGCAGCCTCATACTCCGCTTTTAGCCCCTCATTATGGACCTTTGGACACGGGCCTAGGTCTTGTTTGGTATTTGTGAAGAGGTCATGAGGACATGTGCCGACAATATATGAGCGGCAAACTTTGGGGTCAGTTATTGCAAGCTGGGAATTGCGCGAGCCGCCGAAGCCGACCATTTGCTCCGCTATATAAGTTAGTTTCTCATGCTGATTCGAAAACATTTCTCAATAACAAGATGGCCCAGTATGAGGGGGAACGTACCACCCATAAGCTGCTCGAGCAGCTTCCTCTGTTCCGCCGCCATGGTTGAAAGCAGGACTGATATCTGTAGCTCAACGACAGGAAGGGTTTGGTATTGGACAGGCAGTGTCTCTGTAAACGATTGCCAGCATGAATGGTCAGGATAGCCTACTTTCGAGTTTCGCCCACTGTGTTCGCGGTCTCCAAGGGCATACGGACCGCCTTTGAACCAGCTTTCTTGTTCTTGTTCTTGTTCGGTCGCCTATCGCGCTACGCTGGTGAGATTATTGGCGCGTTGGTAAGCCCATTTGGTCACATGATATCATTCTCCTCTGGGGCAACAAGAAACGACGACGACGACGACGACGACGACGACATACACAAATGCATATGCAAACTCAGCGTTTCGCCGTCTTCATCGTTCATTGAGTAGAGGCATTTCGCAAACCAAACTGCGTTGTTGGTCTCTTACAATATGACGGCATGATTTTCAATCCTCTCTTTTTCCTTTGCATCTTTCTTGCAGCGCTGTCGCCAACTATCTCTCATGCAGCCGAGTACCATGAGCAGCTAGTCCTCCGGCCTCTACCGCCTTCATCTCTCTTAGGATCATTTAATTTTCGCAGCAATGCGTCACTAGATACTTTCGAGCACCAGAATTTCCGATATTTTCCGCGCTCCTTAGGGCAAATCCTTCAGCATGCAAGCACTAAAGAGTTGCATTTGAGATTCACGACTGGTAGATGGGATGCAGAGAGCTGGGGCGAGCGGCCGTGGCGTGGTTTTAAAGAAGGCGGCACAGGCGTTGAGCTTTGGGCATGGATAGATGCAGATACTGATGAATCGTGAGACTTCGGACAATCCGCAGCAAGGCAAATATATAATTGCAACTAACAATTATCCTGATTCTAATAGCGCGTATTCCAAATGGATCACTCTGACTCAATCCTTGTCCGGCCTTTTCTGCGCTTCCTTGAACTTCATTGATTCCACTCGAACAACCCGACCTGTAATGACGTTTGAACCTATGGGAAATCACTTGTCGAGACCTCTGCATCTGCTGCATGGACACTGCCCGGCGAGGTCGTCTGTACCGAGAACCTGACGCCGTTCCTCAAATTGCTTCCCTGTAAAGGGAAAGCGGGAATTTCGAGTTTGCTTGATGGTCATAGACTATTTGATGCGTCGTGGCAGAGCATGTCAATTGATGTTCGACCCACATGTCCAGATGACACAGATGGATGCCAGGTTGAAATCGAGCAAACTGTAGATTTGGTTTTGGATGTGGAGAGAGCGAAGCGACCAAGAGGTGAGTGCTGGTAGTTAGTCGCAGCTCTGATTCCTTCCATATGTCCTGTGAACTAAAATCTTGTAGATAATCCTATTCCACGCCCTGTTCCCGCCGAAGAGCTCATCTGCGACCAATCCAAGCCATACAACTCACATGATACGTGCTACCCAGTCGGCAAAAGTGCAGACCAGGGCTGGCGCTTATCAGAGGTGTTTGGTCGTAACATTCCAGGCGGATGCCCTCTGACAGAAGAAGAAGAAAATAAAAGACAACATGTGTGTATCAAAGTTCCCAACGACGGGGATGTACTAGTGACTGCTGGTGCTATCGAGAGGAAGTCTCCTGACGGTCTTTCCCGTTGCTACTCCCTTCTCGATGATTTCCCTTTCGACCTGGTTCTACCATCACAATCACAGTCTCCCGAAGTACCACTGGAGCAGCCTGTCCTTCACGCAGAGAGGACTATAATCGGCCGCGGGCAAGAAAGAGGCGGCATGCGATCGATCTTAGCAAATCCGTCGCAGACCAATGCCGTTGAATTCATCTATTTTGAAACTCTACCCTGGTTCATGAGGCCTTATGTACACACTCTTAAAGCAAAAGTGAGAAATCTCAATGGCACGGTCGTCCCCATTCCTGCCTCCGAGATTATCAAAGACGTCTTTTATCGACCCGCCATGGATAGGAAACGTGGCACGCAACTCGAGCTCATCCTCTCAGTCCCCGCCGCATCAACTGTAACATTGATTTACGATTTCGAAAAGGCCATCCTGCGCTATACCGAATATCCACCTGATGCCAACCGGGGATTCAACGTCGCTCCAGCAGTCATCAGATTACTTGATGATCAGAACATGGCCAAGGGACAAGGTAAATCTAGCGAGTCGCGGGCACAGCCACAACCGCCAATCTACCTGCGCACGACAAGCCTGCTATTACCTCTCCCCACGCCTGATTTCAGCATGCCGTACAACGTGATTATATTGACCAGTACGGTTATGGCGTTGGCGTTCGGGAGCATTTTTAATATTCTTGTTCGCCGCCTTGTCGCTGTCGAGGAGGCGCCAGAGAGCGGGATCAAGGCGAAGATTCTGGGCTGTATTGTTGCGGTGAAGGATAAGTTGGGAGGAAAAGTGGTTAAGGTGGAGTAGGGTGTATGCGCTGCTGCCGATATTAATGCATATTTCATTTGGTTTTACCTTGCTCAGCATTTATTCTTTGGACCACCTGGTTCCTGATACCCTAGCTCGGTGACAATATACAACATCCTACATTTTGCGACTTTTCATACCGATGTCTGGTATACCACCCATCGGGCCCCGTCCCTGAAACCGATTTGTTGTCATAATATATATCGGACAATAACTAGTTTTGTAGGTTGTAATTATCATCCCCGTCCATCCACGCTGAAGGGAGTAGTAGTAGTAGTAGTAGTAGTACACCATAAAATGGTATGGCCACCTGAGCTGATCTCCGATCCAGCAAATCTGTGTAATGATTCGCATACCAACAGCGAAACAGATAAGCAATCATAGGCCCGAGGCTATAAAAATCATCATTTTGCGCAAATTAATACCTCCTGGAACTGTGCAAGTGGTAGCTGCAAAATGGTTTAAAAAGACGAACAGGATCACCCAAAGCAAAGAAAATGAAAAACAAGGGCATATAATAATAAAAAAAGCCAATTGGCCCAAAAACTGCAGGAAATTTTTGACTTGATTAAGAATACTCCAAAAAGAGCAAAATAGAGGGTTTGTAGGTTGTGGGCGTGATCAGGTCCGTCTCGAGTTACCAGCAAGAAGGGGGAAGCCGTCCAAATATACGAAAAACACATACATAGGCCAAATTATAAATCTACACAAAGAAGCTACACCAAAAAAACCAATTTCCCCTTACGAATTACCCCCCCTTTTCCCCTCTAATGTCATGGATGATAATGTCGCTTGCAGTGACTGTTGTTGCTCTTCCTGTGCCTGGGTCATCTCCACCTGCTCCGCCCACGACCCTTGAGGCGAAAGTGGCGTAGCAACGCTTTCCTTGCCGTTCGCGTTCGCATGGCCATTCCTATTTCCGCTCCCACTTACACCGGACGCAGTCGGCAGCGCAGGGAACTCGTCTTCCTCGTTAACGCGAGGAGGCTCAAGAGGGTGATGTGAAGGCGACACGCCTTCGACCCACTTCTCAACGTCAGGCCCAGATGGGGCCCCGGACATTTGTCTAGCAAAATAGTCCCCACGGCCCCTTCCACCTCTTGCGCGACGCGGGTTCCCGCGCCCGCTTCCTCTCCCGCGAAAATACCCCCCACTCTCGTGCTCTATCAACGAATCTCCTGCAAAACCCCGCACACCATCCGCCGCCGGAGCGGCCCCAGCATTAGCAACAGCGCCATGCGCACCACGTCGATACGAACCACGGCCGCGTCCCGCCGTCGACGCGAAAGCCTCCACAGACTTCTCAACATCCCACTCACGCCTGGTTTGCGCCTCGAGTTTTCGTCGCCGATTCCGCTCCCGCTCGTTGTTCATCGCGTGGCGGTTCTGCATCTCCTCACGCCGTTTTTCGGCGGCGACGCGCTCACGTTCCAGAAATGAGGCTTCGTCGGCTTCCGCGCGGGCGTGCGCTGCTGCCCGCTCCGCTGCTTTTAGTTTAGCAGCTTTCATGCGTTCTGTGAGTTCGTCCTCAGTGAGCTTAGGCTGCAGGAAGGTAAAAAGCGATTTAGTTAGTTACAACAGTTGTTATTGATAAATAATGTATTCGAATCGGTAGCGTTTAGCGGCAGTAGTTACCTTTTTCACACCGCCAGTCCCGCTCCTATCTCCCTTGACCGCAAAAGTCCTAGGTGCCGGCGTGTCCTGCTCTTTCGTATTTTTATCCACGCCGTTTTCCTCATTCCGATCTGTCTCCCTCACTCTCCCATCCGCATCCCCACCAACAGTTGCCTCCACCTGCCCCTCTTTACTATCCTGCACCTTTTCCTCTCCCTCTCCACCACCCGCGGCAGGTGTAGGGGTCGCAATATACCTTTCCTCCGCCGCTAGCGACCTCGCGCTCCTCCCACCACGCCAACCACCACCGCCTTGTCCTCTGCCCCTCCCCCTCCCCCTCTCCCCACTATACCCGCACCCACTCCCGCGGCTCCGATGATTATTGCCATTTATATACTGAGCGGCACCATTACTCTCCTGAGGGGCCGGTACGTGTGCCTCGGCGTGAGACGGCGATTCACGACCACGTTGTTGTTGTTGTTGATGTTGCTGCTGTTGCTTTTCTGGTGATCGTGACGCCAGTGGCTGTGAAGGTGGTCGTGGATGAGAGGGAGCCGGTCGCTGATGTGTGGATTCACGATCCACATGTTCCGGTTCGAGTTCGGAGTGGTATTCGATCTCGACTTCCTCGGCAGGAAGGGGGACGATTTCATCATCGAAGAGATCGTCGACGCCGCGTGTTTGGGCAAATTCGTCCATTATCTTTCCCTGCGCCCTTATTTATGAGATTTGCGGGTGGGGATGGTGTGGGTTTGCCAGCTTCCAGGTCGTGGGTAGTTCCGCCTCTGAATTTCCCGCGCGCAATGCCGGTAATGCGAAGGCGGAAAGTTGTGGAAAAAGGTGGTATTTTGTAGCTCGAGTTATAGATATGGTGTAGTTAGAGCCCTGTATGTATGCAAAAGGAGTACGGTATTAGATTTGGATATCGCAGGAACGGCCGCGGTGTATACCTGTTCGCTCCTCAAAGGGTCAATCGCATGAGGAGAAATGCGGCCGCGCACCAAACAGGTAACAACTTAGGAAATTTGTATGACTGGTCTCGATGTCAATTGCGGTGGTATAGATGTATATTTAACTCTGTACGTCCACCTCGTCTTGCAAAGGTGGGGATGTGACGATGAGCTTAGTGACCGGGGCTTGATGTTCTTCCCGTCTGCTTTTGTCCTTATGCTGTCTGCAGCTCCCACGAAGGAGCTGGAAGTTAGAATATCAAAATACCTTTACCGCCCGTTTGTCAACAAGCCGCAAGTGGCGTCTGGAACGAGGGGAGATGGTTTACGGCGCAAATAACTTGAACATTGAAAGGCTGCACATACTACATGTACAGTACATAGATGGTCTTTTCTGTCATGGACCGCCGCCTTAGGAAGTTAGAAGCGATTTGTCATGTGATTGAGAAAGGGGCAGCAGTCCATAAGGCAAAATGGACCAAGAAGTGTTGATGGAAACATTATTTTGAATTATCTCGCCTTTCGTTTCGATACTGTGGAGGAAAAGCACAAAAACAAGGTATTAAAGAAGCAAGTAAAATAGCAGAAATCAAAACCCCTTTAAACGCCGATTTGTCTGATCCGAGCTGAGCCAGGCCCATGTTTGGAATAGAAGAGAAAGCAAAGAGAAGATCAGAAACGAACAAAATTCCACCAAATCCCCATCCATCGCTTCCTGCTCACACAAGACATATCTTCGTATTTAAAATTATCCATCACCCATCGCCATCACATTTCATTTTCCTGCCCCTGCTGCCCCCGTGGTGTAGAATTGTAGGACAGGCTGAACCCAGTTCTGGTATTAACATCAACCACCCCAAACAGAGCCAGCACGACATTCATCGCGCCCGTCACCTGCTCCAAACTCAAAACTAGCAGACCTCGCATGTTTTAGTGAAGAAATAAAAGGGAGGGCGGGGAGGGAGTGTGAAAAAGCAGAACAAAATGTGAAATAGGATCGTGGAGAAGGTATTACAAATCGAAGGGAGATGAACATGAGAATGTGTAAAGAAAGGAAAAGTAAACTAATATCGAACCCAGCCTTTGTAAATGAAGTGAACTCATGCATGCAGATGAATGCAATGGATAGCGAGTAACAAAAAACAAAATGAGAAGATATTTAGGATTTTAGTTAAGGAAATATATCGAATCACAAAAAAACGAATAAAATAAAATAAAAACTTTGATTGGGTGGGGCAGGAGGGGAATAGAAAGGGGGAAAAAGAGACAGATATGGAATCTAGGGAATTATGCAGAGAAATAAGTCGTGGGAGAAAGAAGACCGTAACGTTTTAGCATTTTGCAAGAGGATATGGAAGGTTGATGGGTAGAAGAACCAAGGCACAGAAAAACAAAACCATTGACAGCACAACACAACAAGCGTTAGACGAGGTGTTGTACTCCTGCAAGCGAAAAAAAAAGACTTAAGACAGATGAAATGCCCCCTGCCCCTCATGGATAGCAACATTGAGCCGTTGACGGAGGATGTCGATGGTGGAATAATCGGGCAATTTGAGGTAGTTGACGCATGTCATTACGCTGGGAAGATAATCATCCGGCATGTACGGAGGGTCGCTTGGGCGGCAGACGACGGTGAACATTGGAGTTAGACTTTTGAAGCCTGAGGAGTGGAAGTTAGCAAATGAGAATTCGTAAAATTTATCACAAACGGAAGAAAGTGGTGGACAGGCAAGGGAGAAGGGGAGTTGCTCGTTATTTGACTTACCTCCAATTGGAAGCTTGGGGCTGCCTGTGACGAATTGCAAAAAGTCGCGACGCTCTTGCTTTGTAAATTCGCTCATGACGTGTAATAAATTGCGCACGCTTTTGCTGTCCATGTTGAAGCCGTGGTCTGCTTTCATCGAGTCCATCAACGCTACAAATAACAAAGTTAGTAACTCTAAAGGCAGGCACAGAAATAGAATGAACATACTCTCAATTGACCAATCCTCCTCAACTTGCCCAAACAACATCACGAGCTCGTCGGGCGTAAATGACTGAAGGGACGAGTAAGGGAACACCTGTGAGAATCCAGCACGGAACGCATCGATCTGGGCCTGGACGCCACTGCCCAGCGTCATATCGATGACCTTGCTGATGTACGACCCTACGTTATCCATCGTCACGGCAATAGAGGAACCATGCGGAATCATTTGGATCGATGGGTACCCTGGCAGCGTGAAGTCCAAGCTCAATTCCTCAACCCGAACGCCGTCGACAGTAAGCTCATCTAGCGCTCGAGCTTTTCCATCAGCACTAAGAGAATCATCAGCATTTATGGCAGCCTGTGCGGCCGTGAATCGTTTCAAGAGCATGAGTGAGTTGGCGAGTTCAGGATCCACAGCCTTGATGGTTGTAACAGTTGGGGTCACAGCTGATGGAGTAACGCCGCCAATGCGGAAGAATATGGGGTTGAACGCGATGTCAATAATTCTTGAATCTAACATTGATCGAGCGACGAATTTGCCAAGTCCCTTGAAATATTGTAGCTGTTTCTTACCCGCCTCCGATGATACTTGCTCGCGACTCATAGGCGCGGGGAAGAGACCCAGTTTGTTGAAGACAAAATCGCTCTTGTCATGAGAATCATGTTCTCGCCATAGCTTGAGCTTCTTCCGCGAAAACTCTCTTGAAACAGTTGAGTAGAACTCCAGCGTCGGGCCGAGACCCGTGCCAACTTCGTCAAAGTACTCGACTTCAAGAACGCTGGGCGACGAACCGTACAACTCCATAACCTTCATGGCGGAATCTAGGATGCGAGATCGCGAGATGCGGACTTTCTGTCGCTGTAGACGCCCTGCATACGGGCGATCATCACGTCGCTGGTCTCGTCGATTTTCATCGGACTGCGACCCTTGCCATCGCACCATGGAGCGTGCATAGCCGAAGGATGTTGATTGTAGGAAGAGGTGTCGAGTTTCGAATGGGAAGAGGAATGGAAAATGGCGCGCAAGATCCTCGCTCCAACTGGGGAGGCAGCTACTAGCCACGATCAATGGTTCTTCAAGTTGTCGGTTGAGCTTGGCTGTAAGCTTCGTATTAAGAAACTGTGAGAGAGGTTCTTTAACAACTCTAATCTGACAGTTGCTCTCTGCTAAGATGTCATCCAGCTGGGCGTTCATTCCATGTAGAACCCCAAGCAGCCTAAGGATGGATGCCGTCGTTGGATTCTGACTCAGGGACTCTGGCATTCCACCGGAATACTTCTCTAACGATAGATTGCTGGAAGTTGGGCTCAACGTGGATGGTTCCGGCGGCGGGGGTCCTTGAACGCGCTTGTACTTGATCGTATGAACTATGGACCACACATTACGCGAGAGAGAATCGCTCAAATGTTCTCTATTATGGTGAATTGCTCGATACACCGTCGTCTCATGGGAGATTGGTTTGTCATCCACACGGAACTCGATGTGCCAATCCTGCGGGATAGAAGCAATTGCGGCGGCATAGGAGAATGGCCGACCAGCAAATGCCAAAGAACCACCTAGAGATTGGCTAGACGTTGGGGCAGAAGATGATGGCCGCCCCGTCGGGGTTGACTGTTGCGGTGTTGCAATCCTGGTTCCGTCTTCTTTATGCGCCGTTACTTTCCCAGTCGCAGCAACCTCCAAGTTAACAGCCGTCGGATCTGAAACTTCTTCATCAGAGAGATCATCTTCGAGGTCATCAACAATGGCATCCAACGCATCATCCTCTTCTTCCCCTTCATCATCATCAGTCAGATGTCTCTCATCAGCGCATTCTAGGGGCTCATCAGTGCCATCTGTTTCATCGTCGGGAGGTGGTGGTTGATGCCGATTTGGGCGCCTCGTTCGGAGAGACGGCTCCTCAGAACCTCCAGATGACGCTGTCTGCGTGGAAGACTGAGGCTTGGATCTATCTGGCACTCGTGTGCTTCTGGAGGAGGTGTCTGGCTGTGGCGGCGGGGGAGGTAAAGTAGGTGGCTCGAGCCCTCCAGAGTATGTTGTCTCAGGTCCACTTCCAGGGGTGTCTCTAGGTCTAGAGGAACCAGATAGCTGAGAAAATATCGTGTCGCGATTCCGTGAACCTCTGGGACGTTCAGACAAGCTGATTCGAGGACGAAGGTAGTCGTCAAGAGCTTTAAAGTTTGCAATTGCGTGGATCGATACCATTATATTTTTATATGGTTTAGGAACATCGGACTCATCATCCGCAATCAGGCGGAGTCGCAATTGTTTCGAAAGCATGGATGTCGCGTTCCTGTTGTCCAGAGAGCTGTGGTTGACAGTGATTACTTCGAAGTGTTCCGTTCGGCTGAGAAGGTCATGGAGTTTATGGATCAAAACACTGAAGGGGGTGGTAGGCGAGCCAGTTTTGCTAACGGTCGCCGTTGAGATATCCGATTCCATGAATGCTCGGAGAAAATCTGTTCTGGCATCTTTTCCGGGTGCTGCAGAAGATAGAGAATTAGCTGATATGAAATTTAGAGTATTGGGACCATTAATTCCTGTCTCACCTGCATCCTTCTTGCTAATCACATCCAGCAAAACATGAATGATACCCGAGCTAAGTAGTTCAGAACTTGTAATACTTTCAAGCGCATCCCCATCGAAGTAGGTTGCCAATCTTTGGAACAGCGCATAGCCATTAGAAGGTTTCACGTTGCTGTAACAGGCTTTGATATCCTCGACAAGTGCCTGTAGGGACTGAAGAATTTCTAGGGCTTTATCATGCATGCCTTTGCCCTTGCTACCATCATATATTCGGAGAAATCTCCCAGCGCTGCAAGTGACAAAATCGTGGAGCGCCGAGTCCGCCGTTCGAGAAATGGGCCCACCTGATACGGATGAGGAGCTATCTGATTCGGACATTTCATCGTTGTCCTCGTCGTGATCCTCATCATCCTCATCATCCTCATCATCCTGGCTCTCCTCGTCATGATTCATACCTCGATCCTTTTCTTCCTCATCCTCGGAACTCTCATGGCTCTTGTCGGAGGAACGTCCATTTTCAAGATCTACTTCGGGTTTGGAATCTTGATGACGGTCAGGTTTAACAGACAGCGGAGTTTCGGCAAGTTTTGTGATTTCGGTGATTACCCCTTCGCGATGAAACTGGTATTGATAAATGTCTTTGAGGCGCTCAAAGAGCAGTTCCGCACACTGTAGAGCCAGGGCAACAAGAGACAGATGGTCCTTCTGTGACAGAATAGCAGCCAAAAATGAGGCATATGGAACAGTGCGTAGGGCATCCTCGATAATTTGAGCATCAAGATTCTGAAGCATCTTCAACTGCGCCATAAGTACCTTTTGCCTCACTGACAGATTCACCGTACTAGAATAAGCGTCTGTTAGTGTTGGTAGTAAGATTGTTGCGAAGCGTTTAATCTCTGGTTTGCAGCCTTTGAGAAGTTTCACTCTTTGCTCCGCCGATGTCTTTGCTCGGGGCGTTTTGGAAAGTGGAAAAATATCGCTTTCAAAACTCGCTTGCAGATGATGGTCGGAAAGGGCTAGCTCCTCGTTCGGAACACCAGGGAGAAGCTCGCAGATAACATTCAACGTCTCAAATATCTGCTCTCGTGGGCGATGGATGAGAGCTTGCATGATGTGCACACTATCGATTTTGATCGGACCACCAGTCTCGGAAGGGGGGGAGACCCCTGTCAGCATTTGATACAGTGTATCAACCACATTCATCCTCAGAAGCTCAACCGACAAGTGCGGACTGGATCTGGCAGTGATGGCTAGCACGCGGAGGAATAGGGTATGGATATGAGGCCCGATCAAGTTCGTGGTGCCAGGTAGAAGGAGCCGAAGAATAGCCTTTAACATGTCGGGTTCAATTAATTGCTCCAGCTTCTCTGGTTTATATTTGAAACTTTCAACCACCCGAGAAACACACAGACATCCCTGTTCTACGACCTTTTGGTCATTGCTGGAAAGGACATTGAGTAATGTTGGCATGACATCCCGGATAACAGGGAACGAATCATGAGGTAAATTGCGGCAACAATTTGCAGCCGTTATCACAGCAGTACGCTGGGTGCTTGTGGGGAAGAAGTCTAAGTAGGAGAGACATGCTGTGAGGCCTCCTTCACGCACAATGGATGTAGGGAAATCAACGGAGATCTTGGCAAGTGTCTGTTACAAGGTGGTTAGTTTTGAAGAAATCGGATTCTCCCCTTGGGTCCTCAGCAAAATGAACACATACACTCAGAGCTTGTTCCGCAAGGTCTATGAACTGTATATCCAGTAGCTTCTGACAAAGAACCGGTACTGCACCACCATACACAACGTTTGCAACAGATCCTCGAAGGGCTTCCATCAAGTTCGCCAAGCTACGACATGCAAGGAGCATGATTTCAGGATTTTCTTCCCCTGTCTCGCTGGGTTGCATCAACTTCACCAGCTCCTTAACGAAAGGGTCGGGAGAAAATTGTCCCGCTAGGTTATCTTCGTTGGAAACAAGCAATAGATCTGAAAGTTCCTGCAAAGCAATTAGTTGGATCGACGGATCCTCCTTAATCCGTAGGTTATTGAGGATATCACGTAGTCGAGATGATGTTCCAGCCATCAAGCCACTCAAGGCTCGTAGAGTACTCTGCAGGGCCATGGGGCTTCGCGTGCCGAATAGATTACTCCGGAAAGCGTCTCCCTCTTCATCATCGGTCATACCAGATGGATGTGGGCCGTCGTTCGAATCACTCAGAGGGGATGGTTGCGCCTCAGCTTTCGTTTCCAGCCCCTCCTCATGTTGGTGTTCTTCGGGTTCCTTCATGGCCACATCTGACTCCGACTGACGTTTGGAAAGGCGTTTTCTGTGGCGTCGTGAAGGGGAAGTTTGGTTGGAAGGAGCATCTAAATGAAATATAGTGGTCAGAATCAGTGTAGCTATAACCGATCTAAGATTTATTCCGACATTGCCGCAACACCGCTCATACCTTGTGGGGGTTTCTTAGTCCTACTTGGGCGCTGTCTAGGAGGAGTGGAAGATGAGGCAGTTGTTTTCGAATTGTCATCCGAGGGACGTGAAGAGGGGCTGTACAACCAATCAGCACAGTTTAGCAAGTCATTTAGACGTCGAATGGTAAGATTCAGAGGAGATATAGAAAAGCCAAAACATACCCAGGTTGGGACATTGCAGGTGGTTGTTGTCTGGCACCAACCCGACTTTGGGGCAGAGGGGCTGAAAAGTCGGTAGATGGGCCAGCAAGTTTCACTCTTTTAGTTCGCCGGGGTGGGGAAGCGGGGAGCAGCTGCTCCTGGTCGTTTGACGATCTCGACGGTCGTGTGGTAGTGGGAGCTTTTCGTTTCCGCGCCTGTGCGGGAGGTGGCGGAGGTTGGGGATGTGATACAGCGGAAGTGGATGCAGGAAGATAAGTCGACGAGGGTTGGTCTGCTGCGAGTCGTGCAGCCGAGCGGGTGATCCTGGGAGACATTGAGAGAAGCTTAATTCCTTGTTTTTTCTTGAAGACAATTCGGTAGAAGATCCCATGCAAGACAAGGCCAGCAGATATGGGACAATATAAGAAGGGCCTCTTTTTGTTCTCTCACGCTCTACAGTCGAGTCGAGGGATGGGATAGTTCAATCGGCAAGAAAAGTGTGAAGGAGAGGCGGGAAAGAAATTGAATTGAACAAAATGAAAAAGAAGATCAGGCCGTTGCGGATGGGAAAAGTGGGGAAATGGAGAAAAGAGAAAATGAAGAGGTAATACCTATGAGGAGGAGAAGGTGTGGAAGTCTCCAAAGAAGCTCCCGGAGCGAGAGGATAGGAAGTAAACACGGAGGCGGAGGACGAGGAGGAAGAGGAGGCAGTGAGAGCAGAGGATGAAGACTCCGGGATCAGTCCAGACTGTTCAGAAGGAGTAGCAATTCGCTTGGCCATAAGTATGTTCACACACAGTGCCAGTCTTCAACCCGCCATCCGCAGTTCTGTGAGACCGAGGAATGGAGGGTTGGATGACGAGCAAAGACCGAGCGGTGGTATAACAGAGCAACGGGCCGCGATGGCCAAGGTATCATTTAGCTAGGGAGATAGTGAGAAATGCCAGACCAGAAAGCAAAGGCTGTGGACGTTGGAGGCGGAAGCGGTAAGGTGGAAGTTGGAGGTGGGAAGTTGGAGAGTCAAGATGGGAGGCGAAGTGGGAGGAGTGTGATGATGTGGTTGAGGTTGAGGTTGTTGAGGATGATGATAAGAACTGGACGCCAAGAACCCGGATAGCAGCCTCGAGGAGCCAGCAGGAAGCAAAAGGAATATTGGTTAAAAGAAGATAAATAGATAAAAAATGACAAATTTAAAAGATCAGAATAAAATAAAGATCATAGAGGCAGAAGCAGGTTGATTTCGTTCTTGGAGCTGACTGAAAATGATGTCTTTCTGTATGTTTCCCCCCGCCACAAATCCTAGTGTATATATATTTCATTCTGCTCAATTGCCAGCGCATTCATCCCGTCCTGATAGATATGGATAGCCATTTGCCATTCCCGGCTCCGTCGATCAATCCTCTTATTTCTCTTCGTCCTCTCCTTCGGCCTGTCTATCCATCCAACATAAATAACTTGAATTCCTCATACTCTTACAGTCAGTATTCGCTCTTACATGCTTCAAAGTACAGTATCCAGGAAAAGACTTCCTTCCATTCCACATCAGAATATAGAATATGAAGGAAGATGTTCTAACTACTCATAATGAATGCTATTTAGTATGGTAGCTCCGGGATATGGGATGGGAATCAATGGCTCCTTAGCTACATATTCAGAGGAAGAAATTACGCACTGCACTCCTTTGTCTTCGACGAGATTGACTACAAGTGGCATGTGTACTTCTTCGAACAAGATGATAGAGTTGTCTGGAGGATTGGGGGAGAGGTACTGTTAACTGCCCCAACCATCTAGGGGTGGTCGGCAGTTCCTTAACGCTTATTATACCTATAACTTAGTGGACTGGATGCCAACCACTAGGGCAGCCTAAGCCCGGGAGAGGAGCCGGGCGCCATAATCTAGCGTTTGATACGATTCCTCGTATCACGCGAGCATGTTCGAACTGGGTTTGTCAACCGGAAACACACACTAAAAGAAGTCACACTGCACGCCGTTTTCTGCGGCGCGATATGAGATGCATTCCAATTCAATCGTCTTTGAAGGCAAAATTTCGGTCTTCGAGGAGCCTTGTTGACATAAAACCCCAAGAACAATACGGAGGAGATCCGCCCTAGATTTCAATTGCGGGCTTCCCCAAGGACTAGTTCTCCTTGGGATTGACCAGCGGAACAGAACTTGTATTCAACTCCCTCTCGCTGCATCCGTTTGAGTAATTTCATCTGTGCTAGCCTCCGCCGGTTCTTCTGCACGAATCAAATCATCAACTCCTGCAACGACCACGAAACGCCGATGAATTTCACGGGCTGACGCTGCAGGTGCCAAAAGAGGCAAATAAGATGTCTAATATCTCACTGACATCATCTTGTCTCTCCCCTGCGGATTTAGTTGGTGTACCTCGATGCATAGCTAGCTGCTGTCTGCAGCTGTATTCTTTCAACGTCGCATCATGACTTCAGACTAGCTTGGGATCTGGATTTTGGCTCGCAAACGACCCTTGAAGAGGAGCTGAGTGGCGGGTTTCGTAGTTGCATGTGGCACACATAGAGAGTACTTGAATATTTCCATGTGTAGTACAGCCTTTGATACGTCTTGTTAGTAACTCTTTGCCTCCCAACGGTACTCCGTACAGAACACGGCATTTTATATTCCGTATAAAAGCATCGGTGCCTGGAGAAAAGATAAAGAGAATAAAAGAAAACGAAAATACGGTGGCTTGCTCCTGACCGCGATCCAGCCCTCTGCGTGCATGGACTTCTGAACTCGGTCTGGTGTTTGGCATGTTCTGAATGAAGTTCTTCCCCCCCGCCAACTAAATAAATACCTTTCTCACCGAGTCACCATCCACTTTTTCCCTCTCTCCTCTCCCAAATCAAATACTTCCCCTCGTTCTTCTGCCTACAGAGAGGGGAGGATACCAGCAAGGAAAGCAATTCAATTAGGCTCCCTCTCCCTCTCCCCTCTTTAGAATCTCCTCTCCGGGCCTCAGGAAACCTTGAATTTGTTCTTTCTCTCTCCGTTTCCCATCCCAAAACCACCCTGCATTCCACAATACCACAATCGCATATTCCTCCTTGTGTTTCTCTATATGCCGATTCGACTCCAATCTCGGACGGATCGCATATTCTCCTTCTCCCTCCTCCCCTCCGTCTCCACCATCAGTCCCGTGCAGAACCGTCAACACCATGGGTGATGTCGACTCTGCCCTAACCGGCGCCCATGTCGACGGCAACGGAGTCGCGGGACCGCCCATGGACCCGGAATCTTACAAATTCCCAGATCAGAGACTGAAAAAGGTCATGTCTGATCCGTCCAAAACTCCGCTCCTACTGGTGGCATGCGGCTCCTTCTCGCCGACCACTTACCTACACCTGCGTATGTTTGAGATGGCGGCGGATTATATCAAGTTCACCACGGATTTTGAGCTGATTGGTGGGTACCTATCGCCTGTGTCGGATGCATATAAGAAAGCCGGTCTAGCCAGCGCGGTACACAGGTATGTTTTTTTTTTTTTTTTTTTTTTCCCGCCTCTCCACATCATCGATATTCTAACCGCCCTTTCCCGCCCTCTTTTCCTGCAATTGGTATACCGGGAATTACGCTGACACATACTTCATCCGGCACTCAGAGTTGCCATGTGTCAACTAGCAGTCGAGAAGACCTCAAACTGGCTGATGGTTGATCCGTGGGAGCCGATGCAGAAGGAATATATCCCCACCGCAAAGGTCCTGGATCATTTTGACCATTACATAAACACGGTCCTGGATGGGATTGATACAGGCGAAGGAACTCGCAAGCCTGTGCGGGTGGCCCTACTTGCCGGTGCGGACCTCATCCACACCATGTCCACGCCTGGTGTATGGAGTGAGAAGGATTTAGATCATATCCTCGGGCGATACGGGGTGAGTCATATGTTTTCCTTTCCTCCCCGATGGCTTTTTTTCGAACATTCTTGAAAAGGATATCCCCAGACTGACATAGTTGTTTATATACATATAGAGCTTCATTGTCGAGCGTGCCGGCACAGACATTGACGAAGCAATTGCCAGCCTGCAGCCCTGGAAAGAAAACATATACGTAATCCAACAATTAATCCAAAACGACGTTAGCAGCACGAAGATCCGCCTCTTCCTCCGCCGCGAGATGAGCGTTCGCTACCTAATCCCCAGCCCCGTTATAGATTATATCGAGAAACACCACCTGTATGAAGACGAAGGGTCGTCCTCCACTACTACGGCAAAGCAGAATGGAAACGAGAGCCAGAACTCAACCCCAGGTTCAAATTTGGGAGATAAAGGAAAGGGCAAGCAAGCGGACACAACGATGCCCTGTGAAAACGATAACCCTAGTGGATGATAATTTTATGGTTTTCCGTCCCCATACCGGCGCGTCCCTCACAAACAATTAGATTCCGTTTTCGGCGACAAACATGTTACATCTCATTCATGTACCGGTGCTTCGCGAGGTTGAGGGGTGAATTATCGTGCGGCGGGGGACGCCAAAAGGGAGAGCGCGCGGGCGGCGGGATCGACAACATTCTAATGGATATATTTTCTCCCTCTTTGTCTATGATATGTATGAATGTATGAATATGAATATGCCTCCCGTCCACCGTTCGTCACGTGCTTGGCATACACATATACATATATCTACATACATATGCTCGAGCATTCCACGAAACAACAGAAATGTGTCTAACGGACATTCCCTTTTCCCGTATGGATGCGGTGGAGACCGGACAAGCATTGATAAAGCATAGATACAGCCAACATCCCTCCTTCCTACCTACTTACCTTCCCCATTGCCGATTCGAAGGGCCCTAGTTCACCGTTCCCCGAGCCTTCGAGAAAAGGGTTTGGGGTATATCCCTCTCTCCCTTCCTCTCCTCGACCACAAGAAAGAAGCTCGAATAAAATTTAAAAAAAAAAAAAAAAAAAAAAAAAAACAGGAAAACGAAAAAATGAGAAGAAAAAAAGGTTACAAAAAAGGACAGACCGGCCACACACAGTCGCCCGAGGGCCCAAACGCCCTAACCATAACTCAACCCACTCACGTCTACCTCCGAGCTATCCAACCTCCTATCCTTCCTCGATCCATAAAGCAATACTCTAAACCGTAACCGGCTGATCCCGCGGGTTAGAGCAGAGATAGGGCAGAGAAAAATCAGCTCCACGAATGCGTCGTATACAGAGAGAATATATACCAGTACATATATATGCCATGCACCCGTTTGCATCCCCAACCCAAACAGAAAGCCGGAGGGCAGTGGCAGGGGGGCTGGAGTTCAGTTTTACTTCCATTTAACATTGCCAATGCATGTATATGCAGGAAATGGGGGGGCCGAACAGCTTTGTGACTTATATATCTTTCCCTTCAATCCCGAATTTTTTATATGTTGTCATTGATATATATATACATCTAATTTTTGTCAATTATCTCATCTGTATTTATTTGCTGTTTCTTCTCATTGTTTTTTCTTTTCTAAACACGCTGGATGGATGCAATGGATTGGTCAGTCCAGCTGGTGGTTGTGGGTGGCAGACGTGTGTTTTTTTTTCTTGCTCGAGCATGGCGGTAGCATCGGCGGTGAATGGTCATGGGGTAGATAGATGGTCCTGGGTTGGCAGCCTGTTTGTAAGACCTTTTCTCTCATTTATCTCTCGCTGTGGGGAGATCAGGAGCATAGGGAGTTTCGTGTATGTGCATCTTTTTTTATTAGCATGGCGGCGCAGTACACTCGCTGCTGCGATGCGCGCAGCCATTCATACTAGTACTTCATCCCTCATCCCACATCCAAGTCCTGAGCCACCTCTGTGCTCAAAAATCATATCAAAATAAATCCGTAACCCCCCACATCACGCCCAAACACACCACAGACATCCCGCGCCAAGCGGTGGAGTACAGAGGAAATGTTCGATCCTGGAGGGGCTTATCTAATCTACTCCACAGCGGAGTTTTTGCTAACGAACTATTCCCCTGAATTTGCTGTTCTTTCACCAACCATCAAGCAACTCCTTCGCTTCATTGAGTTACTTTGTTGCGCTCTGTGTGTGTGTGTTAGTTGTTCCCAGTCAGGTACGTCAGGTTGGGTGGATTTCATATCCCACCTATACATAACTACCAGTTTGCTGCAAGGAACCAATGGATCCCATGCCCTCTGTCAACCGCCGATATGTACATACCAAAACACTATGATACCGCTTGTCGTGATGAGAGTGCTTGGTGTGTGATATCAGGTTGCCGTTTCCCCCAAATCCGTTTTCCCCAATCGAAGGATGATGAGTGAGATGTTGCGGTTTGAGTTTTCTTTCCATCTGGATCTAGACATTTTAAAAACTAACCCACCTCGAAATTTCAGTCTTTATTTGTCGACAACCAAATCCTCATTTCGAAAGGGATTCCTGATTTGAAAGGCCAAGTGCCCTATCTGCAACACCCCCCATAATAATAATATACGACGGCGGCAACAGTCAAGAGATAGCTCTGCTCATTCCCGCCGCCACAATGGGTTCGATTGAGTTGCCGGCCATGAAAACGAAGCCGAAGATCATCTTCTTCACTGACTTCGATGGCACCATCACCATCAAAGATAGTATGTTTCCTCTCACTGTCTCCTCCAAATGCCCACTCCACAACATTATTCCCGCTTTCTTACTATTTGCGGGCTCTGTCAATCCTGTTGAGTGAGGTGGGGTTGTAGCTCTGGTGGTGTTGAAGAGCTTGTTGTGTTTCGCTACATATAACCTAAGAACGCGGGAGAAGAATAACGGGAATGATTTCTAATGTGATGCTCTGCCTCTTTTTCCTTTTTGTTCCGGTGGTGGTGTATAGGCAATGATTTCATGGTATGATATATGGATTTATCATTGTAGCTCCTCTTCTTGCCTCCTCTTTTAACCAATGCTCTTCTGGCAAGGGTATTAAAGATCTTGACCTTCGAGATGGGAGATATTAAGAGATAAAGATGGATCGCCCGCTTGCGTGCGGAATAATGGAATATTTACTAACATGCTTGAAATAGACCGATAATCTGGGCTATGGTCAAGAAAAGCGTCGACAGGGCAACATAGACGTCCTCGAAAATAAGATCACGTTCCGGTATGTTCCTCTCCTCCCATCCCAGAAAGAAATCACTGAAATCCACTAACACACTATGTCCAGGGATTCATTCCGCGAGATGCTCGACAGCGTCAAGACTCCCTTCAACGAATGCATTCGCATCCTACTCGAAAACATGGAGCTGGACCCGCATTTCACAGCGTTCTACAACTGGGCGCGGGACCACAATGTTCCCATCGTTATCCTGTCCTCTGGCATGGTGCCCGTCATCCACGCATTGCTCGTCAAGCTCCTCGGTCACGAGCCGGATAATATCCAGATTGTTGCCAACCAGGTTGCGAGCAGGGATGGAAAGGATATCAATTCTGAAGGCGGGTGGCAAATTGTCTATCACGATGATAGGTGAGGAAGTTTCTAATATAGATATATATATATTCTGATCTGGGAAGACAAAGGAGGTGTTCGGACAATATCAAGTTCGGGAAGGGGAAATTGACTAATCGATTTTGATGCAAACTCTTAGCCACTTCGGCCATGACAAATCCCTCGAAATCAAGCCATATGCCGCACTTCCAGCAGGTGAGCGGCCCACGCTCCTCTATGCCGGCGATGGGGTTTCGGACCTATCAGCAGCGTCGCAGACCGATTTGCTTTTCGCAAAGAAAGGGAGAGGTAAGTTCCCTCCCCCCACCCCAATAACTACGTATCTCTGCGTTCTATCATCGCCACACATCTTGGCCATTTGGCCTTGCATCCCAGCTCCCATATAAAGTGGGCTCTCACCCCCGCTGACATACGATATTCAGACCTAGTCACATACTGTCAACGCGAGAAAATCCCCTACACCGTCTTCGACGACTGGTCGAGCATCCTGCAGACGACTAAGGAAATTTGGGAGGGGAAAACGGATCCGAAGACTGTTGCTGCAGTCGCGTCTGGTGCGAGTGTGTGAGCAAGGAAGCTGGGTGGTGGGGGGGGAGAGAGTTCATAGGTTGAGTAGCTTAGTTTTATAGAGAGACGCATTGCTAGATATATAGAATACAGTGGAAATGATAAGGGATGGAGAAAGAGAGGAAGAAAAGTGGGAATGACCTGTGATTTCTGTCTGTATCCGATATATATATAAATATATAGTTAGATAGAGGGGGTGAGCAACGGATAGAGCTTCTTAGAAGGGGGGGTTATATTCTCATCGTCATTGTTCATAGTTTCGTTGATGGAACTTACAAGGCTGCTGTGAGGGGTAACTAGTTCGGATGCTCAACTTCAGAAGTGTAAGCAGTTTCGTACAAAGAGACAAGTTGCGAATGAGCCCCGAACAAATAGTTCCCGTATGGATGACAGAGAGTAGTTGCTGTAAACATACATGAAATTCCAACAAAGGGCTCTAACATTCCATGCAGGTCCTCCTACAGCCTCTGTTCCTGAATGTTCTACACAGCACCCTCGGCTGAATCCTCTTCCAGCAGCTTTTCCCCTTTCTTGGGGGATGGCGCGAGGGGAAGGGAGCCCCGGGAGAGGAGGAAGGCCTACAATTCATTCATAATCCCCGAATTCGGGATTCATCAACCCATCCCATTCCATAATCAAGAGGCGAGAAGTGACTTCAACCTCTGCGTACGTATCGGCCAGATCAAGTCTTTACGAGGTTCCGCATCGAGCTATGCGCCAGCTGGCTGTTGCGGTACCGGATTCCTATTTTACGAACGCGGGTCCGCAATTGACTGGTTCTGATATCTAGATGGTAGTTAAGCGGACCGGCGGCGAAACTACGGCATGGCGTGAGCTGGTATTCCCGCCTCTATCCGGGGATCAAGCTGTTTGTGCTCTCGTTCAGGAGGGGGATTTCCTGAGTTTTTTATTTTATTTTCCTTTTATCTCCCCTTTCTGTACAAGGAAAAAAGAATGGTGTGGTATGTACCAATGTACATGTACAGTGGTGTCCAATAAGTCAGCGTACTAGAGGCTCGGCGCCGAGATTCAGCACCCTACCCATCTCAACTAGATATTAAATAAAATCTCAACCAGGTATCCAATATAGAATTATATACATGTTTTATATAGCTAAATCAATAAAGAATACCTATATACATTTTCTTCTCTAATACTTGGTTGATCCACCTCTGGCTTTGATAACTGCGGCTAACCTTCAGGGCATGAAGCTGATTAGATACTGTATCTCAAGTTGTGTAATAGAATCCCATATCATCTGTAATTCTATTCTCATCTCAGCTTCGGAGTGTATTCAATGTTGTATCTTTGATATGCAGAACTTCATTATTGCCCATAGATTCTCTATAGGATTTAAATCAGGACTTTGTGCAGGCCATTTCATTCAATCCATCTGCCAATCATCCATCCACTGTTTTAACAGCTTAGAGATATGATATCTAGCTCCATCTTCTGCCCAGAGTGCAATCCCATGTTTTTCAAGAATGCAAATATAATGGGAATAGCCATGAAGTAGTATAATCTTGATATACTCCTTAGAATTCATCCAGACATTCAATGGAATAAAAACCAGCTTAGATTTGAAATCCCAGCTTATTGCTCCCCATACACTCACTGAGATACACTCAGATTTGAAGGTAGAGAGTAGATATCTACTCTCATAACCTTTACCAACTGGACAACAAACATAGCAGCTTGATATATCCAATCCAACCTCAAAGTGAGCTTCATCTGAGAAGCTCACACAAGAGAAATCTTCATCAGCCCAATTTCTGTGTTGAATACCAAAAGCTCTTCAAACTTCCTTGTGTATAGGCTTTAAATAGGGCTTCTTTCACAGTTTAAAGGCATATCATTCATTCTTTTCAAGATACTGTCTTGCTGTATTTCGGCAAATATAGGAGCCAGATTTTGAGGGTGTGAGAAAGCTGGCTAGAGGGTGGAAGGGATTCTTCTCTACAGAGAGAATAAGATGGTGTTGATCACAGGCAGAGAGCTTAGGAGGCCTCCCAGGACATTTTTTAGGACTTCCTTCATCTATTCAATGAGATTCATGATAAACAATAGAGGATATGGTGGAGTGAGGGAGCTCTAAAATTTGAGCTATATCTAGAAATGAATGTTCCCGCTTTCGAAGGTTCAAAATAGTATTAATAATAGCTGGAGAGTGTTCTCTCTGCAATGTTTTCGGTTTTGAGGGCATCTTTTGATGTATAGGGGGGATGTTGGATGATGGAGGAATCTTTGAAGAAGAGGGGTAAGAAGAGGGGTTCTCAGCGCCGAGCCGCTAGTACGCTGACTTATTGGACACCACTGTACAATAGTAATCAGTGCAAACACCAATTGATATTCTATTTTGGGAATTCTCAAGTCTACGTTTACGACGGGTGTCGTCTTTGGAACTTCAAGGTCGTTGCTGGTGATATGACCTCCTCTCCAAGGGCGGCCTTCATCGTCAATTCAAAACGTAGAAACTGCCATCCCAACTTCATATCCAGATAGATAGCGGTGAGAGAGTAGCCTTGACACACTCTGGATTGGGGGTTTGGGTAAGCCTTGTATACTTAACCTAACTTCTGCGAATGAATCCGCAGGAGAGAGCGCAGAGTGCTCCATTTCTCAGGTGTTAAAGCTTACGCCTACTAGTACCTACGAATGTAAGAATAGGCAGTGTCTGTGGGCACAAAGTCAGCAATCGAACCGCACAATCCATCTAATACTTCTGGGAAATAGTGCTTCTATGCTGGACTATCTTACACCGTCTGGTTTCGGCAGTTGTGGAAGGGTTGGGCTGCTTTCCGATGCATTCGAAGGATGTTTGTCCGAGTGCGTGATTGGGATCGATGCGTGCTCAGCAATGTGTACCCATGTGTAACCGCAACGGGTAATTTCTCCCTCTTCACCGAGGAAGCTGGCTCTGAAGGGCATTGAGTGTTGATGGCTAGATTGAGCGGGCGCAGGAGGAGGAGGAGGAGGAATGGCCGGCGGAAGCGCGGTTCAATGTCACGTTATTCTGATAACATCCGAGTCTCGCTGGAGATAACCTACCGGGCTGAAATCCGTTCTTGCTTGAAGTATGCTGGTTTTAGTATTTCGTAGTCGAAAGCATTTACACAACCCGGTTAATCGTGTTCAATTTCCGAGGCAAAGGAGTGCGCGAACCGATAGCGGTATCTCTTTGCCTGTCATCGGAGAGCTTCAATTCAGCTCAACCGATTGTTTACTTTGGTACGTGGCGTCTCGCATGGCGAACTTTGACGATCTTGTGCCTTTCCAGAGCCTTTCCAGATGCATCGGCGCCCGTGTGTAACCGTCCAGATCGAATCTCCCAGGGGAATTAAGGTTCATGTCACTTGCCTTCAACGCCTGGTTGAACATGACTCGGATGAGTTGTGGCGGCGTAGTTCAGGGCCACAAAAAATCGCACCAGTAGCCGAGTGTTGATAATCAAAGATGATGCCATGATCCAGACTGGCGGATCGAAACGAACGCCACAAATAGAACCATCGATGACGTGCGATTTGGTATTTCCCGCGCTTTGCGGGGTAAAATGCCAGCCATCAGCCAGAAAATAGGCGCTCAGAAGGGCTGCTAGCCATCGGGCATTGATCCCTGCAGTAGTTCGTGGTCAGCCCCAATCTGATAACTAATGTATCGAAGGCGATTCAGTTCCCAGCGTGGGGTCTCTTTTCCTTTTGGGCAAATAATGAGCTTTGCCTGGCGAAGAAGATGGATGTAGGGATGTGTAGGTTAACTTGAAGACTAACAAAGAAAGCTAGTCTCCTGGAATCTTCAAATTCCACCCCCCTCGCCAAGGTCGATTTGATGTTCCTGACAAAACCAGGAATGCGTTCGGTGTTTTTCCTATCCGAGCCGCTCAAGAACTGGCAGCATCGAGAAAGAGCTTGAGGCCTCGTGTTGACGAGAACGCTAACTTAGACTAGCGTTGGATCTACGCTGACTTGGATTCTTGCTCAGAAACATCGCAATCGCCTTTTTCCCTTGTTGCGTACAAACGGCTGGGCTGGTTCCCCTGCCCGTCGTCGGAGGACAAGCTAGAATCGAGCTTGGTTCCCGCCTGGGAGAAGGAAAGAGTATCATGAGCCTCGAAACAGGTGGTCTGGGCTGCTGAACCTCGCAAAGACACCGTTCCCATCGCCGCTCCGTAGCGGGAAAGTTTATGAGTCCGTGTTCTACAAGAATCGAACACAAATTTGGAGGAGCCAAGCACGGAACTCGCTTCTCCGCCAATATGGCTGCAACCTCAGGAGCCAAGACTCCGAGAGTCCAAGGCTGCTGGCAGGAATGTGGAGAACCTGGAGTCAAGGCTGGGGATACGGGAGCGGAGGCGTGGAAGCGTGAACCGACCCTGAGTAAGGCTGCTGCCATTCCTGAGGTTCGGCTACTCCCCGGTTATGCCGGCAGCCAGCGTCGTCTGGCACGCTCTACCGATTGAGACGCCGAAAGTGGGATATGACAGGCGCCATGGACCAGCCAGGAAGAGGGTCGTGGCTCGGTGGCGGCGGACATAACCCTCCACGACGACGGAGTACTATATGCTGCATACTATGTACAGTACATCCGACCATGACAATGTATTCAGAGCATCTTCGCCTGGGCCAAGTTTCCCCGCACAGTGTTGGCAGCTGTTAACTCGATTAGGATACGATCCTGCAGCAAAATTTGCATCCTTGGATGTCAAAGCAATCCCACCGCTTGGCTGATGATCACTCTTGACCGGCGCAAAGAGTGGATGGCCAGCGCCCAGGTTAATGACAAGCACTGGGATGATTCAATGATTCAATTGATAGCTGCTGGGGGAAGCTGTATAGGCTCGCCTCTGTTTGTGCCCGAAATGCATTGTTCAGAAGTACCAATTTCATTGCCCTTCAGACAACTGCTGAAGCTATGTAGCCGTTATCAAAGGCGTACCTTTCCGTGGCGCAAACCTCCTTGGCTGGCTACACTGGCGATCTGCCTGCATTCTCCTGTTGATGATTCCACCGCATGTTTGCTCCCGGCCTATTACCTTGGCACACTGTCTCTAGTTTTTCGAAAGCCCTCGAGCGGTTGCCGACCTGCTCGGTAACTTATCTCCTTGCTCCAGCATGACAACTTCCCCGCACACGTTTTCAGCGGTTCACTACTGCAGACCGACCCAGCATTTCAGTGGAGATGTCGTCGTGTACGGCATCTTCGAGAATTCGATGCCATGATTCAAAGAACGAGCGGCCAGCTGCGGTCAGCTTTTCTAATCCACTCTGTTGCTGCTGACCCCGCATCCGATTGCTCTCTGCTCAGAAAACATATAAGGAGCGTAGGAAACCTCCCTTCATCTCACTTGTTCCTCATCCCCTCTCATTCGCACATTGGAATACCAGGGTAGCCCATCATGCAGTTACTTGCCCTCTCCCTCCTGGCCGCTTCGGCATCCGTGGTGGATGCTTGCGTGAGCGATCATCTCATGGACCGATCGTTTGACATGAGGCAGTTGGACCTTGCGAAACGCAGTAGCAAACCACCTCCAGCCCTCACCGAGCAAGAGTCAATATTGGTGAACTCTTTCGACAACAACACCATCAGCGATTGGCTATACTACTATACCCATGGCCTGCACATCGCCGGAACCAACAAGACCATGGCTCAATGGACTGCCGATAGGTGGACTGAGTTCGGCGTCCCATCATCTCTTGCCGAGTATTACGTCTATTTAAATTACCCAGTCTCCAGTTCTCTGTCGCTCACCCTCGCCGATGGCACTGTCTGGAACGCGGAGCTTGATGAAGATGTGCTCGCCGCCGATGACACCACTAGCTACCCCAATCGCGTGCCCATCTTCCACGGTTACTCTGCCTCTGGAGACGCAAAAGCTGAATTTGTCTACGTTGGTCGCGGTCAACAAGTTGATTTTGACAGGCTTGTTGAGTTGGGCGTCGATCTGAAAGGCAAAATCGCCATGGCAAGATATGGCGGCCCCTTCAGGTAAAAATGCCCTTTGACCTCTGATTTCCTTGACATTAATTTTGAAGAGTTTGGCTGATCCCCCCAACAGAGGATTGAAGGTCAAGAATGCCCAAGATTATGGCATGCTTGGATGCGTTATCTTCACAGACCCGGGTGATGACGGGAATGTGACCGAGGCAAACGGCTATGTTGCTTATCCAGATGGCCCTGCCAGGCAACCCTCATCCGTACAACGCGGATCAGTTCTGTTTTTGTCCACTGCTCCTGGTGACCCTACCACTCCGGGCTATCCCTCGAAGGAAGACTCGCCTCGTGCGGACACCAGCCCCGTGGTCCCGAAAATCCCATCTATCCCGATTTCCTATGCCAATGCTCAGAAAATCCTAGGCGCCCTCGATGGACAGGGCCAATCGGCAGACGCTGTCAATCGAACCAAGTGGGTAGGAGGCCTTGATGTTCAATATTCTAGCGGCCCTGCTCCTGGAGTTGAGCTCTCCTTGTCCAATGTGATGCGCGATGAGGTTGCTCCCATCTATAACCCAATTGGAATCATCAACGGAACCAAGGAAGACGAAGTCATTGTGGTTGGAAACCATTGGGATGCCTGGATCATTGGTGGTGCTGTTGATCCCAATTCTGGATCCGCCGTCATGGTTGAACTCGCGAAAGCGCTCGGCAAGCTTCAAGAGTCGGGATGGAAACCAAAGAGGACAATGTAAGTGCAGAGTTAACACCCGGCTCTTCAACTTCCAATGGCATATTATGGTATTCCAATGGAGTTGTCATACTAACCGCTTCTTAGTGTTCTGGCCTCTTGGGATGGTGAAGAATACGGCCTTCTTGGCTCCACCGAGTGGGTTGAAGAATACGTATGCCAGACGCTGCTCTATTCCCACCAGCATTTTCTCTAACTCAAGTCTCTTCATAGGTGAACTGGCTCAAAGAAACTTGCGTTGCCTATGTCAACATCGACTCTGCTGTTTCTGGTCCACACCCTGGCCTCTCTGGCACCCCTGGTCTCCACCAACTTTCCATCGAGCTAATGAAGAAGATCTCCTGGCCCTACAAGGGAGACGAGTCCCTTACCATGTATGATATGTGGCTTGCTGGCAGCAAGGGACAAGTTGGTGTCTTGGGAAGTGGCTCAGACTATACAGCATTCGTCCACGCTGGTCTTCCATCGGCAAGTATCCCTTTAATCCCTAGAGCCAAATAACACAGCATAGCGACTCCGATTTACTAACATTTTCACAGGTGAATGTCGGCTCCTCCGGCGGTTCTGGTGACCCCGTCTATCACTACCATTCCAACTATGACTCCTTCCACTGGGTAGACACATACGGCGATCCCGGTTTCGTCTTCCACAAAGCAATGGGTCAGTACTTGGCTTTGCTCACGTACCATCTCGCCTCAGACGACATTATTCCATTCGAAGTGAACAACTATGGCCCCGAGCTCGCAAAATATCTCGCCTCTCTTCGGAAGGTCATTGATGCATCTGGGCTCACTGTTGACTTGTCCCGCTTGGAGGCGGCCATGGAGGTCCTTAACAAGGCTGCGAAGGCGACCACTGAACTGAGGGACCAAGCTATTAAGACCGGAGATGAGCGCCTCATTGACCTCGTCAACGCTAAGTTCCGCGACTTTGAGAGAGGCTTTGTTAGCCAGGGCGGATTGCCCAATCGGGAGTTCTACAAACACCTTATCTGGGCCCCTGGCCTTGACACTGGGTAAGAGCTCTTCCTTTTCCATTGCCACCTTTACAAATGCTCTCGTCAACCTTCCCTCCAATTGTCGCACTAACCTTGACCCTTTTACTTTGCTTAGATATGCCCCCACAACATTCCCTGGCATCACAGAAGCAGTCCAGGGTGGAGACCAGGCTCTTGCTCAAGAGTTCGTGGAGAGGACAAGCAATGCCATCTACATTGCTGCTGGAATCCTAACGCCATAATTTTTTTTCTTTTTCTTTTCAACAATCTCCCAACGACTTTAATGGGTAATGAATATATGTTTGGCCAATGCAGTTATGGAAACGTTATCCCATCTATCTATATAGATGTAAATATATATATATATGTGCGACTTACCCGGGTTATGAAAAATACTAGTACAAAAGGAAAAGGAAAAAGAAAAAAAAAAATCATTGCTACAGATTTAGTTACACCCAGACGGTTTGCTTGCGAGCGCCTGTTTAGCTTAATGTCAATCAATTTACAGTTGCTCGTCCATGACTTCCCGCTGAGTTTTTACATTTTTTTTTTCTTATTGTACCCCCTCGATGAGTGCAAGGGTTCTTGTAGATCTTCCTTAGTAGAAACAAACAAATCTCGCAACTCGAGTTCTTGAGGTTTTATGATACTTAATACGCTTTTCTTTCCAGGTCCGTAGACTCCCTTCTTTTTGCTTTTTGCTTTGTAATTTTCGTTTTTATTTTACTTTTGTTTTTGTTCCGCAAGTAAAGAGTATAGTCCATACATATCGCACTTCGCCATTTATCTATAGCGGGGCCCCCTCCTCCATTGCAGCCGTATCTACAGATATAACATGTACAGTCCATGCTCTTCAATTATTATAAGTTGCACTACATCTTCCTGCACCTATGGCTTCCTCCATTTATGCGTTTTCGCCATCAACGGGGTCTCAGCATATTAGCGTTCATAATATTCGTGGCCGTAGGTAGAAGATACAACATATGCTCCGGGTGTCACTTTCGAGGGCCATTCCTTGGGACGGATAGGGGGAGAAAAGAAGAAAGAAAAAAAATTAAAATTAAAATAAAAATTTAGAAAAGCCTGCGAAAGCTGCCGCCTAGCGACAGTCTCCGGAGAAGAAAGACGGGGGCGGAAGGAAAAGGGGGGGGGAAACGCGGAAGTTGCGGGTGGGTGAGGTGGTAGGACTGTTGTCTCTAGATTCTCGTCATGCACGAGGTACCTGTACGCGCAGTACATGAGCGATTCAACAAAGGATGCATGGCAGAATGCATGCGGCTATGTAGCAAATGTTGACTTGCAAGGTAGCTATCTGCTGGGGTAATGGAAGTAACTGAATGGTTTGGAGCGCCGGTTTCGGCTATTATATGATGTGCAGCTTTGTGAAACGGGGGTGGAGTTTGTGTGCAAATGGGAAGGATAGGGAAGGGAAGGGCTGGGGTGGTGGTGATTTTTCACTCCCTCAGTGTTGATTGAGGGCCCTTTAGCCTGGTGCAGTTCGATGTATGACCGGGTTACAAGCGTAGATAGCTTTTGGAAATTGTACAGTTCCAACCCATTTTGTTTAAGGGAGTGCGGTGGCATGCCGGATTTTATCTAGTATCAGTAGTTGTGTATATATGCATTCAACAATTGGAATATCAACCTGAGATAAGGCAAAAAACGAAAGACGAAAAATTGTTGGCAATATGGTGGATAGCCGGCTTCAAAACAAAAACGTGTAAATGCGAAGCTGTAGTCAGCATTTACAAAGCAAGATACAAAAAAGGGCCCCCGGAAACACCTTGCCGGGTAAAAAAGTGGGAAAGGAAGAGAACGTTTCGCTCAAAATGTAAAAGGAGGAGTAGTGCAGAGCTATTGAGAGCCAAAATATGCAAGTAAAACCTGACGCAGAATACCAGCTCAATAGAAAAAAAGTTGGAATGAAAGGATCTCACAGCCTGCATGCCAGGAGCCACGAAATCGTGATGGCAAAGGAAAATCTTGTTCTAGTGACAATGTGAAAATAAAACAGTTGAAGGTAAAAAGCCGAGACGACGAAGTTGTGATCATGGTTTGAAATCATTTAGTTCTAAGCCCGCCAGCTGATCATTACACGTCGTCAGCGTTTGTTCAATAGACGGAATGGCGCACTTGGCATGCTCGTAATAATAGGTGCTTGTTCGCTGGGCGGCAGGGAAGTAAAGGCCGTGTCCAAAGCGGTACGCGAATTGTTCGAAGCAGAGGCCGGTGAATGGAGGGTCTGGCCGATTAGGAAAGAGATGAAGCGCCCTCAGCCGCTTTGTCAGGGCACCAAGCATAAGTGAATCGCATTCGAAACTGCAGTGCTCTTTCTCGAGGTAGTCTGCAAGCTGGACGTGGAGGATGGAAACGATGCGGGATATGGAGTCGATGCGTTGGGAGTCGATTGTATCTGGGTAGTGTTATTTTAGTATAGGATGATCTCTTCTCATGTTCGATAACATTTTCGATGATATTTTTGATAATCCTCTCAAGTGCAGTTTCTAGAAGATGAAGAGCAACTCACCTGCAACAGATGCAGGAATAGGAAGGTCGCCTAATGGGAGATTCTGTTTGCCCTGGCGTAATGCGAGCCGGGTTACGTGTTTGAATTCTTGGGGCCGATTAAATATCCAGCATATACAGATCCATCCTGGAATATCTTCCGTGTACGTCTGGGATGGCATCCTTGAGCTTCTCGAACCAGGAGTTTGCAAAAATCTCAACAGCTTCGTGGACGTCATATTTGTCAGTCAGAACGGCGATTTGAGTATAGGTATCAATGTCGACTTCTGTTGGGACCCTTCGCATATAACCATGGATTATATTCAAAAGGATAAGAAATGCGTCGGGATCGTCGGCAGGAAGCCGTATTTCTACGCTTCCGTTCTTCTGAAGCGCGTTACACTCGCTAAACTTGCGCTGAAGCATGGCGCGGAAAACCGACGACGCGAGAATTAAATGCCGAGAAGAAGCTCGTATCAAAACTTCTGTTTAGCAAGAGGTTAGAAAGCCGAGTAACATGATCAAATAGCGCCACGCTGCCCGTTTTGTTTACCTTGTTCGCAAGTGATCAAATCATTACCATTAGCCCCATTTAGGACCTCTGCATCCGCGGCGTCAGAAGAAACCTTTTGTTTTGAGACGGCACTATCGACTTCCTCCCCTAATTCGGATATAATCTCACATTCGAGATATCTTGTCATGATAAGCGTCACATCGCCTTCCGGGTCGAGATTATGGACCTCGGAGGCCATGCGATCAAATTTTGCAGCTGCGGGAATTACTGGGCTAATAGCCGAAGGCATCATGAAAGTGTACTTGATTGAGAGTCGGAAGGTATATGTACTGTGCATGTACTGTACATGTACATAGCAAATTCCCAAGGGACTGGAAGTGGCGGGAGGGGGAACAGACGGATTATATTGATTTTTAAAGCAAAAACTGAGATTGCACTCTATTGCCTCAGTATGACCAAGAGTGCGGCACTGATTTGAGAAATCGTGGTCGTGTGATGGAGATCGAGGAGGACGGCAAGGTGTTGGTTACTCCAAAAAAAAATGAATCGGGGACCCATGCAGGCTCTCCTACGTGGCATCCGTTATTTGCTGTTGAATTTCGGGAATATTCAATAAAGGGAACAACCGTTCAGTCGCGCACGCATCCCGAGCGTTTAGCCACCAGGCCTGGAATGCCGTGTTCAGGCAAAGGGAATGTGCAACCAAACTGGCTTCGGCAAGTAGCGTTTCAAGATGGGCCAACTGTTGATAGTCAAGATCAGAACCTTGCTTGCTTTCCAACATCACAGCGTCAGTCGCAGCCTACCCAGCCATGATCACATCGGCTTTCTGGGGAACACCCTGGAGGGCAGTCTTAGGTGCTCCCTCGGACGGGGGAACAAGGCACGGGGCCCATGTTTATGACTCTGCTCCATTGGATGGTGATGGGAACAGGCAGGACTGGTCGGCAAGTTGGTACTTTCGCCTGACAGAGGGTTCGTTACACATGTAAAGTACTGAGCCCGCAGAACACAATCCTTGCGGGATGGGTAACGTTAAGTCGTGAGCCACAAAGATCCCGGCAATCCAGCGTCAACAAAATCGGATTCTTGGTTGGAGCTATGGGCTGGGTCCTGTGTACCGTATACTACGGGTAAACAAATGCACAGAATTCTCGAGTCCAAGCAATGCCCAGGGGTAAAGTCCGTTACCCTGCACTTCGAGATGGGAATGAAATATCCCGGAAGCTTTTCGCAGTTGTTGTGGGCATACTAGCTGCTAAGGCGCATAACGAGTGACCATCCGAGACAAAGAAACAAAGAAACTCCTTGCTGGCGCTCCCATTCCCGTGAAGGCCCAAACGCACGTCATGGATCTTGGTATAAATGCATATCCCACCATATCCCATATCCCATATCCCCTATCCCCTATCCCCACCGCATGTTGGAGATCCAAACCCGCTGCAGCCAACCACAAGCTCAGGAACTCCAACCGAGGAACATGTCTGGTCATGTGACAAGCCCTACTTCACCTGGGATCCAAGGTTTCAAGCGCCAACGTCACAGTAATGGGCCATGAAAAACAAACTAACTCGACGCTGACTGGGGGAGGGAGGGGATATTTCCTCCCAACGGCCTGGGGGAAGTTGCACTATTTGGGAGCCATTGGGATTTAACCGTTCCACCGATTTTGTTGGCTGTAGCAATGGTACGTCCCCCACCCCCCGATTGGAGACACCGGCAGGTCTCAATTATTCGGGCGCCCTGCACTGTCTATCAACTGAAACCATGGGGGCAAAATATAAGAATTCGCTGTAAGCCGAGATAAAGATTTGTGGACAAATCCTGCATCGATAAATTCCATCGCTGCGCGCCGATCCAGTCGTAATGCACGAGCTCTTGCTACCATTAACAGAACAAAGAAAGGCACTCTGTTTCGAAATACAATTCATTCTTCAATAAGCGCGCGCTCCAAAATTTGGATTTGGTGTTGGTGCTTACAGATCTATTGTTCAATTTACAAGGCCCGAGGACTGGGGTTGCAATATTCCGATTTTCCACTGCGATATATTCCCGCCACAAGTCTCCCATTGATCGCATCAATTATTATTTTCTATACGGAAGAAACGGTACTATTATTGGTTGCTAAGAGCAAGGAGCATTTTTATCGTCCCGCTCAAGGTCAAATGTTTACAACAGCGCTTTCATACTCATGGTGAACATTGGGCTGTTCATCCCCCACCCCTTCCCTCCTGTAATGTCCAGGTTAGGACGCCGAAACAGAATTGCTTCCGAGATCTGCGGCCTCCCACACCCTCTTGACATTCACGCATTAGAGTCTCAGCGACGAGCCCGTAGCCAATGGGGACAACTTGTGGCGGCCGAATCCACAACGTGCCCTGCATATTTTCAAGGGTATTATTCTACCAATAATGAGGAACAACTCCCCCATCAAGCTTTCACGGTTAGTAATTATTCGACATGAGAGCAAAATCGGAGCATCAGATAGTTATGTAGTTACTCAGCCAAAATACAGTCAGCGGAATTTAGAATCTGGCCATAGAAACAACCGGACATAGAGCTGACAGAACATAACTGACAACCGTCATGAGATCCTTTGGCTCTTGTTACGACAGACCACCAATGAGAGCCTGTTGAGCGCTCCGCGATGGCGTCCCGATCTGTAGGAAGTATATCCATGTGGCGCTCAGAGTATGGGCGGGAAAGCCTTATTTCTAGGTTGGGTTGGCTTCTTGATGGCCGAAAAGGGCCTCCCACCACGTGTGATGAATCGGACGTAGCCGGGGACTTGTTTGTAAGATCATTTTATAATAACTAACTAGCTTGATAACTGGGCACATGAGACCAATTCATTTTATATCATGCCCCTTTAAAATAGGCATAACCCTACCGTAAGATACCCTACCATAAGATAACCCTAAGAGAGCCTCTGGTCAGCGCTCCATTATATCTAAATAGTGGCTCTGCAACAACCAGCCATACATAGTGCTCCGCTGTTCATATTCCAGCCAGCTCTGCTCAGGTGCCCAATTCAAATCCCGTTTCAAGGCGGATACTACGCAATTCACAAATGCCTCGGCTCACCAACTAGACCGCTGAATTGCAGTAACTACGTCTGCAAACATCCTTCAGCTTTCGGTCTTACGCTAGCCAAGCATCAACTGTCGACTGTGACGGCGCTTGATGTGTTCTTATGACGTTTAAATAATGTTATAATAGTCAGGACATTGGCCGGTTGGTCAGCAGGTCGCCTGTCCCGGGCCCATCAGTCCCCAATGCTAATATACCTAGGGATGGAGAAATATTGACGTCGAACGTGTCTTCCTCCCAATGGAATGTTTTCAAAATTCTCCGCTTAGTACTGTAAATATGGTCATGATGCACCGTTGCATGAAACCAGATGCCAAGCCATGATGAGAGTTGCGGCTTGGATGCTTAACTGGGTGTTAAGTGGAGTTGCCGTTTTCCCAAAGATTCTAATTACTGGATATAACCAAGAGCCTCATATGATCAATCAATTAACACATGGAGGTCAGCCATACTCTAGGAAGGCCATTTACGAATTTACACGGTTAAAGATCCGTTCGACAACCCCGAAATATACGACTAAATACGATAGCATCAATCCTGTAAGCTGCAAAGTATCATGTCGATACGCACATCAACCATAACGTGGGGGAAAAAAGAAAAAAAAAAGGAGAGCCGGGCTAGACAATTGATGATAAAAGTGGGATGTACCTGGAGCTGTACATTCATTCATTCATTCATTCATTCATTTGACACTGATATTGCACTTAGCTGCATGTTATTTGACATAACATTGTGTGATTCTTAGAAACCATCAATGACAGATATTCAATATATTAATTATAAAATCTCAATATTCAATATGATAAAGCATTTCCCTGTATAATCTGAAGAAAAAGTGATATAACTCTGAGTGAGAAATCTGAACGAAGATTCAGTGAGGGGAAAACAATAGCTTGTGATAGAGTAGTCTATATTGATGAATGGAAGTACAACTGTAAACTATAAATGAAAAATGGAAGTTGAATACTGATCACTGATATCTCAAGAACAGATGGAAGTGAACTCCGTGAAAAATGTGAGAGAATAGATTTGGCGAGAGAGAACTTTGAGTCAGGTTGATGATACCTTTTTCTGATTTGCTTCTATCTTTACTAAATATAATCAGTGTATTGTGGCTTCCACACATGAATTTTTAGAGGTAACTATTGTCTTGAAAACGAGGTGTATGTCTAAAAAAAAAAAAAAAAAAAGAAAATAAAGAAAATAAAGTAATTTGCTACTCGGATGCAATATGTTGGAGTTTTTACAGAGGGAGAAAAAGAACGGGAAGTTGGAAATGACGGGGATGCCGGCAGCGTAGGTTGGGGCGGGAACGTGCCTATCCGTGGTTAGAAGTTTTCGTCACGAAGAAACGCCCAAAAGAACAGAGGAATGAGAAGCGGACAGGGTTCCATCAAAATGTAAAACAATGTCTCATGTTGATAGAACGCATGTGCAGAATGTAAGATATGTGCAACCTATGCTCATTCCAGGGCGGAAAACCCAGCGCAAAGTATCCAGAAAAGAAAATCCATAGAAGAAAGACAATCCAACAAAGGAGGTCGTAAAAATGATGGTTAAGTGTCCACAGCCACGAATTGAGGGCAGGGGAGCAGAAGGGAAAAAATCAGGCTAAAGAAAATCATGTATGATCAATCATCCAGAAGGTCTTTCCCTTCAACAACACTGATAATATCACCTGTTACCCCATCTGTTATAGCAATCACTGAACTCATGGTACTTTTCGCAGTCAGCCTTCCAATCACATGTCCACAGGCCTCATTGAACTTGATAATCAATCCCTTCACCTCCTTGGTGGTACTGTCCTTTGACACATGGAACCAATCCTTTTTGTGAACAATCACATCAGCAGCATAAGGAAGATCCTGCAATGACATTTCAACATTCCTCTCCTCTGAGAGCCTGCAAACCTGCTCTGGCGGAATAATTGCCGTTGGCGACAATAAGACCCACGATCTGGCTGCTGGAGAGCGAACAGCCCCTCTTAGCACATCTATTATGCTGTGCTTTCCTAGGTGCTGCGTGGATTGTGGAGATATCGGGTGTATTACAGAAAATGGCGTTCCAATATCGGATATGCAACGGTCGCGATTGGGTGAGGGAGCTGGAGTCACCTGCGGTTCTCGTTTTGGGAGTAGCGGTTCTGAAAATATTGAGCTCGCGGATATTGAACTAGATGCAGACTCCGAAACCGGAGTCGTAGAAACAGCCGATGCTGCGCCAATTGCTCCTCCAGGATGGAAACCTTTGAACACCTCAGCTGGGCCTTTGTCTGGTGAGTTATACAGCTTCCTGGAAGTTGCCAATGCCAATGCGTCGCCCAGGGCAAGCGCTACTGTTGTAGATGTCATCGGTGCGGGTAAGCCAAATGATATATCTTCATGCTCGTGAACCGGCGCAGTTAGTAGAATGGGGTCGGGACTATTTGAGTCAGCTAAAAGTGGACACAAATCGGGACTTTCATGCGCGGTGATGGCAATTAGTGGCACTGTTGCTGGAAGATACGGCTTAAGGCGGAGTAGCTCTGGTGTCTTGCCCGAAAAGGTTACCAAAAGTACTGCGTCACCCTAAACGATCGAAAGCCTGCGTTAGATACCACCGCCAATTCTCCACGCCTTCACAGAAAATGACCACAAAATCAGGGATAGTTACCGGCCTAATCATCCCAAGATCCCCATGGAGTGCCTCTGTTGGGTGAAGAAACGTGCTCTGGACCCCCAGGCTGTTCATGGTAGCCACCACCTTCTCAGCAATCTTCCCACTTTTCCCAACTCCGGAAATAATTAGCTTCCCTCCAGACCTCACAGTATTGGCTACCGTCGTCACTGCGCGTTCAATGCTATCTTGAGCAAGTTTATCCATCAAATAGATTCTTTCTAGATGTGCTAGCGCCGCCCGTTCCGTCGAGATAACGTGAATTGCCGTGCAGGTCGAAGGCGCCAGGCAATGTCCTGGCGAATCTAGCAAGCCACCCGGATCTGGTGGAGTCATTGGTAGGGAAGGAAGAACGCCGCTAATTTTTTGCATCTGGGTGCGGATTGGTGCAGATAGGGATGTAGTAACGCGCCGCCTTTTGCGTGCCATTGGAAAGGGCGTCATTTTGCTCCTTTCACACAAACAGAGATTCCAAGGTATCGAAATGGATACTGCAGAACTTAGTAAGAAGGAGAGGAAAAGAAGCGAGTGAATGTCGCAAACACCACTGGAGCGCGAATCAAAATATGCAAGGGGATTGGCTGCAGCGCAGCCGGACCCTATCGTCTCATTTTTCCGTTCTAACTACTTGATATAGGTTCGGCAGGAGGGGAAGAGACAAACCACCCGTGCATTCATTTGACAACGTGAGAGAGTGAATAAACAAGCTGCAGATTGGGGGGTATGTACTGTTCAGGTACATAAAAGATACTTGGGTGGAAGGATGGCTCAGGCCAGGAGTATAGGCCTGGTGAAAAGCAAGCCGGAAGGGAAGGAGAAGGAGTGGCACTGAGAGGGCCAGAGTAAGGTTCAACCTCACCTGGTGATCTACTCTATGATGCTCGAGGACATTAAGGAATGAGGGGATAGAAGGAAAAGGCAAGTCAAAAAAAATTCATTACATTTTGAGTACCATCTGCAACTCTGTAGCAGTTTGCTTAGTCATTGGCGGGGTGGGCGAGTTCCGTGGTGCAAAAACACGCAAGGGCATTGACTGATAGGAAGCAGAAAATATTTCGTTGTCGGATAGATTATGAACAGGGTGGGTATGCCCGATTGTTATATCCTACGCAATATATTGCCGCATATCAGTGTTGAATGTGATGATTCCACATCAACTGAACTTTTGATAAGGTTTCCAATCATAAATTTTTTTTTCTTTTTGATCAAGCCACCATAAAAAGCAGAAAGCCCCAAAAGGGAACGTGTTCCGGCCGACGCCGACGCCAATTTGGAATTATCCTGTAGTATTATTCTTGAAGCTGCCCTATCACAAGCCCGGGACGTCATCGTGGTGTCAACTGGGGGTATGAGGCCATCTCATGTTGGTGGGTATTAATTACTAATGCAGGTGCGTCAATATCCCGTTGCTCAATTTCGTTCAATGGTAGTTGAGACATGGAAAATGGGTTATCCAAATAATATGAATTTAGTAATACAATGCGCCAAAGGTTATTAAACAGAAGGAAGAAAAATAACATCCGGATGAATATAATTTGGGGGAGAACAGTGGGTTATTTTGACGTGCGAAGCGGGGTTCTAAGAGGAAGGAAGCATCAACCGATTCGTCGCTCATTTTTCACTGCTCAAGCTATTTTCGGCTTGTCAATGGTTTCACACCTCTATGTATTGCAGCGATGCCCATAGAGAGATTCTCATAGCCCCGCCCAGGAGTCAAAAACCCAGCTTGCTGGATCATGCGACAGAATTCTTCTTGGCTTGGGAATTTTTCAATACTTTCAACCAGATACTGGTAGCTTGACCGGTCGCCTGCCACCAGCTGTCCGATCAAGGGAATTGCACTGAAACTCCATCGCTTGTATACCTGGTCGAATAGACCATTGGTGACCTTGCTGAACTCTAAACAAGCGAAGACACCTCCTGGTTTCAAGATGCGAAAGGCTTCGTTTATTGCAGCTTGTTTATCGGTAAAATTCCGGATGCCAAACGCGACAGTATACAGATCAATCGAGTTATCAGCAATCGTGGGGAGGGATTCTGCGTTGCCCTGCATGAAGGATAATCTATCCGTATTGTAGTATGGTGTCTCGAGACTCCGCTTCTTTCCTTCTGAGAGCATGTCTGGGTTAATATCCGCGATCGTCACGCGTGTGTGGTGGTCGTTATTGATGTTCGTAGCATGGTCAAGCATCCGAAACGCAATATCTCCAGTTCCGCCAGCGACGTCGAGGATATTCCACCCTTGCTCCCCGTTGGGGTCGTTACTCGGGTGCTGCGTGCCCGGGTTTAGGGCTCGAACAAAGTGGTCTTTCCAGAGGCGATGGATTCCCAGTGACATGAAATCATTCATTGTGTCATACGAGCTAGCAACTGAGCTGAAAACAGCTCCCACTACTCCTGTTAGCCTCCGGTAAGGGAAGAGTTACAAAAATAAATCACAAAAATACCTCTAGCTTCTTTTTCGGCTTCTGGAACGGTTTCGAATCCGAAATGAGTCGTTCGTCCACCATGGCCTAGCTTTGAAAGCTCCGGTTGGCGAGTTTGGATTGAGCAGGAGAAACATCGATACGGAGCTCGAGGGACGAATGAGCGGCGCTTTGCACTGTAGTGCAGACTGCGCCAGGCTGCTTTTGAGGTCATGTTGAGAGCGACCGCCAGTATCTCTGATCTATTGTTACGACATTGCTTGCGGAGCCCTCGAGTTGGCCAGATGGTTGTTGGTAGCATTCGGGGCTGCAGATTTTTCCGGTCCGCAGTCGCCAAGACAATGCATCAATCCACACTACGGCGTAAGGAACAACTTATTCAACGAAGAGATCAAACATCATGCTATTGAAAATATCTCATTCTTACTCCTATTTGGATTTAAACCAGTTACTGTTTGTTACAACTCCGCTTATTGTGTGAATTTGACTCAATTGGATGAACCACTGAAGATACTGAGAGCTACTCCGAGCAACTAACACTTCTACAAAGAGGAACCCCTGCTATCCAGAAGGGCCAACCTTGGATGTATTGAATTGGCTGGAGAACAGGGCCTTGCCCCGTTTGTTACAAATTACTGTGTTGTTATTCCTGTAAAAGCATCTGGCAACTGCTCACAAAAGCCGAGTACATCCCCGCCCATGAGATGAAATGAGAGCTGGATCCAATGCTGAAACCTTGTCATCAGCTTCAAGAATTAGCCCAAATGAAACAAGAGCTACGATATAAATAAAAACTAGCTTACGATGAATGCAGATAATACCCACGATATCAACTCTAACAAGGCAGCAATCATTTAGAGAAAACAGAGAAAGTACGAAGCTGATTCCTCAACGGCGGACAACTGATTATATGCAGGGCTTCAAATTACCGGTTTGAATCGCTCGCCACTCTTCTACAGCTTGGTGAATAATTTGCGCTTCATTTCATCTTTCCGCTGCCATCGGATGCTCTTGTCACTCTTGCTCTCAGATTCAATTTTCCTCTCATTGTCACAGCCAATTCAATCTGGACATATCCTGTCAGAATGGTGGCACTTCTACAAACAGAGCATTCTAGTTGGTCAATCGAGTGCCTTGATCTACACACAAGAGCCTCAAATGTGTCCGCGACCGTACAACCACTAACCATAGACCCAAAGTCTATACGCAGTGTTTTCGCATTCAGCATGGGATCACACAGGAGGTATGCTGGTTAAAATATTCTAGTTTTGGAAGTTTCTCTTTCCGATCCACTTCAGTATATCAACATATCAGTCTGCATAACCGAAATTAAGCGGCCAATAGCCATGACATTGAATTTTTGGCGTATTCCAGTGTTCTTTATGCGTAGACCTTGTGCTGGAAATGACTTTAGGGCGATCTGGTACAGTTGATCACTTGTTTGCGGGGCTAGATCTTGAAAGATATATCGTAAATCGGTTATTAGGGCCGAAGAGAAAACGCCATCAGAATTTCAAACAAGTCGTCCTCTTTGTCTATGCTTATGGCGATTCATACTTTTTGATGGCCTGCGGAAGGATTTGAGCCAATGGAAAGATCCCGGAGGAATGCTCAACAATAATCCTGATGCCTCGATTCCGGAAAGCGGGCAGCATCTTGATGATCAGTCCAAATGCAAGTCGATCGTGTTTCATAACAGGATGGAAGTCTCTCATGTTTTCCCGCCCCCAAAAACCCGACGAATCCCCATCCACGGGATAACCAACTTTATGCTTCAGCAAGGCTGCCATCTGTTGGAGCTGACTTGCTCCTCTCTCATGATCCTAATCCTCCGTATCGAATCGGCTGCTGTCAGCGCCCATTGGATCATACAGAACGCCACCAACATTCTCGGTCAGCCGCCTTGCTGCTGAGGTTGTGGTGGCGAGCTGTTGTAATAGACGCCAACCAGGCAGTTGATTGAGATTTCGAGAGAAAAACGTGCTCTCGAGCCGCGCACCAGGAGGCTCCTGCAGGAGCATGAGCCATCCCGAAGTTAAATATAGCGCAAGATGTCAGCACGAATCTTTGCCCAAGACAACGCCTTTCTCGAGAACCCAGACCAGGCTTACATCTTTATGTACAGCAACCGACTTGTTAAAACTGCCTGAAATCATCCAACTTCCGCCAAACGACACTAGAGGACATGACTTGGGTTTCAGTAGAGAGCCCCTGGGCATCGTTCAGGCCGATTTTGGCAGTCAACGCAGGAGAAATTACAAAATAAGCATCAAGCAGTTGTTCTGTGCATATATATCATATCTATATGTACCACATATGGACAATCAGCGAACAAACACATCAGCACCAACTTGACGGCTGCGAGTATATTCTGTCTGAAAACGAATTTCTGGTAGGCCATTTTGAGTTCCCCACCAAAGCGCCGTCGTTTTTTCCGGCGGGCAGTGTTTCATTGGAGAAACAAAAGTGTCACTTCGTAGTAGTGGCTGGCTGCGGATTGGAAATCGAAAATCATCGAACCTTCCGGGAACGCCAGTTGAAGCCTCAGGCTGGCCCCTTGTTGATTCGACTCCCTTTCCACGAACAGGGCAGGAAAAGCTGCTGGCGACTGTCTGTGACATAGTATACGCAGCGTCTGTACGCAAGAATATTCATATGCATGAAGCGCTGCATGATACCAGGGTATGTGGTGAGCCAAGATGAGCAGAATAATTGACATCTTGAAGATGGAGGAGCTAAAATATCACACAACTCCGTCGATCAACGGATATTGGTCCCACTGTTGAGGCTGACTCTGGCGAATTCAAGACTGTGGCGCCCGGGGCCGTCACAGCAGTGAAGTTGGGCGCGGATGATGTGCAAGGAGACCCCACCATCGAAGAAGTGTCCGTAAGGTACTATTCTCACTCGGGCTAATGGACGAGAGGACCTTAGTGGCTCAATATCATCCTTGTCAGGTGAAAGCACTACCCCGACAACGTCCTCGAATCAAGACTATCGGATTGATTGGCGGCTGTGGTTTTCCCCGGAATGTTAATTCCTTGGGTCCTGGCTCTCGGTGATGAAATCATGGACCGCACGACCAAACTGTCAAACATCACAGCTGCCGTCCTGCCGCCCTGCCAGGTTTTTTAATTGTAGATGAAAGGTTCCAGCAAGGCCAACGCGAATGTTTCGATGCGGCTAAATCATATAACTCGCCGAGAGCAACAGACCGCTGTTTTAGGCTGCTCATCTTCATCGCCCGTCCCGTTCCGCAGGAACGCTTGCCCGAGAGGAACCGTGGAAGCAAAACAGGAGATAAAGCCACCAATGTCCATTGTTGCCAAGTTCAAACTTACTCGATGCTGAACGGACGTCTCCTTTATTGCAATGATGGAACCTAACTATCGCCGATGAAGATTTCTCTCAAACCCAACGAAATGGAAACAAATTTGGCAACACTTCCCGAGCGACCCAAACGTGTTCGGCGATGGCATCATCGAGGCTTCACTGGCTGCTCCACCTGCAAAAGCAGACATGTCAGATGTGATGAGGCTTTTCCAGCCTGTCGTAACTGTGTAAAAAGGGGCCTCCAGTGTGATGGTGCCCAAGGCACGACGACGTTCAAGTTCTACAACCTTGATCAGAATGCGGCTAGTGTTACTGAGCCGAGTGTCAAACGACGAAAACCAAAGAGCGACGAGAAAGGCAGCAAGTTCCTCAAAAATGAAGGGAATGAAGAAAAGCGCATGCAAGATAAAATCAAACCCCCGGTTTCAGTTCGAGGCAATTACATCACCATATCGAAGCCATCGTTTCTCCCAGCCTCTGTATCATCGCCAGCAGATCTGTATTATTCTCATTTCATTAATACGGTTTCAACCCTCCTAATTGTGTACGACACCGATTACAACTTGAACCCATACCGTTATTTGTTTCCCAAGTTTTCTCATACGTCAAAAACGTTACCTGAAGCAATGAAGGCCCTTGGAGCCCTCCAGATTGCGAATACTACAACAGGAAAATCCCAGATGTGGCATATGCAGAACGCCATGACGATGTACGGCAAAGCCGTGCGGTCACTAAGGCAAACATTACGAGCTGGACCAGGGCACTGGCAACCGACTGACCTTGCTACGTGTTTGCTGCTTTGTTTCTTCGAGGTTAGAGTGGTTTTTTTTTTTTAAGTTAGCTAGTTTTCAGTAATGCCTGGATAGCCTTCCCTCCTGTCACTGTTTGGCGACTTACGTTCTACGCAGATGATGGACTCGGAGACAGGCAACTGGAAGATCCATCTCCGTGGAGTCCGCGACCTTTTTGAGTCTATGATGCAGCCGATTCAGCCAGTACCCACTCCTACCATGACAACCCAAGCTTCTAATAAATCACCAGAGGTGCCAGAACTGTCACTGAAGCGCTTTCTTATTTCGCTTACAGCGTATCTTGATGTTGCTGGTGCCGTTTCTTCGAATGAAGGGACCGTTATCGAAGGTCCTTATTGGGAATCTCATGGTGGTGGCTGGCAATATAATTTAGGTGTTTCTGGCACTTTGCCAGAAGAATCGCGGAACGCCACCGTGTTATCAGCACTTCGTCGTCACTGGTCGTTACTGATGTGCATACAAACTGATATTAGTTCGTTTGCGAAAGCCAAACGAGAAGGAATGCCAATCGAACTTCAAGAAACCTCCAGGGCGGGCCTCGAAACCCGACTTGCGTTGTGGAGGTCGATGGTGCCTGAATGCTTTTCGATGATTGACTCGGCGCTGGAAGACGACGTGAAAACTAACGGAAATGACGAACTGCTCGAAGGCACCGCTTGCGTTGAGGCCTATGAAAAGGCCACGATTATTTATCTACATCTGGTCTCTGTTTCCGGTGAACGTGTTTCCCGTACCCCACCTCCACACATAACAGCAGCTTCCAAGCGTATCATTACTTTGTTCCGATCATTTGGGAGAGGCGTTGGCCAACTGGGGATGCTCTGGGCTTTGTACATTGCGGCCTTAGAGGCGAATGATCCCGCAGATCAGGAAATTTTGCGAGAAATATTCATCGGCATGTCGAGATTTGGTTTCAAGGTGAGAGAGCCCAATACCTACCCTACCTTGCTATGAGCCACAAAATTGACAACTATCAGAATGTCACCAAAGCACTCGCGATTTTGGAGAACGCCTGGCTGCAAAAAAGGTCTTTAGCCCAGTATGAATGGATCTATGCGCCGCATCTGGAAACATCGGTACTTCTACCATGAGAAGAGGTTGAAGCCAAACAGAAATAAAACCCTTCAATCCAAATCATTACACAAATATACGCCAAACTCTACACTATATCTGAAAGCCAAGAAAACGACGTACATGTGGCGAACACCACCATCTATATCGAGATGGCATTCCTGCTTCTTGGATTAAAATCCATATAAAGGAGGAGACAGATTCGCTGCACGGCCAACCCCGAACCTCAATAACGGCTAAAATTGGCATCAGGAAGGCATAGTGTGGCAAATATTGAAGGATGCATGTGAAGAGCGTTATCATATCAAATTCAGTTCCAGCCATGCTTCAAACCAAATAAAGACATACGGGAATTGGCCCTCGGCTTCTTGCTGTTAACGTCGGAGGACCCCTCCATCGTGAATACCACCGTTAGCTACAATATAGCTTGGAGAATAGGAATGAGACGGCAGCCTAAAGATACATATGAAGCAGGATGATTTTACCAGGGAATGAATTAGACGACTCCACAGCATTTCAGGGCGTGGACATCGTCTTTGATTATCCAGATGAATAATTGTCACTGGAAGTCCCCGCTGCAACGAATAAGTCAAAAAAATTTTAAACCAATACTATATCATGCTGACTGCCAAACAATGTGTGACGGTTTTCATCAATTCCAAAAACTTAGATGCAACGTAGCTAGAAATCCTGGGAGGTCTCGGGAAGCTCTGTCAATCGCAGGGGTGTCACCACTGCTGGACTCTGTATTGAAGACAGTGCGCTCTACATGAGAAATGAAAAAGGATACATTCCCGATTTTATTTTGTGCAAAACCAAAGTGTTTTTGGTGAACAGGCATGCTTCGCTTGCTCTGCTCGGTACGGACTGTACAATACACCGGCAATTAATGTAAAAAGGGCTCTACTGGAGTTGGTAAAACCATTTCAACGAACCAACCCTGAATAACAATACCCTAACAAATTACCAATGAATTTATTCGTAAAAGACTAAGTAATTTGCATATTGTATCACTACTATAACGTAGTTCACCCTGCGGCACCTACCTTTTTCCATACAATTGAAATGAAGGATGGTCAGCTATTGATATCTCAACACCCACTCTATTAAAACACTATATAATTGATAATTTATGAATACAAATATATGCTTTAAGTAATAAAGATTTGAAATTTGAAATCAGGTGTATCTTGTTGAGCTATAAGTCTGCTACAACGGGAGCTCATCGCTTGCTAGAGGGCCACGTGACAATATCTATTGAAGCGGGGCAAAAGAGCTTGATCACCGAGGTTATTAGGCCCGTTGTTAGCGCGAACAATTCCGCAACACACGTGCGCCAACATGCTCCAGCCTCGGGTTTAACACCCCCACCCTTGTGACTTTTAGATTAGCTTCAGCTTATCACACATCTCATCATACAAATGACAGTGATCCTGTCCGGGTTACAGTTGAATGTGGTTTATTGAAAGCTGAACGTGGTTTTAAAAAAGTGGGTCTTGTAGATAAACCATGCTCAGTTTTTCACACTAGTAATAAACAATGGCATGGTTTAGAGCAGAACTCTTTTGAAAACCATGTTCAGTTCTACATACTGACTGAACATTGTAGGTGCATACTATGTGCTGCAAGGTTGGCACCTCTGCATGTTCTGTTGATCATATGATCACCATAGTCACATGACTTCTTTTGTTACAGAATGCCCAAAGTAGCTAGATAATAATAAAAACCCATTTTAACCACAGTACCCCGTATTGATGGACACATTAACCACACCGAAAGTTGTTCCGGCCCGAAAAATTAACCATGTTCATGTTTGAATAAACCACGTTCAACTTGTACGTCCGATTCTGTCATATTTCTAGAGAAACTCTAATTCTTAACTAACTCTAATTTCAATCTCTAACCCATAATTCTCAAACTCATTTGTATTATGAATGATGAAGATGTTAGTTAGTAGTATATATAGTTTGAGTGTATCTTCAAGGCCCATATTTTAGTCTTGTTCATAAAGTCAAATAGAGCATATTTTCTACACTAGTGACAGAGATATTAACGTTATATAAGTTAGTGTGATCTTGGCCGCTCGGGGAGGGCTTTCAAACTTAATGCCCCTCCACGGTACCACAGGTTCGAATCAGAGAGTATCCATGTGGAAAGTCCTCTTTACTCGGACAGTCCTTTTCTGGGCGGGGACAATGCTTAGTTAGTCACTCTGGATCCTTCGGATAAGGAACAGTTATAGTTCCCTAGCTGACCAACAAGAAATGGATGTTGAAAGCATGGCGCTGGTGGTGATCAAGCTCTTTTGGCCCAGGGGCATACAATTGAACGCGGTCAATAAAAAGTTGAACATGGCTAATTTTTCGGGCCGGAATAACCTTTGAGTGTGATTTTGACCATAAACCATGTCAATCCTCTCATTAAAACTACATGTGCTTGTCATATCTCCCACACATCTCTCACACATCTCTACTGCTCTGAATGCTTCAGAGACAGTGATTGTATCATATTTCTCAGAGCTCTATTCCTTAGCTAACCTGGATTCTAAATCTAGATCATTAATTTCACAACTAGTTACTTTTCAGATGTTGAAGAGCTCTGAATGTTGAACTGATTCATAATATATACTGAGGGTGTGTCAGAGATGTTTCGTGTGTAGATTTTCATGAGAAAGCGAAGGAGCATGGTTTATTTTTCAGACCCACTTTTTTTAAACCACGTTCAACTGTAGCCTGTTGCCGCATGGCCTAACACCTTCCACCAAAAGATAGTTACTCCTTAACTATGACTTCTCCGCTCTCGTTGCACAAACTCTTAAAGCTCAAGTTTTAACTTTATATTTTTTTTCAAGAACTTAGATTACCACTGTAGCTGTTGCTGATCTTGACTCTTAGAAATACTCTAATTGATATTTCTAATACTCATAATAGTGACACGATCTTCTGAGCACTCTCAGAGCATTTCTCTAGAGGCTTCACCTTGCTTTCAAGTATGAGTGGGAGACTTGGTAGCAAACTGTTATATAAATCTTTTTATAACTAGTAGATAACTATTGCGATGCCAGCATTGAACACTTTTTAAATTTAGTTATATAGATTAAGAACAACAATACGCAGTAGCGTAGTCGATAAGCGAGCGAGACATATTGTCAGAAGTGATATATCATATCAAGAATTCTGTTGAGGCACTAGCAAAGATCTTATACCATCCCACTACCTGAAACCGGATTGCTATTCCGGTGCATATCAGTACTACCCCTATTGTATATTCAAGCATTCTCTTTCTTATAAATACTGCCTGATTATCATGTAATTATTGGAGTTAGAATAAGAAATTCAATTCATTTTATCGATATTCAGTATTTGGGTCAATATTCGGACTTCATTCAGCTCCGACACATATAGGCAAGCGAGCAGCTTTGTCACACCAAAATTTGTATGTGGTGCTACTCTATAAAACAAACATATACGGAGTAAAACTTTTGTGGTGGTACAAAAGTGGCTCGCTTGCCTATATATCTCGCTCGCTTCTCGACTACATTAGTTCTTTGGTCAATCGCCGGGAGCCAACTCTGGTCTGGCGGCTCCCTCGGTTGAAGCACCTGCTGACTTACATTTGAACTCTGCTTCTTCTAGAAGTTCTGCAGAGAAATCGCCACTGTGGAGCCAACATTGAAGCCCCTGCTGGTTTTTTTTGTTCCCACATTAACAGATGCTATTGAAGAATGTTTACAAGCCCAATTAGATCAAAGAGAATGTACAGATAGAGTTAATCGGCTAATGGCTAGTTTACTCAAACACTCTGATAAAACATAACTAGTTAACTAGTTAATTATTACTAAACTTAATAATTGTCAGTTAGTTATTGTTAAAAAAATTTATATATTCTGTCTGTCAATTTCCATAGATACATACATTCTAGAATAGTAGTTATCCATCTAAATTTACTGCGGAGTAGAAATATTGTTACCTTTTTATCAATTACGATGCAATTGATCACCTTGGCCGTGATCGGCTTTCTTATCAATGTGAAAGTCGAGGCAACAGCGAAGAATGATATATTTTCAAGTATAATCAACTCCTCACATGTGTAAAATCCGACTTACTATAATTTGAAAGCCGATGGCTAATCTTTTTTGACCAGGTTCAGCATTTGAGAACGAAGTATCTGATATGATTCGTAGTATTCAAATCGATTCGACGGGAGTTTTGCATCTAGATGATGATGGGGTTTTGCGATCATATGATGGAGCTGGCAACATTCTTGATTACAGAAGATTTAATAGTAGTCACCTAATGACTGTTGCCAATCAGTATTCGGGAGATTTGCAGAGTCATCTGTTTGAGGTTTGGGATGGTGTTGATAGCTTTGCAGTTGAAGAGCATCAGATATGGAATCCCGTCAACAATCCCTATCAATCTCTATTTCCAAAGCAGGGAACGTCGGATCGACGGGCGCCTTCACCTTTGACACCACATGTTAACAGATGCGAAAAAATTCGGTGTAATACTCATGAGACCTGCCATGCCAATAGCTGCTTCTATTGTTTTCTCTTAGATCATGTAGCTAATGGTCATTGCCGTGGTGGATAAGGAGGGGGAGGGGGTGGGGGTGGTGGTGGTTAATAGGTTCTCTATTAAATTAAGCATAAACACACTTTATATTCACAATAATATAAAAAGGGATTGCTGATTATATTACGAATTATTTTTTGTTCCTTTGTATAAACGGTATGTTTAATATTTCTCCTAGTGATCAACTTGATACCAGTATTCGTTGATGGTTGCCAAGCCAATCACAATTTATTTTGGACTCCTGTGCGAAGGCTGTTGTTGTCACGTGATCACACCTATTTAAGGGGATTGGATGGATTGGGTGCTATTAGGTCAATCACCACCAGCGCCGTGGTGACCCAATCCACTCCCTCCAACAGGTGTTACTGCGTACTGCGTGTAACTAATAGAACTAGCTAGCTAAATATCATTTCCCTCTTGATAGAATCACTTTTTTAATTTTTATATCGTCAAAGAAATAAAGCGATCATTTTCAACAAGATACATCTATATGAAATATTAATTTTTTTAAATATAAAAATTATATATTTACATTCGTCTTCTCTTTAACTACAGTCTAAGGTGATTCACAAATCTCAAAGATATGTGACTATTGTGTAATTGAAAAGCCCATACTGCTGCAACCGAGCCATAGAGGGTCTGAGCTCGCTGAGATAAGATAATGGCAACTCTCTTTGATTATCATACTGGATAGTCTTGAGATGCTCAAATTATATGCAAAAACAGAGCAAAGAGTAAGTTTCTATCAATAACTAGTTATATCAATATTATACAAATATTAAGATAAATGTGATGGGTCAGTTCTCATTGATCTGCCACTTTTCACCCCATCATCTAGCAGGTCGTGCTACTGCCTATATAAAAGGCGGAAAAATCGATTTTCAATTCGTTATTAGATGCTAGAGAAGATGACAGTGTGTCAGGCTCGGGCGATCCAACCGCTTTGGAAGACAACTCGGTTTCTCGGATACTAGCGCTGGCCTATGCTCGGGTCACAGACCAAGGAATTTACAAAAATCTCAAGTTCTCTGACGCTTCTCCTCCATCAGCTCGGGGATGAGCCGGCACCAGCTCCCTCCTCTGGTTGAAGCGGTCTTTTATCCCAGCACAATGTAGAATGGCAAATTGACTGTGACCCGAGGATCCTCCCTTACTAGATATCCCTTTTGACAAGACCAGCGGCCGAGCATGTTGCCACAGCTGGGCATCGTCCGCCCTCCCCACGTGCGTTGAGCAACTCATCCGAAAGGCCCATGCCCGCCTACTAGCATTATTGAGACGGCATATATGTATGTCCATGTACAGTACACCTACTGTACATAAATACGCACATCCACATATGCCCCTGTGCCTCTTTCTAGCATCTTTTGAAGTCTTGATTGCTGTAGCCGATCTGGACTGGGCATCTGCTTCCCTCACCAGTTTCAGCTTCGAAGCTTACTCAATCTGACAGCCCAAGCGAACAGTGATCCTTTTGTTCTCCCTTGGTGGTCTTGGGAACACAGCAGGCACACGCATCCCCCATTACCAAACCATCCTCACAAACCAGATAACATGGAGAAATCCCAAAGCTTCCCGAGCAAAATAGACCGGGACACCGAAAATCTTGGATTACCCTTCCTCCCCCAGGAGCACATCAACTCTGTCCCGAAGCGGACATGCTTTTCGCGGCTGTATCTATTCGCTGTCAAGATTGCCTTGACTCTCTTGGTTGCTCTAACTATATATACCCATTTTTTCTCAACTCCATCCTCACCCTCGCCATACGCTGGCGCCCTCCGAACCATCCCACCCGTGGAGGTCCAACGATCTCTGTCCGCCTTCGAAGGTCCATGTGGTAACTCCCCGGCCGAAGCGCGTCAACGGGGCTGTATCTTTGACATGATAGCTTTCAATTGGGCCCACCATGACTGCTGGGACGAGGACCTCCATAATCAATTCCTAGCCCGGTACCCAAATACCTGGCACTGGGAGACACTAGACGGACATTCGGTGCCGGTTGAGGAGGTGCTGGCGGGTGCACATCAGTTCCTCAACACCAATTGGGACTTCTACATCGTTCACTGCTTGTATGTGATGGAGCGGGCGGAAAGGGGTTCGCGGCCGTTACCCCATGTGGCTAGAGAAGCCCAGATATCAGACGAATGGTCGCCTCCATTTCTCCATGTGAAGCAGTGCACGCTTGATTTGATGGATGTGGGGAAGTATGCGGGGAAGACGATAATGGTCACGGCGAAGATGGGGTATCCGGCGTGTGGCACCGAGATGAAGTGACCGATGGGTTGATTTGATGGGGCGTGTGCGATGCCCGGATGGGTTATATTTGTTACGCATACCGTATGTACAGTACCTGGACGGGTACGTTGACTCTAAATGGGCGGGACGGGCGTTTCGGGATTTTGTGGATTAGTTATATACCCACGTTGTCTTTAATCATTTATTCACAAGTAGGGCCGGTAAAGTCTTGGAGTATACATTTATGGAGGGATGCTACAATATCCAATGCGATTAATATATATGAACGGAGTGGGAGAGAATCATATATCGGTAGAAGAACTGAACTTATGGCAGGGCCCAATTACGCCCCCCCAGCGATTGAACATCTCTTGCCAGGACAGACCACCTACCAAATAATTTAACATATGCCAAGTCTGAAATCCCTACCGTGCGACCAATTGTAGTTGAAACCTAGTATCTAAGTCAGGAATCCAAAATGATTTTCTCGAGAGACCCCGAAGGAGAGCTGAATTGTTGCATGGACAGAGATACTAAGAGACACTCACCACCCACCAGAAATGTACACCGAATTTGGTCTCAAACTTGGGAAAATGTCAATGATGATAATAATAATAATAATAATAATAATAATAATAAAATACTAGTAGGACAGAAGCGAGCTCCATAGTTTCATCTCGGTTTCGGATACGCTTTCAGACACGTTTCAACCACCAGTTTTATCTGGGAACGGGAGAAATCAGCACACCTCGCATGGTACTCTATATATATGTATGTCCCTCGGTTACTCGCAATCTACACATGTAACGGTAAACCTCCCCAGCGCAAGCAGAGCTTCCATGGGTGAAATATTCGCGAAAGAAAAAATAAAAAGAAAAACAAAAATAAAACATGATGGATGGATGTATCGTTCAATTCGGCTAGGACAGGGTCAAAAGAGTCCTGCATACAAGGAAATCTCGCTTCCAAAATCGTCATGTCGCATTTATCTCCAGTTATATACTATGGCTCAATGGTGTCTATGAACATGTATGTATGCGTGGCACAAACCGACGTATCCGCCCAACTAGAAACATGCCTACACCGTCTCCGTCCATCCATACAGTCATCTTCAAGAGTGGGCATCAGCAACCACAGCCCGATGATCAGAGAAGAAGATACCATCGTCGAACTTGTTGGGTAGCACGGCATAGCGGTTTACGTCCCAGGTGCCCTTGTCACCCCATCCACAGAGATTTCCCTGGCCCACGAACACATAGTCGATTCTCGTGAGCCCAACCTCCGAGTCGAAACCGGTAAAAGTCTTCCGATTGCCATAGATATTCTTATCCCCGAATTTCTTCACGGGATCCACCAGGATCTTTGACTCAGTGACGACTTTGTATGCCTCCTGTCCTTCCTCGCTGTTGAAATCGCCGGTAAGTATGACGCCGGTAAGCTTGCACTTGTACTGCCGCTTGTTCTTATAGTCGCCAATGAGTTTGAGAATCAGCTCAGACCCGTGCAGACGGGCTTCCGAAACCTGGTGATCGAGATGCGTGTTCATAACCAGAGCCATTGCCCTGGTCCGCTTGTTCCTGAAAACCCCAATGGTGACAATCCGGCGGTTCGTGGCACCCCATCCGTAGGAAGGTACATCAGGAGTCTCCGACAACCATTTCGTATCCATCTCGACCAATTCCCAGAGCGATTTGCGATATAGGATGGGGGAGTATTCCCCACTCTGTTTGCCGTCGTCTCGCCCGACGCCGATATAAGCCCAGTCATTCCCGCCGCTGCTGGGGTGGCTATTCAACCCGTTGACGATATCCTCGAGCTGGTTGTGTAAGACCTCCTGCATACCGACGAATACGTTGTCTGTTGCCCCCATTTCGTATGCGACTTGGGTGATCAAGTTACCTCGTCGTTCTGACCAAGCTTTCTCGTTTCCTGAGGGCTTTGCAGCGTAGCGCACATTGAAGGTCATCAAACGGAGGGAGAGAGACTTGTTGGGGAACGGCCATGTTCGAGGTGCCAAGGAGGCGAACGGTCTTCCATAAATCAAAGTTGGCCAGAGGAAGAGAGAGGCGCAAATAGCTGTGATAAGACGGTTGAGAGCTGCCATCCTTTTTATCTGGTGCCGAGTGTGGCTTCAAATATCCGTCCTTGAACTGTTGACCGTTTCACGGACAACTGATTCCTTTCTCAGGAAGGCTCGTTTTATATATCCTCGCTGTACGAAAGCATTCGAAGACCTGAAGCTGAGGAAAAGGACCACGTGGGACAGCCCCGGTTACTTTTGATTCCATCTGATGTTCTTGTACCACATTGTTGAGCGGGAGTTCTTAAACCCCTTTACCAACAGAAACGCTCAACCTGACCCATGTGTGTTGACCACGCTCGTCTTTGTGGATATAGTGCAGATCCACCGCCACACGTGTGAGGCTGTCTTGAACATCATTTGCTGGAAATCCTCCGACAAAGCAGAAGGGTAACAAGAACCCCACAGACATGGCTGCATTGCTCCTCTGCAGTTTGAACGGTTATCCAGCATATGCTGCTTGAGATGGTAGGCTTTGCTGCTTAGTATTGCACAGTCGGGTGTTGCATCCAAGCAATGCTATGTGCTCTGTCTTCCCGTAAAATGATAAGTCCCCAACATGCCGTTTTTAACCATGCATCTCTGGCAAAACAATGTTGCTGGAAGCACCTGTGGCTTGGATTTCAACACCAATGAACGGGGAAATGAAGCATGGCCAGGGGTCCAAGAGCGGGGCGGGTGCAGCATGACGTCAGGCACGGTTCTCAAAGAACATCCTGGAGCTTTTCTAGAACCGCCAAGTTTTTCAAACTGCGATAAGCTGTGACTTCTGTCACAGTCTAGCTTTTCTCTAGCCGTTGGCGGGTTGTTGAAAGGGAGGCACCGATGGACCACAGGCTGTCCGCAATCTGACCTCGTGCATCCCTTCTCTCAGGACTCCCAATGCAACGCTGACTTGGGGGGATGAGGTCGGTAAGATGGGGAACAACCGCAAACTATCCAATGTGCTCCATGGTGCACGGTATGTGGGCGGGAATATATTTTGAAAACATCATGGATTGTGACCGAGATTGGCTGACAGTCCTTGTTGGCAATATGTAATATATGCCACAAATATCACAAATTTACCAGCGTGTGCACGCCATATTCCCAACCCGTCTTTTTGATGCTAACCGTAATTGAGAATTGATTCCCGATGGAAGGTTGAGATATGCAATACGGCGGAAGAGTCAATTGTTGAAAGATCTTATCGAAGGCGAGCATGAATATTCCCCGAGAACTAAAGGCTAGAATCTGTTCAGCGCCTTGGTACAGTGGGGGGCATTAAGTTTGAAACCCCCCCCCTGAGCGGCCAAGATCATACTAACTATATTGTGTTAATGTCTATATAGCTGCTTTTCATGCTCATGTAGAAGACATTATTAATATTTTATGTAAGACCATTCTATTTGACTTTGAGAATAAGTCTAATAAAATATGGGTCTTGAAGATTCACTAAAACTATATCCACACTAGAATCTAGATTTATTACTAACACTCAGCTCACATCATTTCTCATCATCTATACTACAAATAAATACTAGAACTATAAAGTCAAAGACTAAATAGAGTTAGTTAGATATTAGAGTCTCTCTAGAAATATGAAAAAATCATTGTAATTTGTGTAATGAGATGTGTGGTAAACTAAAGCTAGTACTAGTGTAATAAGTTCTAAATAAATACTGCTGTGATTAATAATGAAAATCATATCAAAGATTTTTTCAGTCAGCATTTTAAAATCTGTTGTTCTGGATCTGGAAAGAAGAAAAATTGTAGAGTAAAAGCAGCATTCTGACATAACTGAGTTTGGGTTAGTGATATCTTGGCATCACAGGGGGGTTTCAAACTTATTGCCGGAGACTGTAACTAACTACCTGTTTCCATGCCACGAGCCCCCATCACGAAGGAACGCAGCGTAGAGTCCTGAAGCAAGACTCGGAAACTTCTCAGTTCCGGCCACTCGCAAGGCCAAGTGAATGAAATCCCATGCACAGTTTAAATCAATAGCTGATTGTGGCAGAAGAATCTCGCATGGAACTTTAACCTAACAGCATGGGAACAAAAGTCGTCAGACCATTCATTGCAACTGCATCTGCTCTCGGGAATCAGGTAACGTTAATGTTGAATACAAACTCCTTGAAAGGGAACGGATCCTTTTTATCTAGGTGTGATTCAGAGGTTGCTTGAGCAGTGGAAGCTTCTAAGATTACGCTGCTCTTCTTATACGAAAATATCTAACTGGCGTACTATCTCCTCCCCTCCTAAATCTGCAACCCCTTCGTTCGATCCCCTGCCCTGTTCTCGATCGATCGTCCTATGCAGTTGTCCAAACCTACCCTAACGCCTAGACCAACCAGTCGCACGATATAGGTCCGGTCGTCGTAGTTCTCGTCGTTCGAGCCGTCTCGGGGCGTTCTGCTGGTAAGTTTTCGTGACCCGAACTTGCTAGAAGCTAGTTAAACGTTATTCGGACGGCTTTTGCCAGTGCTAATCATTGATAACTCCCACTGCCCGTCGTCAGAGCGCGCGCCTTGCCCAAGATCGCCCCCAATAATGAGGATACTCCCCAGGGTATCGTAGCGGTCGAGCAGGACGATGCCAGTGTGCGCGTCTTTGCTAACGAAGACAACGCATGTGAGCCGGCTGGCGAGGACGTGGTTGGTGGTAGCAAGGCCTGCGAAGACGAAGAGATGGCCTGCTGCCGCCTCTCCCGTCCCCGCTCGTGCCTCTGTTTCTCCTGTCCCCTCCAATCCTCCCCCTCCTTCGACCGCCGGTTCCTCCCGCTCCCCCGTGGGCCCCCCCACGCCAGTTCGTATGTGGTTCCCACACTATGCTGTAACTGGTGGTCGCAGTCTATAGGTGGTGGGATAGGTGGCTATGGCCGTTGTGGACCGGGCTACACCACCACACCCACGGGTATATATATCAATATGAGTGCAACCATTTAACAAATGGTTACGTTGGCATTTTGCTATGGAAAACATAGTGGCCATAGTGCTAGCTTATCACACAGGCATGAGAGACGATTTTCCTGAATCACTCCAAAACAAATTCTTGAGAGCCTCCCCGAGATCGTGACCTCCGCATCACGTAAATTGAGCTGTTGCGAGCTTCCGCGAGAAATAGTCGTATTCAGGGCTTGACCACACAAGGCCCTGTGGATGTGCCAGTATATTCATTTCGGACCCCGCTGTAGCATGAAGATCGAGATTTGAGCCAGTCCAACAACTTCATTAAAAAAAAACACAACACCACTGCAATCCCAGGATGAGGATACTACGGATGAAAAGAACTCATCCGCCCATCAGCGGAGATAGTTTTAACAACTGGATGTAGCTCGCAAGCGCTATACTGGCGTGATCGCTTGGGAATACGTTTATTGCTGTGAAGACGTTGACACCCCCTTTCACATCAATGTCAACCCCAGCCATTTTGTTTTTCACGGATTCAGAAGACGCTTCGGCCAGTATTCGGAGAAATAAAAATGGCTGGATGGATGGGTGGGAGTGCAACCTGAAGAACTCTACCCCTCCCGCCCCTCCGAACTGAAATAACCTTATAGAGAACACTGCCCTAGGGAGCCACTGTCTGTTAGAGATAAGAAAACCAACTCACTTGAACTGGACCGGGAGTGAGTCCTCATAATTCAAAGAGTGCTATGCTAACTCACAATTGCCATCGTAAGTATACTCCTCTTTCTCCTATGCCGTTTCAGAGCATCTCAGGTCCCTCCACACCATTGCAGCTAGTTGCTGTAGGTACTTCCGAGTTAAAACCAAATCTGACTCTCGAGATGAAGGTGTCCGCAAGAATATCTTCTCAAATGGAAGACGAACAGCATCGTCCGCCTCCCAAATATTTGAATCGGCGATTCACCGAATGCAGGTAGTTTCAACGAGCTGTGGAACACATCCCCGATACATGTTTTGTCTTGTTGGTCTTGGCGATGCTCCCATTTCCCATTTTCCAATGTGAAGTCTATCTTTATCCATCTCGATGTCGATTGTAATCACAATGCCCACATCTCCATTGGACTGTTCCAGTCACCATCTCGCATCACGTTCAAGCTGTGCTTCAGTCTCTGTATATCCCACTTCCAACACAAAGGTAGGCCATAGATGAGATCTTCCTTTCGGTAATTCAGTTGGCTGCCAGGACATATCTGGAGCCTTCTTCCGCCGAGTTGTTGTAACCCAACTGGAGAGAAGATTGTGCAGATCGAGGAAGCTGAGGCCCATTTTAGCCAATTTTTTCCCAACAAGGTCACCAAAGACTGAGGCAGCCAATTCATGGGCTCTAGAAGGCATTCGTAAAACGAGGATGTGGTTTATTTTGTCGTAGCTAAATACTAGTTTCTCAATATTTCTATTATTCTCGACGTGTTGCTCGACTGCAGCTTGGGAGACACATGAGAATCCCATGAAAGGATTGCGAACGGGAGTGCTTTGGCCATCCATCAGCGCCAGGAAAGCACCCCGTTCAAGTTGAATGGTTTTTTCCATATCTTTTATATTTCCACTGTATTTGTATTCGCAAGTGCCAGGGGGAAGATATTTCAGCTCCTCACATTTTCCGCCCGAGTTGGCAGTGGGTTTGTTGATGGCGTTTGCTGAAGGCATGATTAGTGAGTGGTAGGGCATCGACTCGGACAGGACCTTAGTACTTGCAGCTCTGGAAAAGGGCCAGAGGGGATCCTCGAAGGAGTCTATATAACTACTCGAAGCCGACTTCAAGGTTCTTCATACGTCATGCTGCCCATGGGCTCGCTGCAGCAGCAGCCCGGTTTGTAACCGCTGGCAGAGAAACGACAATATATATATATATATATATACATATATATTTATTAGTACACTGGGCATAAGGTTCTCAACGGCCACATGGGCGTGTTGCAATTGCGCACAGATCCGCTGCTAGTATTCTTAAACCAGGACGCGCTTTGTCTACGATGGAGCTACACCACATAAATATTCCTGGGTTAACGTTACAAACGACAAAGCGGTACCTGACCAAGCTCTCCGTCTTGGTTCCATGATCGGGATGAAGTAGGACTTGTTGGAGATATGTCGAATTCCAATTGGCGCCTTGAATTCAGCTCACCGTTGCAAGAGAAAAAGAGGTGAAGCAGTATATATACTCTGAATTATCACTCCAACACGTTGTTCTTCTGTTTGGTTTCGAGAGTGGATCGCAAAGCGGTGCTCCACCCGTTTTGATACCACCATCACGTCAGCAAGGAGCATGAGAAAGGAGGACGGAAGCGGTTTAGGTGGCAATAGTGAGGTTGCAGATTGTTGCATCAAATGCTGTCGAAATGCCGCTTGTTGAGATTTTAAAGTGCGATGTGCACGAGCTAACACCTGAGCTTATCAGCGCACTTCCCTCTGGCCCTCGCTGTGATAAATATCTCAGCTTCTGAACGCGCGATGGACCGCCAATCCGTCGGAACACTCTTTGCAAACCTAATATGTTCGGCCAAAGGAAGGTCACGGCAGAACTAGTGAGGCATTCCATTGGCTCAGCAGCGATGCCAGCGACGTCAGGGGGCAGACATCAGACATCAGACGTCGCTGTTGCAAGCACCAGGGAATGATATCAATTGTGTCTATTATTGTGTGACCCGCAATCAACCCTGGCACCCTGCCTGTGATCATCGTTCTGGGAATGAGATTTCATACATCAAGAACCTCGCGCACGCAAATCTATGCCTCTTACATTTCTAGTCAGGGGAAACGCTGGCCAGTTGTTCGCCCAGAGGAGCTTTTTTCGTGTGATTGAGGTCTTTGGTTGGAGTGTTTCTCCTCAGACCGCCAAAAACTCCATTCCGCTCCTTTCTCCCATTCGCTCATGGCTCCCAAAGAGCGATGGTTAGTTCAAATTGCATCTTCGCCTTCATCGCGAACTATCACTGCCACCCTACAAACTGCAAAAGGTTTGGCGTCAAGTCGTGAGTGACGATCATATAAGCCAGAGGAAGTCAAAGATGTATAAATCGCACAGGGAAGAACTCCGTTCATCTTCTCCTACTCTTCTCTTTGTCTTCTCACTCAACAGTCGCTCCTTTTCTGTTCCGTTGAAAGTCATTCATTATCAAAATCGTGCCTTTTTCACTCTCACACTCTTCTTCTTTGATATCGTCACTCATTTAATCAAACTTAAATTAATTCACCATGAAGCTCACCGGTTTCTCTGCAGCGCTCGTTCTAGCGGGCTCTGCTGCGGCCTCTCCCCTCGTCCATCGTGGTTTGCCCAAATATGGAGTTCCTGAATCCTCAACTCCATCAACCCCAGCGACCGAGCCGAGTAGCGCTGATCCTACTCTCACACCTATAGTTACACCAACGGTTACTCCTTCGCTCCCTCCTTATGGCATTCCTTCAGTTTCTCCCGGGTTGCCGGAAGTGAAACCAACCGGTGGAATCCCACCCGTGTGCAGCTTCCCCACTGAGGATATCCCTGATGGCACACCCGCCGAACTACCCGACGTGGATGGCCTGGATTCAGGCCTGCTTGCACAGCTTCTGCCCGGCGTTATCTCTATCATCAACGGTCTGGGTTTGGGTGGCCTCGCCCCTGGCCTCCTCGGCCTCCTCAACCTCAATATTGTCACGAACAGCCTTGAAATTGTGGACCTCGACGGCCTGCTTGGTGGTCTGCCAATTCCCGAGATCAGTGGCCTGAGCGTTAACCAAGTCACCAAGATTGTCACTGGTCTGTTGACCATCGTCAAAGTGCTCAAGCTCGACGAGATCACATCGTCTGGTGTTTTGCCACAGGTCGAGGGTATCACCCCCGAGCTCCTCCAGGCCATCCTCAACTTCGTCACTGCTCTCGTAGGCAAGCTGGGGCTCCAGTCAGTGTTCACAACCCTTCATGTCGCTGCCACCAACGATGTTCCAGACTTGTTGGTTGCGGGCGGCCTTCTCGCTCAGCTCGGCCCTGTGGTCGCTGGCCTCCTGAACATTCTTGGCCTTGGTGCCCTCGCTCCTCTCCTTGTCACCCTGCTTAACTCTCTGAGCGCTGCTCTGTAAATAAAAGTAAGCCTTTGATGGAACGTGCACACTCCGCATGCGCCCCTAACACCAACTAACGAGCCTTCCAATCCTTAGTTACATGGGGAGAATGCCTAAATTAGCCGAAGCCGTCGTGGGGAACTGGACGAACGCGCCTCGCCTTTATGAACTGTCCCATTTTTGCGTGACCTGAACTTATTGCGGATAGCACTCTTCTTGCCCGCAAAGTCTAATTTTCAACTTTTCCTTCTTTGACTTCCCTTGGTGTAGCTGTAGTAGGGCGGGATGCATTAATGTTGATGCTGTTTCTCTTACGAATCTCAGCGGATTTTTTGTTGTCTCGCAGAGAATATATGTGTATATTTTACTTTGATACCATACATATTATATTAGTATTTTATATGTTTTTTCTTTTTCTCAATGCCTCTCCGATTTTCTGTATTTGTAATGAGATTATTCCGAACCGCTTTTAAGCGATCTCTGGACGGATCATAATGCCTAAACTCCCGTCAAAGTTATCGTTTTGTTAACATAGGATCAAAGGGACCCTTAAATATTCGTTCCCCTTTCAAGGCGCCTATTAGTGGATGAGGAATTTGAGGGATATGTTTGCACTCAGAGGTTTTGAAATAATCTGCAACTCTCGGATCCTTGTCACCTGTTGACACAAATCCGCCATCCCGGGCCAAATCCACTTCATTCTGCCGGATAAGTGCCAAGAGGCGCGAACCCTGATGCTACTGGAGACTATTTTTTCCATTCTCGCTCATCTCGTTTAGCGTGATAAACTTGCCTTTTTGGCTTGACCAGTAACTTAAGCTGGATGGGCAATCCCATCCTTGCCACCAAGGGATTTCTTCCAATCCAGACGAGGAGATATGTTTCCGGCACTCTGCCTGATGCGAGCCGTGGGAATAACGACTTAGTATATAACACTTTTCGGAGACGTGGTATGGTATATGAACAAGCTGGGATGCCTACTTGAGATCTGTTGATTCCATTTGTGAACTTCCACATTCATTATCTTAAATTCTTCCTGTCATGGCTTTACACTAAACCTATCGCACGCTCGTTTCATTAACCAACTCATCCGCAATGTCATCCGTTACCCCAGGTTGGTATTTCTATTCTCTACTGCGAACGGATATATATAATACATATATACATACCTATGCAATATAATAGCAGGAGAATATTGACCTAAAGTCCCCATGTTGACACTTCTCTTCACGATTCATTCACCGGTTCATTAATATTTCATAATGCACGTCCAGGGATATGCGGTCCGAGTTTGTTCGCAACTGTGACAGACTATATCGCAACAGACCCACTACCAAGGGAGCCTCATGGCTTGTCGAGGCGGCATTAGCCACCTCTACACTGTCAAAGGCATCCACAATTCTTGACATCGGCTGTGGTGGGGAACAAATAGTCACCGGAATCCTGAAGAAATATAGCTCAATCCTGCCCGAAAATGTGCAGTCCTTGCATCAGATTTTGTGGAGGGTATTGTGAATCCACCAGGTTATTAACCCCAGGGGAGCAGCATGGGAACATCTTGAGACAGCCACTTCCGATGGATGCCATGGACCTGTTGAGTTTTAAAGACAGTGAATACAGCCACATTCTCACAGGGTTTGTGTTTAACAGCCTGCCCCGAGCCCACCAGAGCACTCCAGGAAGCGAATTGTGTTCTTCTGCCAGACAGCATTCTTGCACTGACCAACATGAAGAGTGGGGAGTGGGTAGAGTTGCTGTTGGTTATCAAAGATGTCAGGCCGGATTTGCCACAGCCTCCGACAGTGAAATCGTTTGCACCGACGGTGGCATGAAGATATCGATACCAAGGCGCATTTAGAACGTGCTGGCTTTCGGGATGTTGAAATTCAAGAGATTCACGATTTTGCTTCTCATCAGGAACTTAGGGAGAAGCTCTTTGATTCTTTGCCGTTCCTGGGCAGGTGGCTCAAAGCGATGATGGAGGAAGAAATTGAAAAAGCAAAGGACCTGCTGGTTGAAAGGATAAGGGAGATATGTCCAAAAGTGAACTTTTTGCTCTCCACGGCACCGCTACACTGGCTATAGGGAGGAAATAGTTAACTTTGGATGTAGGGAAGCTGTGATAATTACTCCGTACGCCGCGCAAAAATATATGTTACACTTACACTTATTAATGGGAAACATTGGTCAATACGGTATCGGCCGAGCACCATTTTCCGAAGAAATATTGACTCCTCGCCTCTCACTTCATTCATGTTGTAACGCTATCACGCTGGGAGCGAGGATACGGTAGGAAAACGCGACCCATGAGAATAGCTACCGAATGGAAACCTATTTCTTCTATTTTTTATATAACTATAAGCATCTCCGAGTCATCAATTCAATGGCCTCAGAGAATTCCAAGAGACAATGTAGTTTCCGTCCTTGCCCTTGCGCGAGGAGGCGGTGAGGTTCCCGTATCTTGAAAAAGTGGATGATCTCAGTGGTGTTCATTCAAACCCCTTGGGAATCCACTCTGTTCCACAGGTATTCTCAACCAATTTCCCGTCTGGTAGTATAAGATATTGAGTTGGCCAGAAGTGAGTATGGATGGTTCACCCGTCGATGAGCAAAGAATGCACGAACTGGGCTACCGGGGATAAAAACCCACCCATATGTGAGAGAGGAGGGCAAAGCCAGAGTACCCCGATGACGAAATGGAGAACTCCGTCAGTCAATGGCGTTCGTCCATCGGCAGGCTCCGTCGATTCTCAGATATCAAGATAGACGAGCATGGGGCCGGCCTCTCAGGGACCCGACTTCTCCTGGTATGTCGATTCTGGATATGCCGGGAATATGCCAATGGTGTAAAATAAACATCTTCCACAGCTCTGTAAATACCGTAGCCCAACAGCTTGCAGAATGAGGCCTGGCTTCCAAGTTGTAATTGTCAGCTAATTAGCGATTCTTTTGATATAAAGATATAGCAGCATTACTCTCTGTATCGACAAAAAGGGAACCGTGGTTCTTTAGACTCTGGTTATTGCCGGCGGAGTGGGAAAATAGCCGATCACATGATTCCTGGCATTGCCGACGCCGACTCCAGCCGCCCTCGAAAGCGACAGAGCCGAGACAGTAACATCCCAACCTTCAAGCTGCAACGTTCGGATTGAATTCCTCATTTTGAACAGATAGAGAACAAGATGTCTTTCCCACTGCTTGGTCGCAGCGTCCGTAGTGCGAGTCAGCCTATTCTCCGCGCAACCAGATCCGCCAATCGCTCAGTGCGATGGAGTACCTCGATATCACAGCGACCGGGCTCGGACAGGTACGTGGCAGTTGATTGCACGCGCGGATATCTAGGAGTGCCTATTGAGGCATGAGGCTAATGAGAATTGTAATTGTTTTGACGCATAGTGTTCGATTCCCGGGGGCAATAGATAGCAAGTTCACGACGAACATGTCATTCATAAATCCCTCTGAGCACGCTGCCATCCCCACGTATCGAGTAATGGACTCTGATGGGGTGATCGTGGACAAGAGCCGAGGGCCACCAGATGTTACGAGCGAAGAAGTTATTACCTGGTATAAGAATATGTTGACTGGTATGTTCTCAGCGCTGGGATTGTTACTTTCAACAGGAGGGACCGGATGGTCAGCTGATTTGAGCGTTCTGGTACTGTAGTGAGCATTATGGACTTAATCATGTTCGATGCACAAAGACAGGGTCGATTGAGCTTCTATATGGTATGCATCTCTGAAAAGCTTACATCTCCGCATCGAATAATGCAGCTGACCTGCTCCTAGGTCTCCGCGGGAGAGGAAGGTATAGCCGTCGGCTCTGCTGCCGCTTTGACTCCTGAGGACATAGTTTTCGCTCAATATAGAGAGACTGGGGTTTTCCAACAACGTGGATTTACGCTCAAAGACTTCATGAGCCAACTATTTGCAAACCGCAATGACCCTGGGAAGGGACGAAACATGCCTGTTCACTATGGAGGTTCTAAAGTTAACACTGTACGAAAGCCTAGCATCTCATATCTGACATGATTGGTAGAATAGCGCTAACGGGATATAGCACACCATATCTTCGCCACTAGCAACGCAAATTCCACATGCAGCTGGTGCTGCATACGCTCTGAAGCTCCAGTCATTACAGAACCCCAACATCCCACAAAGGATCGTTACCTGCTACTTTGGCGAGGGCGCCGCAAGTGAAGGCGATTTCCATGCAGCCCTCAACATCGCCGCTACACGCTCATGCCCCGTGGTCTTCATCTGTCGCAACAACGGCTATGCCATCTCCACACCCACTCTGGAACAATACCGGGGCGACGGAATCGCCAGTAGAGGAATCGGATACGGCATCGATACCATCCGCGTCGACGGCAACGACATTTTCGCCGTACACGAAGTGACCAGAGAAGCCCGTCGGATGGCTCTGGAAAATGGAGGACGGCCCGTCCTTATCGAAGCTATGAGCTATCGCGTCTCCCATCACAGCACGAGTGATGACAGCTTTGCCTACCGTGCACGCGTCGAAGTTGAAGACTGGAAACGGCGTGATAACCCAATCACACGGCTGCGGAAATGGATGGAGGGCGAGGGGATCTGGAATGATGACCTCGAGCGTGATACGCGAGATGAGCTGCGGAAGGCTGTCCTGCAGGAGTTTTCGGCCGCTGAAAAGGAGAAGAAGCCGCCGCTCCGGGAGATGTTTAATGATGTTTTTGAAAAGTTGCCGGAGTCAACGGTAAAGCAGAAGGAGGAATTGAAACGTATTCTCGAGACGTATCCGGCCGAATACGACATTCGTGAGTTTGAAGATGGGATTAAGGGGCTGTGATTTGGGTGAGATTAAAATGGCTATAATTAGGCGCCGTGATGCCTGGCAATTTGCGATGCAGTCTCGGCTGACAGTGAAGCCCAACGATGTGTTCCGTCTTGGCTCCTATAATGATGCATGACTGAAAAACTTCCAGGAATTGAGATTAGTGTCATGTCACTCGCTACCAAGTTTTCCATTTGTCCATCAATGGAGAGGCCATGTCAGCTTTCCACAGAGTATAGACATTGTTTTTAGATATATGTATGGATACGTGTGTATCCCCATATTGCATTTCTACCCCATCCATCTGGGCCTCTAGCGATGACATGATTTATTTCGATTAGGTACTAGTCCATACTTATCTATATGTACTCCAGATTACACTCAGTAGCCCTTCTTCTTTTTTTAAGAGATTGGATGGGGTGGTTCGTCCCCTCTGCCACCCGCATGGTGCTGGTGGTGAACGAGCTCTTTTGTCCCAATGGCCTTAGATTTTTCACAATCTCATTGTAAACATCAGGAAACCGCTAGTCCCTAAAACCATCGGCTACTCCTATCAATTAACCACAAATAAATCGATGAATCACTCAATATTATATTAAGTTATCATGAGACGATTCTAAGCAGTACAAAATCCATGCTGTTGAATCATCAGGCGACAAGTATGGATAGCCAGGGTGGATGGGCACTTTGCCTTGCACAGATATCGGGTTGCTGTAAATGAACAAGGCAAATGAAAGAGGAAACAAATAAAATGAAGCTAAAAACTAAAAACGAGATCCAGCTGGCTGTGCAACCATAACAAAACACCTCCCAGGAGTAAAAGCCAGCGCCATAGAAAAAAAATAGACTGGATATGTAGAAAACCGCCATAACAAAATCAGTAATCCGCCATTCTTCACAAACGGAAAGAAACAAAACCAAATAAAACGGAAGGAAAGAAAAATGTTCCTGCAAGTCCATTGTGGCGGAATGAACATAGGAATTCATACTAGGGGTGAACCCCATATCATAGGTTTTATCTTTTTTGCTTGCTTTTCTTTCTTCCTTTTTTTTTTCTCATTTTATTATGAAGAGCGGTTTTAAAATTTCGGTGGGGAGGACTGGATAGATAAAAGAGGGGTGGAAAAAAGTAACAAAAAGGGAGCAGATAAAAAGAAAAGAAAAAAACCCCTACATAATAATACATGGCAAAACTAGACATAGGGGGATGTTGGACAAAAGACAGCCAAGCTATATTCGATACACCGAAGAGCCAAGCTCCAACTCTCCTTCACATCACTTATTCCTCTCACTCTACTCAGCCCACCCGTTACAGCATTGACGCCCGTGTCAAGCTACCAACAATACAACAAGCAGTAGAAATAGTACAACAGCTGCAATTCACAACCCCATATCTGAAGTAGACCCCACAAACTCCATCGCAGCAGAAAGCGCTTGCTGCACCAGTTTCTTATTCCGCTTCACAAGCGTCATAACCTTCTTGTCAACCATATCCACCTCTTTCCGCGAACTCTCCAGCTCGCGCTGTGCCTCCTCAATCATTGCTCGTAATTCCTCATCAGACATGCTCATGAGGTCCTCGAGACTAACGCCAAGGTGGCTTCCGCTCGTTGTCGATTTTGGCGCAGTTGATGATCGGTGAGAGCAGGCGGTTGTAGCCATGGCGCCTGTGGAAGCAGAACCACGAGCAGCATCAGCAGCTTCTGAAGATGAAGATTCGGTAGAGAAGCCACTGGCGCTGACAGATGGCGGTGAGGGCATGGAGGAGGGTTTCACAGAGCCGGAGAGGAGACCATTTTCCGGCGCACCATCAATCCAACGGATGTTGAAATTTTCAGGCGTCGCAAAAAGGGCATCGAGCCCACCACCGCGGTTCGTGGCATCAGGCTCCGTGGCAGTTAAAGCCGGATATTCCTGTAGAGACTGCCATGCGGCTGCAAGACTCTTTTCGAGTTCGAGATAGCGGAATTCCTCCTCTTCGGATAGGTGGCGGAGGACGCAGCCAGCTGGCGTTATGAGGCAGCGACACTTGAGGAGGTCAGTGTCTGCATTAATGTGAACCGGTTCACCCTGGAGTAACTTTGTTCTATGTTCTTCCGCCAGTTCAATAGGATTTTTCAAAATATCGTAATCATCCGCTGAGCATTTCAAATCCGAGCGCTGATTGAGGTTTGGTGGATTGAAAAGTGGGTGAGTAGTTAGATCAAGATCGCCAGATTGATGCAGCTGCGCAAGTAGAACTGGAAGAGGAGAAGTTCGCTCCAAGAAAAGATCCTTCACTGGTATACCAGTAGCTTCAGAATCAGCCAAAAGTTGCCCAGCCGTATTGTTCGACCTCCATGGTTCGGATTTTTCAGATTTTTCAGTGGTTTGACTTCGTGGCGCGTGTTCTTTGGGAACAGATTCTCTGGCAGCATTATCTGATCCTTTGGCTTGTGTTGGTGATTCTGAGTGATTCTGGTTTTTGTTTTTGGATTTAGCAACGTGCGGAGCATTATCTGTGACTTCAGGTTTAGAAGCAGAAGCAGCCTGTTGTTCCTTAGCTGGTGCCGGTGCCGGTGCTTTCTTTGTCTTCCGCTTCCTGCCGATGATAGGAGCCTGAACGGGCTCTTCAGCAACTACCGGAGTGGGATGGGTTTCCTCCTTTTTAACCTCAGCTTGCTTAGCCTTGAGCTTTCGCTCCTTTTTCAATTGACTTTTTGTGATTGAACGGACAGGCGCTGAGCCAACACGACTTGGTGGTGGTGAACTTGCCCTAGACACAGATGCAGAGGTATGGAAGTCATACTCAGAGTCGACATTGTTAGGGGTATCTGGGCGACTGTTGGTTGAAAGACTAGGCTGCCGTGAGAGGTGTTTGGAAGGCGGAGTGGAATTGTTTGGCGCTACTGACGAGGTAGGTGTCTCTGATTTCGAGGTGTCAACAACACGCAATACCCTAGTTTGTCGAGGGACGGGAGAGTCAGACGTGCGTGAGACACCAGTCAACGGGGTGTTAGGGTGGGAGGAAATATTTGATAACTGATGTATGGAAGAGACGTTATGATTCGGCGTAGTGGTTCGGGACGGAGAGGCATGCCCGGGCGTTGGCATCGAAAGATTGAGCTTAATGGGTATCGGCTTGCTGTGAGGCTCACGAGGTTGTTTGCCTTCTTTTGTGATAGGTGCCGCTACCTTTTCAGGACTAAGTTCTCGACCCTTATCCTTTTTCACAATTAGGCCGTCACTCTGTTGCCCAACAGCGGTTACGGTTTTAAGCTTTGGGGAACCAGAAGATATTTCTACTGCCGCGCGCGTCCGTGCAGGTGCAGAAGGCACAGCCGACGATGCTTGCACGTCTGATGTGGGGTGTGCTGAAATATGTAATTCTTTGAACTTTTGTACAGGCGTCGAAAATCCACTTCGTAAAGTAATGTGTCCGGGTTGAGGACTTGAAACTGCAGAGGTGGATGGACTGAGATCTTGGACGAAAGATGCCGCAGGATGTCCATGTGGTAAGGGAAGCCCCGGTGGCAGTACAGGAGTTCTAGACCTATAAGGTGAATCGTTGGAATCGTGAGATGCACGGGATCCTGAGGCAATTCGGAATGTTTCTAGAGGGCGTTTGTCAAGAGGTTTGGTTGGAGGGCCTAGCGGCGGGAAATCTTCATCTGCTATGTCCAGAATATCTCGGTTAGCATACATCAAAAGAAAATAGCCGTGAAGGAAACCAATAGATAGATGCGCTGCTGAACGACCCAAAGTATAAAGAATTCAATCAGACGTGTAGAAGGGTCGAACCCGCAAACAATATGGAGGGGCTACATGGAGACACTGGCAGGATATATACAAAATGATTGGCCTCTTCATTACAACAGTGGCCACGAAATTGAGTGGGGAAATTTGTGGACGGCGAGTCTATATGAGCAATAAATGTGAGAAAATTGCTTTGGAAATAGACCTGACTTGGGTACAAGTCAAGGTAAGGGAGACTTAACGTACAAATGAAAGGCCCGCCATCACCATGCCGGCGGGCCGTAAGTGCTCGAAAATTAAAACCTGTGCTGCTAATGAAGAGCCCCAAGCTTGTAGCAAACCCCTAGAGAAGAGTAGATCTCTACAAACAAAGCAGGAAAGTAATGCGTTGACGCCGTCCTTCAGCCTCGCCGAAATGTGACCATAACACCCAGGTAACGCCCGAGGCTCGCCTAACCCCGTTATTTTGAATCGATTGCCTTATGCTGCACAGGAAGGGAAGAGAAAAGAAAGACATTAAAAGGGAAACGTCAAACAAATATCAGAAATCATTGTGAGAAGCCATAGACTCCCAAAATCCAGGGAGGGGAAAATGACAATGTGAGGGAACGCGAGAACAAAGAGAAAGCATGACTTATCAAGTAAATATGACGTGGCAACAAACAAGCTACAAGGAAATAAAAGAAAAGCTACGGAAATGTAGGTCCAGCAGCGCAAAGGGGGAAATCATCACCATCGGCCAAAGCCACCACCATAGACCATGTTGGAATGATTGTACCCACCTTGACCCTGGCTCCCGTAAAGTCCCTGCCCAGGGGTAGCACTAGTAGCACTTTGGTGCATTCTAGCCTGCAAAATACTCGGGTCCGCAAGATCTACTACACCACCTCCGCCGGAGGAAGTGTTAGCGTGTCTGTGCTTCTTCCCCCTCTTCTTCTGCTTCTGTGGTCCTGGATCTTGGTGGGATCCATTATGATGGCCATAGAGAGAGTTGAGAAGGCCAGATACGGGAGCCAGGGGAGGGGGTGTGTTATGCATCTGGAGAAAAGGAAACATAAACTCACGCTTAGCAGCCTCATGCGCTTGAACGCCGCCACCACCACTCGTGCCACTTCGACCACGCATAAGTTCACGCATTAGGTCTGGGTTATGGTCTTGCTTGGTCCCAAGGCCGAGATTATTGTTCATTGTGCTTGTGAAGCCATGGCCTTGAGCAAACATTCCTCCACCACTAATCGGCGGAGTTCCAGCAGTTTTCAAGCCAGGCGGAGGACCCTGAACACCACTAACGAAGTAATGGTTTCCCAAACCATGTTGTCCAGTTACATTAAGGGGATTCTGATTGGCGCCCTGCGGTGTCGATGTCTGCTGATTGACCAGTCTTTGATTGGAGGTATTCTTCGCATTGGCTTCATTCGCAAACGAGAATCTCGACGACTGTCTGGCATGTCCTTGCATAACAGGTATTTGCGGGATCTGATTCTGGTACACACCTGCCCGTTGTTGAGAATTGTGCTCGAATGAGTTAGAGACAGAAGTTGTTTGTAATTGATCCATTAATCCCATGTGTTGTCCGCCAGCGTTCTTCAGCAACAGAAGTTGCTGTTGCTGGAGGGGCGTGAGGCTCCTGCCTGCCATGTTTAGACCTTGGAACTGGTGCCCACCAGAAGAAACGGGCGATCCAATAGCAGAATTTGCTGTAGTTGTTTGTTGCGACGGAGGTTGAATGGCACTGAGTGCCTCTCTTGCATTCCGACCAGAGATACCAGCAGTATGCATCTCTTCTGGCTCACCTCCAAGCTGGGAACTTCCTCCCTCAAGATTTTCCTCCTCATTAGCATTTGGATGAAGTAACAATTGGTTGTCAGTTTCTTGGTTTGTACGTTCATGTTCTGCTTTCTCACGCATAGCACGACGTTTCACCCCACCATAGGGGTCAATCATTGAAGGATGATTTTCAAGGTACGCAAGCTCCTCAGGAGGCAATCCAGCGGACGAAAATATAAAACGGAAGTCGGGATTGTTTACGGCTGTCACCAGACCATCCAGCACTGGGATTTCGTGAGGCCCAGACGGTATAGGAGAGTCTGTTCGAGTCACATGTGGAGAAGAGCTTGAGGCCTCTGCTACAGTCGGGGTTTGCTGGCGGGAGGATTGTTGTCCAGATTGGGATTGTCTCTCCACACTGCGTTTTAATTCCTCAATCTTGTTGACAACAGCATTCGATCCTTTCGGGCTTGGAGAAGAGTGGCTAACCGTCACACTTGGTCGTCGTGCACGTTGCACATGGGAATCCTTATTGGCCCAGCTTGCAGACGATGGTAGAGCTGAGGAGTCCGTATTGGTTCGATTCCCCGTTTCATCTCTGCTATTTTGTCTCCGCATCGGCTGTGCTCCGGCAGGTAGTTGGATAGGATGTGAAGAAGGTCTGACGGGCTGAGCGTGGTGAGTATAGGGGGAATATGTGGAAGGGCCAGGTCCATTTGGTGGGTTGGGATGGGCACGTTGTGATGACAAGGTGTTCATGGACGATAAATCTTGGCGGCTGAAGCTATCGTTGTCTTCTCCTGTCTCATGAAGGAACGTACAGTTACGGTTGTTACATTGTTCATTTCGAAGAAACGATGAACAGTATTTCGTGGTTCCATATTGGGCCCTACAACAGCCAAATTAGTATCTAAAGTGAACGGTGGTTTGGAGGCCGAATAGCCATAGGCGAAAATCAACCGACCTAAGTACACGATCACCATTGGGAGATCCATCTACCGCCGCAATGCACGTTGCAGCATCTGCCTTACGAGCGAAAGTGACATAGACACCAATGCCCTGGTTTGGGTTGCCACCCGGCTTTGCTTTGCTAACAACAATCTTTTCAATATCACCGTATTGTCCAAAGTACTGGTCTCCGCGCAAGGTCTGTAATAGTTGACTTTCGTCTCGTATCGTGGGGTTGAGGCCAATGACATAAACAAGGTTCTTCTGGACTACACGGACACCGGCAAGGTTTCTTCGACTGGAAGCTTCTATTTCCCGCTTTTCAGCCTCCCGCTTCTTCGCTGCTGCAGCTTTGCGATGTTTCAATGCCAAATCCGCTTTAAACCTAATTCGGTTGCAAGATGTATTAGTACGATATATAGAAGGTCGTCGAAAGGAGGGGATGGTGACTCACTCATCGACATCTGGAACTCTATATTGAATTGTGCTTTCATCGTATACACGTCTACAGTTTGGACACCGACCTTCTTCACTATGTGTTTTTATATTATTGTAGCAAAACTGGCAGATCTGTGGACAATCTTAGCCGCCACGGTTTAGCTGAGCGAGGATTTAACCTCCTCCGGAACAACGGTTTCAAAGAGGCCAAATCCAGCGACGAAGGGGTCAAGGGTAGGTTAAATGCATACCTGATATCCACAAGGACATGGCTTGAAGTTTTTATCCGACAAGTCGAACTCTTCGATGCAAAGGGGACTATTGCGGGAAAAGAAATATTATCAGCGAAGATCGAACAAGTTTTCGAAGGGGTCCGGAAGGACAATAGGGTGGAAACAAAACTTACCACGACTCGTCATCATCATCGATTACTGTGTCATTTTGTGCACGGGATGACATAGCGACAAGTCTCTCCCAGCGAACCTAGCGCAACACTTCTACAGCTATGAAATTGATCCAGCGTGCCAGGACTCATGAACAAGTTTGGGGGGATGCAGATCAGGAGTGGAAGAATTTGAGCCCGGCAAAACTACAACCCCGCAAGACCGTGGGTAATAGCACACGATGACAGCAGGCCGACACCCGAGGGATATGTCTAAGGAATGTAGAGGAATGAAGAGGAGAGTTGCTGCGTCGCAGGTGCCAGCGTGGTGATGGCGAGAGGAGTTGCAGAGGAAAGAGGAGAATGAGTTGAGGATGAGCTTTCTTCCACACTAGTCCCATTTTAGAGAGATTAGCTCATCCATCATGTGACATCACGTGATAACTTTTTATGTAATCCAGGCGTTCACGTTCCTGCGCCTGTGTCGGGCCGTTCTCCAGAGTATCTATTCCCATTCACACCCCAATTGATCCATAATCATGGCGTCTGCACGGCCGGCCATGCGTCTGGGTTCCAGTCGCTCCCTGGCCTCTACTGCTAGACCGTCTTCTGCGCGCTTCTTCTCCGCAGCTAGCACGTTGCGACAGGCGAAGGTTGTATCCAACACTCTAACCCCAAATATGAGAGAGCTACCTCGCCCTGGTCAGTTCACACTCTAAACCTCTTTGACAAGCTTCTATATCAATTCCGTATGTGCTGACACTTTTTTTCTGGATGCCTCCAGCCGTCGGGGAATTACACCGTTCTGTTGTCAATCCCGTAGACAAATACGCCGAAAAATCCGCAAGCCTACACAAATATGGCCAATACCTCATGTCCTGCCTGCCGAAATATATTCAGCAGTTCTCCGTCTGGAAAGACGAATTGACCATCTACATCCCCCCTTCAGGCGTCATACCTACTTTTACTTTCCTCAAACAACACACGGCGGCGGAATATACACAAGTTGTTGACATTACTGCTGTTGATTTCCCCGGCCGTGATCAGCGCTTCGAGGTAGTTTACAATCTTCTCAGCGTGCGTCACAATTCGCGGATACGTGTCAAAACGTACGCGGACGAAGCCACCCCAGTGCCTAGTATTACCTGTCTCTACGACGGAGCTCTGTGGTACGAACGTGAGGTGTATGATTTGTTTGGCGTGTTTTTCGTCGACCATCCTGATCTCCGACGTATTATGACGGATTACGGATTCGATGGACATCCACTGAGAAAAGATTTCCCACTAACGGGATACACGGAAATCCGATATGACGAAGAAAAGAAGAGAATTGTCGTTGAGCCATTGGAGATGACACAGGCTTTCCGCGACTTCCAAGGGGGTTCCTCTGCCTGGGAACAGATTGGAGATGGTATCGACAAGACACCAAGCGAAGTAAGTCATTTCTACGCTCATAATGGAGAGAGTCCCCGGTTAACCCGTGATACACAATAACAGTTCAAACTACCAAGCCCCAAACCTGAAGAAAAGAAGGAGGAGCCGAAAAAGTAGCACATATATAGTGTATAACAATTTATTTCCGTTTTTATTGTGGATTTATTTCAGCTTCAAAACACAATCTTCCTGGTGTTCATCTCATGTCATCTACATGACCAAATGTGTCCTAGACTCGTTCACTACATTTTCTCCATAGTCATATGTCCGCTCTCATTATACCGATAAACACATCCAAGAATTAAGACAATCAGGGTATAACACAACATATTACCCGAAAAATCCCAACTCATCTGCATGCAACGTTAGAAAGAGGAGCGAAGAGAGAGCAAAAGAAAATAGCCATCCCTTTTTCCTTATTCTCAGCATAATCCTCTGCTCTTTCTGCCCTATCTCCCGAGGCAGCAGCTCATCCCTCTCCCACATTAACTCCACAGCAGCGCACACCAGAGACAGCACACAAGAAAGCCACGTTAGCTCCCAGCCGGATACATCCCATGCCAACCCTACTAGCCCGATACGCTACTACATAACAGGCTAATAATCCAAAGCAGCATGCCTCCCGCCCCCAGTACCTGCGATCCCATTGCAGGAGCTACAGCGCCCCTTCACTAAAGGATTTCACTTAGACGCCCATCCAGGGCATTTTGATCAGAAATACGCGCGCTGGTGCAGGGCGGTAGCTACGTCCTGGTCAAAGAGAATAGGGAAGATGGCAGCGGTAGGTAACAAGGACCAGGTGGCGATGTGTAGCTGATAAGGTGCAATGAAGCTAGTGGTGCGATAAGGCCGTAGCTTTATACACCCCAATATCACTTGAAAGGATATCTATTCGATTCTCTAAAATTGATCAGATGAGCAAGTGGAAAAATCAAAGGGGTACAGTGCATTCTATGTAGCTGCAATAAACTAGCAGGTGAAATGTGAGCCTCTTGGAAACTGGAATGTATCCATAACTTGTGGCGTTTTTCTGGATGCTTGACTTGGGTATTGGGCAGTGGAGGGGATTTGAAATGGTTGATAGATATGCCTAAGGGTATATTTGATTCCCGATCGAGGATGAAAGGCATGGCCAATATGTGATGAACACATTTTGAGGGTACAATGCTTTACTTGAGGTGTGGGATGCAATCCAGTTTCTGTTCGAGATGAAATGCTCGCGAGCTTCCCGAATTGTTGCTCTTCGCTTGCTCGTTTCTGCCCAGGCTATTTCACAGATTTTGGATAATTTTGCGGGAGGACCTAGGATAGGGATACGGGCTGAGAATAAGGCCCACACTGGAACGAATCCACATCCGGACGGACTGATCAAGAATAGACAAAAAATTTAGCAATGCAAAGTAGATAGATAGGCGGCAGTGAACTTGTTTTCTGTCGTTATTTACGATTATGTGTCAAGAATAGGGACCGAACAGTATGGGCATTGTGAAGTGTTTGAGACATAACAGACCATGATATTAGACAATTGTCGGAATTCGCACTGGCGGCGACTAGTCCTAGCCACCTCAGGATCAAGAGCAGTAAGGCGATTTCAATCCGTCTTCAGCCAGAGATACCACACATTCTCTTACCCAAGGAGTATTCTCAAACGTAGAAGCTTGCTGAAGCTGCGCTTCAAATTCTACTTTATACTGGACACTCGGCACGCTTGATACCCTGCAATATATCCGCAGCACCAATAAAACGCACTTTGGCAAATATCCACGAGAGATATTTTAAGCGGATTTCCAGACGGAATCCAGCCATGGCACCTGCGAGCCATTACCGTCCTGAGATCAATGCAAGTTCCAAAATCCAAGAATCGGGTCCGTGGCACATTTGAAATAGCCGCTGGACTGTACTGTACCCTGGCAAAGATGCATGTATTTTTAGCCGCCCACCCTATCGGCAAGTGAAAGTAATGGAACGGCAGAGTAGTCCCTAGTCCCCATCACAACATATCATGTCGCCGTTTTGCCACCATGCTATAAAAACAAAGCTGACCGCGTCCAGGCAACCAGCCTGCCTTGCAGGTGTGCTCATAGTGTAATCAAGCATATTGATCTCCAATCCGACATGACAGTTTAACAACCAGTATAAGAATCTTGCGAAGGAAACTTCGCTTCCAAGTTTTGACGTTGAGTTTTGCCGATAAAAGCGGGGCACATGATCATTCGTGCCAAGTCTTCGGCGGTCGGCAACCACATCAAACAACAACTCGGCACTGGGTTGAAACCGGCTATTGCCCTAAAGTTTCCCTGGATTACCTTTATAAAGCGAATATTTTGAAGGGAGCATTTAGAACCAGATATCGCTAAGAAAGAACGTCTAGAGAACTCAGGAATGAGACGAATATTAATCTTCCTCCAGAAGGCTAGCTAGCTGGCCACTAGAGGAGATGGATGACTGCCTTGGTGGCTTTTTGGGGTATAATAAAAAAAAAAAAGGACGCCCTCGTAATTTACACGAGGACAGACCGAAGGCGAACGGAAGCAAAATCAATATCTGACAAAAAATTCCTCAACTCCAATTCATCCCTCATGATAAACCAAATTGGAGTCATTGCGTAGAGCTCCCCTTTTCCCGAAAATTCGTATCCCTTCTTCCCTATCTAGATATCTAAAAAGTGACACCTAACGACATTCCTTCTGTTTTAATAGAGCCCCAAAACAGAGAATTGAGAGAAAGTCATTCGCTAACGCAGTAAAAAACCTCATTACTAAACACCTCCAAACGAATCGAGTAAATCATGCAGTTGGGATGAGATATCACACGGCCATTCGAGATCAGTGAAAATCATCGTAGTATTTTGCGTTAACAATATTTCGACCAAAGGGCTCGTCTGTGTCGTAGCAAAAGGGTAAAAGTCTGTAGCATTTATAAGTGTGCCGGTTGCAAGATCGGCCAATTCAGAGAGTGAGTTTATTGGTCTCACGTCGATAGTGAGCGTTGGGGACCTCTCTTCGGAGACAGCAAATTGATTACTCGCCAGAAGGCCGTCGAATGCTTGGTCCAACATGCTCGCAGACGGCCACATTGTGGCCATCTCTTTTAGGGCAATTCTAAGGATTTTGATATGGCTGTCCGCAGTTGTGGTCAAGGTTCGTATTCGACGCGCATGCAAAAGTGCTAAGATTGCAACCGCAATGTGCCACACCCCCATCCCCTGGAGAAATCGTATGGAGCCCCGTGTCAAGAAGTCCTCGAAAATACGGGCAACGCAGGACGCAGAAAGGACTGCAGTGGTATATGCTTTGCGGAGCGGCTGGGAGGATTTTGTTAGATAGAGAAGGGTTATTGTGGTAAGGTAAGGTAAATGCAATTGATGCACATCCCGGTTGAATGGTGTCGTTCGATTAGTTGCGATGGGCAGGCGCAATGGCTCAGGAAGGGACTGAACCCAATCAACTAATTCCCTGGCTAAATGCCCTGGGAATTGGGTTGTTTCGTTTTTTTGTAACAGATATTTTGCAACTTTACCAACAACACTGGAAAGTCGAACCCAATATATAAAGGTTTGCACGCGGAAATGGTCTTTTGGCTCAGGAAAGTCCTCCGGGGACGGTTCTCGAACGTTGCAATCTGAGGGATCAATTATGCAAGGCCTGCCTTGGCATATACTGGTTAGGCGTTCCCTTGCCTGTGTCTTCTGTTAGCTGATAAAGTCAATAATGATTGAATTTTTTCCACATACAAACAATGTCCACCAAAGTCTTCGTCGCAAACCTGGTGATTCATTAGGTCGCATAACCTGACCAGGCGTTGGCTCTCGGTGCAAGCCGATTTGCTGTGCTAACCTGATGGCAACACCTGTCCACCACCACACAGTGTCGAGGCTGGGGCTATTCGGAGCCGATCCCCACCAATAAAACAGCAGAAGTGCTTTCATGCATGTTATCGGGTTGCTTTCATGGTTCCCAAGAAAAAGGGCTTTCGCTCGGTTGTAGTACACGATCGGAGGGACCTGCTGCAGTACGGACGGCTGGATTCGGCTTCCAAGAAGCGCTAATGCCTGGTTGAGGAGGACAGAGTTGGACTCCTCTTGTTCCGGAAAGAGAGTGGAGTTGTCGAGAATGGGACACCATGTGTAGCAAAACTGAAAGTAAGTGTCCATGAAACTTTCTTGCAATGCCGGGGGTGGTAGATCTACAGGCTGCAGCACCGGTTGAGATGAGTTGAGCTGGCCCATTGCCGCAGAGTTATCCAATATCTGTAGGAGACCTGACCCGCTGGAATACAGGGCATTCTGGGCTTGTCCGCTATCGTGCGTCTTAACGGGTAAGGAGGCTGTCCGAGCTGACGGAAATTGGGAGGTTGGTTGGCGAATGCCTTCCGGCGAACTTGGATAGGAGAGTGCGGGCCTCCCGATTCCTCCTGAGAAATGAGAAGTGCTTTCTGTGGCCATTCGATCATCCGTTACTACGCAGTGGACAGATGGCTCAGTTTTAACGTGAACCTGGCTATGATTGCTCGGCGTCGATTTAGAAGTGGGGTCATTTGGCAAGGACACAATGGGCAAGGAATCGACTGTATCAAAATCATCTAGGCTACTATGCCGGACCGATGCTCGATTACCTGCGCCGCGTTTCGATGGACGAATTCTTTTAAAATCGGTCAATACATGGGGATATTTATTGCTCCCAAGCACAAAGTTTATGATACGTACCGGCATTCATACCCAGCAATTTCGCACCTCGAGCATCTCGGAGATTCGCATTCGGAGTTGTTGACTTGTAGGTCACATTTAATCTATTCTACCGGTTAGCATACATGTCCCAGCCGATTAGCTTAATTGCATCCGGTTACCTTTTTCTCGTGGCAACGAAGGCAGACAAGGCGGGCACGCTTATTGCCTCGAGGCCCTCTACGGACTTTGGGTGGGGGTTCTGGTGTTTGTGAAGCCATGGTAGGCGTTGCTGGGATTACGAAAAGCTCGTGAATGATTGCCGATGCACCATTTTTATATCCACAGCTCAGACCGTTAGCCGTTTTGCTGCTAAAAGCGCGATCGTTAAATTTACGAGATGCCGAGTTTGTTCCCACTGTCCCGATTCAGAAGAATAGCCGCTTAGCTCACAGCCGCGCTTACTCAGTAAATTACACGTGACTTAGTGCATTGTCAATTTTGCTTGACCGTCTCCAGCCGATAAACAGCCAGTGTTTTATATTTTATATTTCGTTGTTGGTGTTCAGTGGGAGAGCAATTGATCGTGCAGCTACGGTTCTAAGGGACAGGTATATTTAAACTTTGCCATGCCAAAAAGGAAACGAGGCGACCATGAGGAGTCGAGCATACTATCCAACCAGGATGATAGGAGACTGCGAATCCAAATTGCCCGTCTCGAGCAGAAGTTGGAGCATGGCTGTCAACTAATTTTCCGGGCTCTCAAAACTGCCCGTGGTTTCGAACGCCAAAAGCTGGGACGTCGCCAAAAGACTTCTAAACAGAAAAATGAAACAGCACAGCTATCCCGAATAGGGCAGGAAATTCAAGCTTTAAAGGTGTGATTTTTACTGGTTTATTTCTACCAAGTATATATATGTATTCTCGAATTGACAATCGTAGGCCCTGGATTTAGGAGCCACGGCCGAACGACACTTGCTCAAGCATCTGGTGAGGACGAAGCGGATTGCAGAGTCTCCAGCGTTTTCTAGGTTTCTGTCCGCAAGGAAACCACGCCTGGAAGGTCCACAAAATGGTCCTGAAGCGAATGTTATAGCTCGTTTATTCAACTCAAACCCTGTGAGGGACGTCCTACCGGGTATAACAAACGACATACGTCACATTTTAGGCCTTAGTGACGGCGTACTTACTGCAAAACCAATGGATCGTGAGAACCCCCCGCCAAATCCCAAAGGTTCGGAGATAGTGGAGGAAGGACCGGCATCGAAACTGCACCAAGCCTATGAAGGTGATCTTGAAATGGAAGACGCATACGTGAAACAGTATAATGCGCAATTAGCATCTTCTTCAGAATCGGAACCCGAAACGGATGACCAGGAAAAGGATGAAAACAACCATCATTCCCGTCTAACTTTGGCGGGATTTGAACCGCCCCTCTCACCCACATCTTCTATCGTATCATCGGAACCTACGTCGAAAACCACTACCAAAACTTCCAAGCCGAATAATAAGAATCCGGAAACAGCGTTTCTTCCTTCCCTAATCATGGGTGGCTACTGGTCAGGATCAGAATCCGCCGAAGAGGACGCGGCAGCAGCCGCCATTCAGCCGCGGAAAAACAGGATGGGCCAGCAAGCTAGGAGAAAATTATGGGAAAAGAAGTTTGGTTCAGGGGCTAATCATCTTAAAAACCAACCGCCAGAGAAGGAAAAATCGCGTGATAGTGGATGGGATATGCGGAGAGGAGCTTTATCTCGTGATGAGACGAGAGGGAAGCGGGGAAGAGGGGGGCTTCCGGGTGCCTTGTCTTCTCGAAGACCCAAAGTCGAAAGCGCCGCACAAGCTCCAAATCCGAACTTTGAACAGCGTAGGAATCGCCAAGCCTCGGAGCAAAAGCCTCTGCATCCTTCCTGGGAAGCAGCGAAGAAAGCCAAGGAACGGAAAGCTCAGGCTGCTTTCCAGGGGAAGAAGATCACATTCGACTAATTCGTCTGTGAGAGGGACCGGAAACCTCTTACCTCGCAACCGATTACCACCTAGTTATCTACATGCGCTACAGTCCTTATATTTTTCTACGAAATGACTGCCGGTGTAGAGCGTAAAGACGAGCAACTCCGAGCTAAAATATGCTTAGAGGTTTTTAATCAAGAGATACCCTGTCCTATATATCCGTCCGCCTCTATTAATTTATACATAATAAATTTAGATTTAGATCTAGCACATTATGGGGCTTTGTTCAGTACATCTTCGATATTTTAGTATTTAGCAGGTACTGTACAGTGTAGGAATAAACTATCAAATGTAAACTCATGCTCTCCGCAGTCGTACCATCACAACACTATACCTGCAATAACTACATAGTGCGAGTATAATATACAAACCGATTAAATCGATTGACAAAATTACGGAGTGGAAAACAAATGTAATAATGAGACAAAGCCACTTGCTACGGATTACATCCAGCGGGGCAATTTTGGTGGCTGGATCTGTGTTTACCTCACCGCTATGGCGTCACAATGCGACTACCAATCGATGCGGTTCGCGCCCAAACCACCTCCGAAGAGCCTTGCCTGCCAACACAGTTCTGCATGATCAGGCGACGGCGCTCGACTGATTTTTGGGGTAGCCGCCAGCTTTTCCAGCGCTGTAGTTGGCTGCACAGTGTTTTTATTCTCCAATTATCTACCAATGACCCAGCCTGTTGGCACAGGCGTCAATATCTCTTTCCACAAGGCTAGCTCCGTGTTTTGGCAAGGGAATATTGGCTTTGTCCCGGTTTTACAACAAATGCGCACAGGAACATCCTGGCCACCGCAAACATGCGCAGAACAGGGCAAACGGCAGGACAAATGAAACCACCCAGAAACGACTGAAAAATTGGTTCGGCTAAGACGTGCCGTATGATATGGCAGCAGTGGCGGGCGGCACTTCACGCTTTGAAACCATTGGGCCCCTCAATTGAGGGGCACGCGTACACGTTGTCCTGCATCTTTGGAAATGATACACCGTCCGTTCTTCGGGACCAAGACTCCACACATGGCCATCTTCCAGAACGCATCCTCCCTCCTGTCTGATCGAATTCTTTCGACCTCGCATCGATTTCCCGTGCTTCCTGCTGGACCATATCTCCTCGTTTCTGCAATAAAATCAAATATCACTGCAGAACCTTCGTGGCGGGTCCGAAAAAGCCTATACAGAATCGTACAACGAGGACATCATGTCTCCTCCAAGCCCCTACAGGCCGCGTGATAGCTTTTCCGTATCAAATCGTCCCATAACACCAACAAAACCATTTATCCAGGCACCACGGCAAGAGGATGATGATAATTACCCGGCTGCGTTTTTATACAAATGGATCAAGAATGAGAGCCCGAGACTCAGCCGCCCTTTGTCCAGCTACAGTGGCACCAGGACCGAAAAATTTTACCAGGAGAACGAACATAACAAATCGGAAGCCAAACTACCTCTAGAACAAGCTTTGATGCATAAAGAGTTCCACATCGAGGCGTTGCGGGGACAAATACGGAAGCTGATTAGCGACCACACCACAGAGTGCTCTGTATTGAACGACAAGATCAATGGACTTCAGGGGCAATTGTCTTCTTTTCGAATTAAATTGCAGAATGACCTGGACGCTGCCAATGAAGCTAAGGCTAAACTAGAAGAAGAAATAAAAGAGATGAGACGGGCTTTTGTGGAAAAATCCGAAGCCCTTGAAAATCATCAGAAGCAGCGAGAGGAAGAGACCAAGGGGCTTCGCCGAGCACTTTCCGAAAAGTCCAAGGCTCTGGAATTCTTCAAACGGGAGCGGGATGAAGAAATCAAAGACTTACAACAAAAATTGGCGGAAAAGTCTGAAGCTCTAGAGTGTCATAAGAAGGAGAGAGAGGAAGAGGTGGAAGAAGTACGACGAACTCTCACGGAACGGTCTGGAGCTCTGGAATGCGACAAGCAGCGGCTGGAGGAGGAAGCCGAACAGGTACGGCACACATTTGCAGTAGAAGCTGAAGCGCAAAGATGTCATATTCAAGAGCTTGAGGAAGAAATCACACGGCTACGGCAATCTCTCACGGAAAAGTCTGAAGCCCTTGAAGTTCGTGAGCGGGAGCGGGAGGTGGAGGTTAAGGTGTTACAGAAAACTCTTGCAGATAAATCCGAAGCTCTACAACTCCACAACCAACAACTTGCGGAGGAAATTAGGAAGTTGCAAAAAGCCCTCACGGAAACCTCCGAAGCTCTGGATTCCCGCGAACAGGAACCAAAGAACGAGTTAAGCGAGCTGCGACTAACTCTGGAGGAGAGGTTGAGAGCTCTAGAAGAGCTTGAGAAGGCCAAAGAGCAAGCTCTTGCGGCACAGAAAGCGGAGCTCGAGAAGCATTTCCAAGACATCAAGATAGAAGATGATCGAGTGGCCAATGAACGACTGGGGGAACGAGAGAAAGAGCTGATTGCTCAGCTTAACAAGAAGCATAATACAGAATTGGAAGACCTTCAAGCGTCGTTTGCGGCAGAACTCCAGCACATCCAAAAAGCACACGCTGCCGCGATTCACGAGTTCGTTGCCAGGCTAGAAGGGAGCGAGGACAGCCATGGCGTTAGAGTACGAGGTGGAAAATTAAGGCGAAACCGAAACAAAGGGAAAGGAAAGGGGAAAGGCGAGAGCCGCATTCGCATGCTATTAACAGAGATTTTCCATACGGGCAAGACCAAAACGAGCAATCTCTCTTGTGAACATACAAGAGAGTCCGACTCTCGTCATGATTCAGGTTTTCATTCATGTACAAATACCTCGGGTCACTCATGATGATTTTTCGGCTTCGTGGCGTTTAACGGGTGCGTATGATAGAGCATGGGTGATTTTGATACTTACTAGATTCAAATATATTCATCCCGTTTCTGACCGAGTTGCGAGTTTGCCCAGTCATTGTGGATCATTATAAGCAAACTCATGCTTTCTCTATCTCCTCATGGGCCTTGATACCAGAAGCAACCTTTGACCAAAGAGATGGTTGTGAGGCAGCATATGCTTCAATTTCCGCTCGAGTTTGTAAACAGGGATGCGTAGCTGGTAGTCCGGGGTATATAGTGGAATCTCTACTCCACAAGTGTCACAGTGTATTTCGAAAACTTTCCTCAATATCTACGTTGTTACCCAAAATGCCAATTGTTCGGTCAAGCCAGTAGGCTCCTGATGACGAGACCCTTGCTAGCATGGTATGTCGCTTGCAAATTCCTACAATTCACTGGAGCAGTGTGTACTTTGATATCGAGTTAAAGGACGTGCTGCCAGAGATGTTAGGAGCATAATCACCACCTATTCGGTCCGTGTGAGTTTTCAGTGGACATTATCCTTTGCTCCAACAATCAAGGATGTAATCATGCCAGGGCAACCCCTGGATATGGCCGATTAGGGCTTCCCGGGCACGTGAGCTTGAAAGCTTTTCCCCGCCAAATTGCAATGCTTCAACCCCGCGATTTTCCACCGCTCGATCGCTGCTCTTCCGCCGCGCCATTTTCAGCTGTTGTCGGCATACACCGATATATTAGCCTCTCACAACCACCCGTGGGAAGCTCCCCGTGAATACTAGGCGGTTCACACAAAAATAAACAGAATGGCGGCTCTCCGAGACACATACAACGGTACGTAGGGGTCCCTCATTCGTGAGAGTTAAATGGTAGATCTATATAAGCTGATACTGACAATGCAGCTTCAATATACCAGATCCAGTCCATATTGCCGTTATCGGCGGTACTGGACTTAGAGAATTACCCCATTTCACACAAGTTGCATCTCTCAACATCACCACGCCATGGGGACCACCGTCTTCTCCGATAACAATCCTCCATCACACCTGTTCGACAAGTGGCAAGGTAGTCCCTGTCGCATTCCTGAGTCGGCACGGTCTGCATCACGAGTACGCACCGCACGAGGTACCAGCGCGCGCAAACATTGCTGCCCTCCGATCAATCGGGGTACGAAGTATTGTCGCTTTTTCTGCCGTTGGGAGTTTGCAGGAGGCCATTAAGCCGCGAGACTTTGTCGTACCAGACCAAGTTATTGACCGGACGAAGGGGGTGCGGCCGTGGACGTTTTTCGAGGGCGGCGCAGTGGCACATGTTGGTTTTGCGGACCCGTTCGATGAGCAGATGGCGAAGGTGGTGCGGGCATGTGGGCATAGCTTGGAAGGGGATGGCGTTGTGCTTCATGACCGCGGCACACTCATATGCATGGGTACGGCCTTATTGCACTCCTCCCTTATTTGCAAGCTTGTATTTCGAAAGGAGGTCAAGAGCTAACTGTTCGATAACAGAGGGTCCACAATTCAGCACACGTGCAGAAAGCAACCTCTACCGCTCCTGGGGCGGCAGCATAATCAACATGTCATGCATTCCCGAAGCAAAACTTGCTCGGGAAGCTGAGATTGCTTATCAGATGATTTGCATGTCCACAGATTATGACTGCTGGCACTCGGAGGCGGCAGATGTAACTGTCGATATGGTCATGGCCAATATGAAAATGAACTCGGTGAATGCGAGAAACTTCATTGGAGCGGTGCTCGATGAACTTACAAAGGATGAACATGCAGCTCTCGTGCAAGCAAAGCATTTGGAAGGCACATGTAAATTTGGCCTGAGTACTTCTCCAGGATACCTGAGTGCTGAAGCCCTCACAAAGCTCTCCTGGCTCTTCCCCGGATATTTTAGCAATAATTAGAGTATATATTAAGGATAAATTAGCTGTCAAGTGTGGGATATTTGTAGGTATTTTGCTTTTGGGCACTTGACATTCCGGGCTGTTCTTCTCTTTTCATTTAAATAACTACACTAGACATTGCTAGATAATACTGGATGGATTTTATTCCCAACGACATCTCCCATAGCCAATGGTATCTTTGAAGAGATATTTGATATATTGAAATGCTGGAATACCTTGTCAGATCTTCCCTCTACAAAGCTCTTCATATTCGGGTGATCTGAAATGAATTCGACTGTATGACGAAGCTCGGATTCCCGCACCGGAAGAGTCTGAATTGTGTCACACTCCCTCCTGGTTAGCTTCCAGGCTTAGATCCTGAGCTGCACTGGATTTACGGTTAACGCTAGGAAACAGGAGGGAACTATGTTTCCCAGTTGCCAGCAATAACCCTGCCGACGAATGCATCCAATGTGTCCATGCGTGCTTGATACTTCACCTCTTCCATGCGCTAGCTTCTTGAAAAGCATGAATAACCTGACGCGCTCGCCGCAATGCTTCCCGCGCCGTCAGCGCCGAGCTAGCATCCAAAATGCAAATCTGCAACAAAGGCTCCCTGTTAACAGCACGAATAAATTGGCAGTTTTGGCTTCCAGCACTCGTTGCCAACACAACCTTGAGATTGAGCCCTGGCCAAATTGAGTTGTGGATTAATACCTTCCGGCAAAGAATAACGACATTCAACGGGCAGTGAGAACAAAGGAACTCCAGGGACAAATAGTTATGCGTAAAGTCGGCCGTCGCGTGCTGAGTTTTTTGTGTTGCACCGCAACCATACTCCACCCAACAACCACTGGATAGTGCAGAAGAAGAGGGTGATAGGATAGATAGAAATCAAGGAAACAAAATAGGGCCAAAGCCTTGAAGCGTTGAAGCATTTGTTATTGGGACACATTACCAGTTCCTGTTGAGCACCTCTGGTTGGCGTCTTAACCATACAAAGTGTGCATATAGACTTAGATGCGGGAGATGTTGGAATACAATTGTCTATTTCTTCTCATGATAAAGGACTAATAAATACGCACGGCCAAAATTGCTAGTATTGATTATTTAGTTATATCATTATGCTTTTGTAATTTATCACTTTAAAAATCTTCTCTATAATTATTAGATTATTTAAATCAAATGCTCTATGAATTCTCGTATAATCTCTGTGCTCAGCAACTTGATCAGTGATTTTAAAAGCTTTTGAATAATGAAAAGAAACTAGAGATTATTAGATAAATCAGTTCTATTCAGCCGCCATCCATTGAACTAGATGATAGATTATCGAATAGAGACGCTGATGAAGGATTGTTTAACTAATGGAAATGAAGTGAGATTCTTCTCTAAGTGTTTTCGACCTCTTACATTACATAGAACCTCGAGTTGTTTTGCACGCAATGTGATGTAGAATTTCGTTAATCATGGCTGTGTGTAATTAGAAAAATGCCTTTTTCCTACTCCGTATTGGCAATGCAGTCTGGTGATATTCTCAACGTTGCTACAGGGATCTCAGATATGTATGATGTTCATCAAGAAAGATCGCAGTGTGGTTGCGTGACACACCGAAAAAGCGATAAATTTCCATGCAATCGCTATCATTCCTTCACTCGCTATATACCATAGGAGCAATATGAGGTGACTTAATGAACGTACCATTGGGTGGGTGATGCTGGTAGCCAAGCAGGATGCAGGAAATTAGATTCGGGACACAGTGAAGATAGAGACTTGCAGGAGCTGAATCCGATTTTCTGCTTATCTGCAGCACTATGTTTTCTGACGCTCATTGAGAATTTCGGATAGGCCAGGATTTGCATTGACTATGCATTACCACTTTTTTGTTGAAGTCCAAGAAGCCGAAAGCGAGAGGAGCCTCAAATTTTCCTCAGCACCTCTCCTTTGTATTTCGCGCTGGGACTTGGAATGCGCTCCAGCTCCCACGAACAAACATGGGTCATGAGCTTATGTCCGACATAACGAGATAGGTGGGTAAGAGTGATGACATTCCAGCAACTCTCCTTCACCAGAAAGGCTATTGATGGTGGTCACAAGCAGAGGTTCCAGTGCAGACCTACACCATGAGAAGGATCATCAGCCCTTCAGCTCCATGCACTAACCAACCGCTCCACACTCACCCGCCCCTGGCACAGCTCCCTGAAGTGTAAGAAATACCCTGCGATGGTGGCTACTTGACTGAACTGGAGGGCTGCACAATTGCTGTGGAATAATAACTGAGACTTCTTGGAGTCAATTAGTGCTTCCAGACTGGGAGGCACGAGTAACCAACAGTTCCTGCATTTCCTCTTCTGTCTTTCTTTCATTTTCATTTAGTTCTTCCATTCTCTCCATATTTTCTACCTCCTTATTCGTGGAAAATGCCATTCGTTAAATATCTTTTGATTGGTGTGATTCGTGCTCTGAGTTGCCTTCCCCTCATTGAACCTGATCTCAGCAAATCGCCGTCCCTCGAAAGCAGGCAAGATGGCCCCGAAGACTGGACATCTCCCCCATACTACCCAGCACCTGTGGGTGGTTGGGTCCCTGAATGGAAGGAGGCATATGTCAAATCTCATGCAGTAGTTTCCAATATGACTCTTGCTGAGAAAGTGAATCTGACAACAGGTACTGGATTTTCCATGGGGCCGTGCGTGGGACAGACCGGAAGTGCACCCCGATTCAGAATCCCCAGGCTTTGTCTGCAAGACGGGCCTCTTGGTGTCCGAAATACAGACCACATTACAGCTTTCCCAGCTGGAATCACAGTGGGAGCCACATTCGACAAGCAATTAATGTACGATCGCGGTGTTGCCTTGGGCAAGGAGTTTCGTGGTAAAGGGATAAATGTCCATCTTGGCCCATCTGTAGGCCCATTGGGACGCAAGCCACGTGGAGGACGAAACTGGGAAGGCTTCGGCGTGGATCCATCCCTCCAGGGGATTGCCAGTGCCTTGACAATTAAAGGCGTTCAAAGCAGGGGCGTCATCGCCACTGTGAAGCATCTTGTCGGAAACGAGCAGGAGATGTTTCGTATGGCGTTCCCTGTCCATCCCATTGACTCACTCCAGAAACCATACTCAGCCAACATCGATGACCGGTCCATGCACGAGCTCTACCTGTGGCCATTTGCCGAGTCTGTCAAAGCAGGGGTTGGTGCCGTTATGATGGCATATAATGACGTATGATGGCATCCTCTTTCAAAAGAACGTGAAAGCCCAAGCTTGGTCGGTTATGTTAATGTTTTCCGTAGGTTAACAGCTCCTCATGTAGTCAAAATAGCCAGTTGATCAATGGCATTCTCAAGGAGGAGTTGGGGTTCCAAGGGTTTACCATGACTGATTGGTTCGCCCAGATTGGTGGTGTTTCATCTGCGCTTGCTGGTCTGGACATGGCCATGCCAGGAGATGGTGTTGCTCCATTATCAGGAAACAGCTATTGGGCAGGCGAATTGTCACGTTCAGTCCTGAATGGCACTGTCCCCATTGAGCGGTTAAATGATATGGTATGCGGTGCTCTTCCTCTCATTTGCTGATGTATAGGCGGAAAAGTGGTAACCTTGGGCTTAGAAATTGACTTCAGCAACTAGGTTGCACGAATTGTTGCTACATGGTTCAAATTAGGGCAGGACAAGGACTTCCCATTGCCAAACTTCTCAACCCATACAGCCGCTGAAAGTGGTCTTCTATATCCGGGAGCTATACTTTCTCCAATCGGCATAGTCAACCAATTCGTTGATGTCCAAGAAAACCACAATATCATCGCCCGGGCGGTTGCTAGGGATGGTATTACTCTTCTGAAAAACGAAAATAACGTTCTCCCCCTGAATCCGGACGCTTCGATAAGGGTATTTGGTGCCGACGCGGGACCTGATCCACTGGGGCTCAATCTCTGCCCAGATAGAGGCTGCAATAGGGGGGTCTTGACGATGGGGTGGGGGAGCGGAAGTGCCAGAGTTCCATATCTTGTAACCCCTCAAGAAGGCATCCGGGCTAGAGCGCCCAATACGAAGTTCCACATCACTAATAATTTCCCCCTCATTCTAGATGTAAAACCTGATGATATTGCTATCGTTTTTATCAATTCTGATTCCGGTGAGAACTATATAACCGTTGAAGGAAATCCAGGAGACAGAACGCTCGCTGGTCTATATGCTTGGCATGGAGGTGACAAGCTTGTCATGGATGCGGCGACGAAATTTTCAACTGTAGTTGTTGTCGTTCACACCGTCGGCCCAATTATCATGGAGAAATGGATCGATCTCCCGTCGGTGAAGGCAGTGTTGTTTGCCCATCTCCCCGGCCAGGAAGCGGGCACTATTGCGGATATTCTTTTTGGAGACTATAGCCCCAGTGGCCATCTGCCGTATACCATCCCGAAATCTGAAGCCGACTATCCAGACAGCGTCCATCTCATTTACGACCCCGTAGTCCAGATCCAGGATACTTTTAACGAAGGGTTATATATTGACTATCGCCACTTCATCAAAAATAATATCACCACGCGATATCCATTCGGTCACGGGCTATCATACACAACATTCAAATTTAGCGAGCCCAAAATCATAACTGTGACACCGTTGACCGAATACCCCCCGGACAGACCTGCAAAAATTTCCACCCCGACATTCTCGAGCAAAATTCCTTCTGTAACAGAAGTAGCGTGGCCAAAGGGCCTGAAACGTATCTGGCGCTACTTGTATCCATACCTCGATAACCCATCATCCATCAAGCCAGGAAAAGACTACCCATATCCAGAAGGATATAGCACAACGCCCAAACCACCTCCACGGGCTGGTGGAAGGGAGGGCGGCAATCCAACCCTGTGGGATATCGCATACAACGTCGATGTTAAAGTCACCAACACAGGAAAGGTGTCCGGCCGCTCCGTCGCCCAGTTGTACGTCCAACCAACCCCGGAGCGAGAGGCAGATACCCCCAGGCTTCAGCTGAGACAGTTTGAGAAAACTCGTGTGCTGCAGCCCGGCGAGAGTGAGGTTCTGCGTCTTGAGGTTACTCGGAAGGATTTAAGTGTTTGGGATGTTGCAATGCAGGATTGGCAGATACCGCAACTGGCTAAGGGTGCGAAGTTGTGGGTTGGTGAGAGCGTGGAGCTTCTGAAAGTGTTGTGTGAGGTTGGAACAGGTGACTGCAGGGATGCTTGAAGCTTTGAGACGATGGAACTTGGGACCGAAACAGGGATTGACTATGATCCGCAAACTTTCGGCGTGTGGCGTTTCTATCAGATCTTGTTTCCAACAAAATACCTGCGAATATTTTCCGCTTCAACTCTTTGGTTAGGTGTGATCTTCACGAATACTGCTGTCAGGTCAAGCCCATGTAAATTTAGCAGCGGACTAGCGAGCTGAAATGCCAGAACTATCCATCACCGTCTTCTCTCCGCTGCCTTCGGGGTGTGACAAGAAGCTAGTAACAAGCAAAAAAAATCTTCAGTGCCAGCTGGTCAAGTTGAAACTAGTAACTAGAGGACGAGATGAGGAATAAACTCTGATGAACGACTCGCTATCTAATGAAGATCAATTAATATCTCAACAACAAAACGAGAAAGATTGTAATAAACATCAAAAATTACCTGTGAATATGGTACTTTGCCTCTTGTATACTGTATCCACCCTCCTCCCGCTCGCTTTCTGTAAGACAGGGTTTTTCCACTGTACCAGAAGGATTAATCCTCAAGGCGGAGATATTATTTTGTGCATGCTTTGGCCATCCAACATTTTTCTGTGTGCAAGTTCTCATTTCTCCCTCAGAGCTGTTGGTTGAAAACTTCTCCTCCGCTCCTATAGAGTTGCCTGCTTTCATTGACCCTGAACACGCCAGCAAAGACGGGCCGTCCAACCCGTGATACAGCTCACAGTATATAAGATAGTCCATAGTTCATAACGATTAGAGGAATATTGCGGCAACATGGTTAAGTCATAAAGCTCCTTATCTTAGGGTTAGGGTTAGCCTTAACCCTAACTAGTTAGTAAATGATAGAACTCATATTTTCACGTGATATCAATTCGCCGCCTGAAGATCTTCAAATGTGAGTCTAGCAGTTCTTTTGAAGAACCCTGTTTGATGTCCAACCCTCATGTTTATATTTTGCCTGTGAACTCAGCTGTTTCTTTATTACTAGCATCGGCCACGAAAAGAGAGAGTAGATATTTCGGTCTGCTTAAGATCAGCACCGCCAGGATGCAGGGCTTCAGTAAGCACTTTATTTCCTTTCGCATTCCGTTCCGGACAATCTTCGATCTAGTTCCTAACTCAATTATCTAGATATGGGACGGTTCGTTCACTTTACTCCTATCCAGGGCATCAACCACATCTGTCTCTGGACTAATACATATCCAGCTATGTCCCCCCGGACCAAGAAGGTCTCACAACTGGCAACAAGCTTGCCAACAAGCACCCCCTAGGCGCCCGCGCCCGACACTTGAATACCACTGGCGAACTTACAGTCCGTTTCGAAATGCCCTTTGCCGTCTGGTGTTCCACATGCAAACCCGCCGATAGCGTTCTAATCGGGCAGGGCGTGCGTTTCAACGCACTGAAAAAGCGCGTGGGGAACTACTACTCAACCCCAATCTACAGCTTCCGCATGAAGCATACGGTTTGCGGTGGCTGGATAGAGATCCGCACTGACCCGAAAAACACCGCGTATGTAGTCACAGAGGGTGGGCGAAGGAAGGATACGGGTGAGTTGGACAAAGGTGGCTACGAGGAGGACGGAGAAATTACGTTACGGATACCCCATGATGTTGGCTCGGGTAACTCTACAGAGAAGGATGCGTTTTCGAAACTCGAGGGGAAAGTGGCGGATCAGAAACGAGTTATGACGGAGAAGGCGCGCATGGAGGAATTGATGAAACGGCAGGAGCGTGATTGGGAGGATCCGTATGAACAGTCACGTAGACTGCGGAGGGTGTTTCGGGCAGAAAGGAAACGGAGGGAGGCTGCGCAAGGAGTTACGAAGGCGCTGCAGGATAGGATGAGTTTGGGGATTGAGTTGTTGGAGGAGTCTGAGGGGGATCGGTTGAGGGCAAAAATGGTGGATTTCGCCCCTGCAGGCGATAATGCCGCGGGTGGAGCGATTGTTCGCCATGCGATTTCGAAGCCACTATTTGAGACCAAGTCGCTTCCGGTCACCCCTCCGGATAGAGGACGGGCAAAAAAGGAAAAGCGTCCAAAGAAACCAGACGCTATTGCAGCAGAGCGGAAGGCGCTGTTACAGAAAGAGTTAAGTGGAAATACGAAGGCGGCTATTGACCCTTTTTTGCTGGATGACAATTCAGATTGGACCCCTGGGGTTAAGCGGCGAAAGATGCTCGAATCTACCGCTGGGGTGTCCTCCGGGAATAGACCGCAACAAGAACGGAAACACGACGGCTCCGATGATAAGGATTGTCATAATAGCAATATTCCGAACATGGTGAATGTGATTGGGCCACCGCAGTTAACGGCTACGGACGCAGATGAGGAAGCCTCCAACCCCCGACGAGTAGCATCGGCCACACCCCTGGTGGGATATGAGTGGTCAGATGATTCCGAATAACTGGAATATGCTCGATCCCTTTCTTTCCTCATACTTTGGTATATGTCTTTTCTTATTGCTTATTTTCCTTCAACTCATGTGATACCCCGAGTATTTTTGGCTTTGGCAAATGTATATTTAGATCAACGAATCATGAACTTCATACGTATCAATTTAGGAAACGCCTTGGATTATTACCAATCTACTTCACATCGTTATCGTACATGAAACCATTCATCAGTCATTTACTCATAACTAAGCTCGTCAATACTCCACAGAATATAATAAAAGCGAATCTCGTCGTACGACTCCGCAGACTTCTCGCAAGGACATGCCATACGGTTGCCAGGATTGAACTTGCAGTACAGCTCATTATTGACCAGCAGCAGGTTCTTTCGCCCAAGGTGCCTTTGTTGGAATGTTTGGGCCTGCCCCTCCTCCTGTTCCCGCCCAAGGAGCTCTAGTTGGTAGGTTTGGATCAGGTGATGAGAATTTCCCAGCAGTGTCTCTATCTCGATTGCTGCTCCACGGCGCTGCGGTTGTAGCTGTTGGGGGGGCACGCGGGGGTCTAGCTCTAGGCTGCACCGGGGCGGAGGGTGCGGACATGCCAGGGATAGAAGTGACGCCCGTGTCAGCTGCGGGCTTCGCCCAAGGAGCCTTTGTTCCATGGAGTTCTCCAACTGTGGGCTTAACGGAACCTGGAGAGGTCGTTTCGCCCGGCCTTTCTGGTCTGCTGGAGAGATGAACGGACGGAGCTACTGCTACAGCCGTGGGGTCATGTTCCCAGCGGAAAAGGGAACCGAAGGGAAAATGTTGGACGACGGGGAATTTGGAGAGGACCTCGGCATTATACATTTTGATCATGCCCTAATTAATCCCCAGTCAGCAGCGCTGGATTGATATGATATTGCTGAATGAACGAAGATACAGTGGAGATGTCATACCTTGTTTATTTTTCCCCAGCCATCTCTAATCCCTGAAATGTCGTAAAGCATAGGACTATGCTCCCAAAATGGACCCCTTTTAACATCGTATATAAATCCAATAGCTGAGAAATACATATTATTCTTACGCTCCTTCTCCACGATATTCGCTTTTGCCACGGTAGCTGGTTCCGGCGCGGTCTGCAATGAGCCCTCAGTAGGAGTATGGTCTGACTCTGATATTGGAGGACAGAATTGTGCAGATCCAAGGATGTAAGGCAGAAAAGAATGGTCATCAAGACCCCAGACACCATGTGAACCAGCAGGTTCGAGGGTATATGTCCTTATGAGGCGCCGAATCAACTCAAGATAACTGAACGGCCAGTCGAAGTCAGTCTAATTTGCCGAGAAGTAATTTAGAAAACGAATTTGTTTGTACCGGAGAGTGACATACGGTTCAATGACACCTAAAACAATCCCCCTCTCCTCCACTCCAGCCCCAGCCTTCGGGAACCCGTTGAGCTTCCATAGACAACCCAAAAAGGCCACAAAGCTCAGCTCGTGCCCTGTTCCATAATCTAGCCTCTGTTGGCTCCCAAAGCTCCCCATGAAATAAGCTATAAGCTCCTCCTTCGCAGATAACGAATCGAGGCCCTGGGCCCCGTGCTGCAGAACTTCAGGCTGTAAACATTCATCCATCAGCTCCGGCGCTCGCCGTTCCACTTCCTCGCACCATCTACGAAAGCTAACATTTCCAAAACGTCTCGGACCTGTGTCCGGAGGTACTTCATCGATTATCGAATCTATCTTCGAAAGTAATGACTGCAGACGCCGGACGGGCTCTGAGAACTCAACCGCATCACAGTTGAGGGGCCAGGTTTGCACGCGTTGGGAGCCATCTTTCTCCGTGATTTTCGAAGGGACCATGGCGCGGTTAAGTTGTAGGATGAAAGTCATGATATCCCTATAGCCAAGGGAGGTAAGGAATATGGAGACATCGCTACCCTCATTTATCTTCTTGGAGGGGAGCTCGAAGGTATGTGGCTGTGAGGGGTCAAGGTGTTGGAGGTAAGGTGTGGAGAACGATGCCTCGGCGGCCATCACAAGAGCATTGGCTACACGCACAGTTCTCTGTTCTTATTTTCCAGGTTGTTGGTGTCCTGGAGTACGGTAATTAATTGAAGTATGTGAGTGTTGTATTTCGATGCGCTGTCGAAAGAGAATGTCGTGAACAGAGTTCCAAGCCTTGGTGGGGTTACGTTAGCTTCTAGTTGACAATTACAGCGTAGTCAACATGTTCCAGTATGAGAGAATTATCGTCCTTAGAATTCTTATATCGCATTACAATATAAAAGTCCTATATCTATCGATATAATAAAGCTGAATAGTTGTACGTATCTAAAAATAAATATATATAAATAATTTATTACCCATACTCATATTTGTGCCCTTCCCACTAAGACATTCTATCCACGTATTAATATCCCGTGTGCACAAGGGTTGTTCTATGTCAACTGTTTTTCCCAGGCCAGTATACAACTTCTATCAGCAATAAAGGGATATTATCGTCGGGCTTAGGTCCTGGGAAGAAGACAAAGGTAGTGGTTGTGTGACCTTCCTTGAACATCAGGTAGAAGCAACTAGCTGCAATGTTCGTCCGATTCTAGGGTCTTCGAAAACCCTAATAGCCTCCATCCAGCTCCCGAGAGTGCAAATATTGGACAAAAAAAGAAGACATCATGTGCAATAAAGGGCAAGGAGTTAGAAAGGCATAGAAAGATATAGAGGGAACTAGTGCAAAATACAAAATGAAAGTAAGAGAATGCTTGTATTTGTTAGTTGACTGGAATACCAACCACCTAACATGAAGTGGGAACATAACTTCCAGCCCATTGCAATACTAATTGCAAAGTATACGAGAAGCCGTGAGTATACATTATTCCCAACCAGCATGCAGCGGATTTCGCACCTGCCTGTTAACTTCAGCCCGTTAAGGAGGTATCTACCTCAAACAGTAGATAGCGAAGTGACGAAATGATAATAGTGGCGTGTCATGTATCAGAGTCGTCTCCGGTTTCTGAACTTTCTTCTGAGCTTGAAGATTATCTGATTTTCATACGCGCACAAACCATCTTCATCCGCCAGCAGACGGGCCAAGTGTGCACAAGAAGTCGCAAAACTGTGTTGCGTCTTCACTGTTTTCTTCAGCTCCTTGGCCATCTCTTTCTCGGAAACGCTTGCGCTTGATCTACAGCCAGGATCTCTAGTAACTTCGTCGTAGGGACTACGAAGCTCTCCGCTGCGGGTCTCCCGCGCTTGCGACTCCTGGCTGGCTGTAGAGAACCAGTTCCAGATTTTCGTCTGGCATCGTGGGTCACCACATTTGCAATTCCAGTTACAGTAATAATCTGTGTTTCTACTCACAGACTAATTAGCTCGTTCCCCCTTTCTAATGCCGAAAACTGCTATAGAACCCAAATCACTTACGTCAAAAACTGCAGCGTGCGCCAATGCCATAATAGTGACAATTCGCGCAGGCGCCATTGAGGTATCCTTGAAGAATGGCGCAATGGGGAAACGGTACGCGCCCGCCCATACAAAACTCGCACTCAGGTCGGGCGACCTTGCCGCGACACTGCACAAGGCCAGCCTCGATAGCGGTCTTCCGCTCAGCGTTTAGACGTATGTCGATGTGGGTTTAAGCCAATCAAACAACCGGCTCCCGGATAAGCTGTTTCATTACAGCTGATGCGTCTGGCCCCATTGATAACAGGTTAATCGCATCCACATAGGATTGGCATTTCTCCAATCGAACTTCCTGTAGGGCTTCCATCGACGATGTGCCTTGGGAGTGGCAAGTGGCAAGCTATGCGTGCTTTTAATGTCGACTGCGCTAGATGCGTGTGCTCGGGAATCGAACTGAATGGGCTAGCAACCTGAATGCTGGACAATGTTGCTGCTGGCCCTTCTAGTTACATTTCAAATGGTGCATTGTTCGCCGTAAGACAGCTTCAATCCACTGTCTACCATTTCATCCAGTGATACAATTATGTGGAAACACAGGTGTTCATATTCTTCTAGAATATCGCGTTTCAATGCGGTTCAGTTAGCGAATATAGACATTGAAAAAGGTAGATGCGAAGGAGCTCATTGTTGGAGCTCAAATGCGCTCTATAAGGCGCTAGTCCATAATAGGTAGCCTAGGCCAACACAAAGCGCAACCCCCGCTCACGTGCCACTGACGAGCTCTCCTCCTCCAGATTTCCCCAACTTTGACAGCCCGATGGGAAAATGTTAACAGGAAATCCCGGCCTTTCGCTCATCGCTTAAATAATGTCTCACAGCGATGAAGGCCCGGGACCCCAGCTCTCAGTGGAGCTTTTAAAGTCAATATGGACCACCCAACAAGCCTCTGATTCTGAGGTCTCCTCCCATGGTGACGACATCCCCGCAAATTTCGATGGCGGAAAACGCAAGCGACGGGACACTGAGTCGTTGCAAGAGTCGCCATCTTCGCTGTTGGGGAGCGATGATAGAGCAGTTATCCCGTTCGAGTCTGTCAAATTGAAACGATTACAACGAGCGAAACGAGTGGCTAGCGAAGCAGTCCGCGACAGTCGGGGTCGAAAGGATATCTATCTTATTCCAAACACACCGAAAGCCCCGCAACGTTTCACGCGAAATCCAAGGCAGAATACTCTACCGAAAGTCGGGGGTCATGATGATTCAGATAACGAGCTGAGCGAACAGGACAATTTAAGGGGAAAGAATGGGTATTATCGCGCGAGGCCCAATTATTCCCTGCAAGTTAGTAGCGATGAGCAATTTTCAGCTAGCGGGGAGGGTTCTGATGCCTGGTCTGAAAAGGAATCTGAAGATGAAACTGAAGACGAAGAGAAACGGGATGAGGATGACAAAAGCCTACGAGAAGATGAAAAGCATGCTGAGAACAAGGGACGCGAACAACCCAAATATGCAGAATCTACCTCAAATCACAGCGCTCTGCGGCGTTCATCCAGATTAATGGCGAAAACTGCTTCTTTGCCCCGGTCGTCGAGGCTATCCGGCCCTCGAAGACCAAAACATGCGTTTACATCACCTATTTCTCCTGGGAGAAGGAGAATCTTGACGAGACTAGCGAAGCAAAAATTAAGGGGCGTGGAGGTACCGGCGTCTTCGTCGATACCTCCTTTGCGTCGGGCCCGATATTCAGAGTCAGAAATTGGGAATAGCCGTGATGCTTCTCCAACTGATAAAGATTCAGGGGATGGGAATTCCCAACAAGCCGAAAATCGTACTATTGTATCCTCACCCAAACAACCTAACAATGGGGCAGAGGAAGAAGCAGACCTCGGTAGCCAGAACGAGAATCAAACCTCTACCAACAATTCACCTGATCATCGCATTCAAATTAGGCCCGGAAGCGAAATTAATGAGCCAAATTTCGAGTTACAGAGCGAGCACGACAGCAAACATGGGAGCGTCATTGACGCCTCTGAATTTGAAAGTGGATCTCAGTTTGAAGATGAATCTAGAGAAATAGATTTTAAAAGTACCCCTCATCAAGATTCCGATCCTGCAACCTTTTGGCCTGCCGCCACTCTTTTCGGCCAACATACCAACTGGTCCGATCTTCTAGCAGAAACAAAAAAGCTCACACCGGGGCTGCCCATCACACAAAAGAATCCTCTTTTGCGTAAATTGCTAACAGCCATAACACAGACCAAAGAGCTCTATGCCGAAACCAGGGAAATTAGATTAGACTACCAAAAGGTTCCGGATCACCTGTACGAAGCTGAAAAATATAGCTCCCAGAAGGTTGCCGAGCACGTATCTCTCATCTTATCCAGAGTCCGTCTTGTTTTTGATGAAAACGGTGATCTTGTCACCAATAGCCGTGACTTGGAGAGAAAACGACAAGTCGTTGATGAAATTATTTCCTTTGGTGTACCTGGACTAGTAGACGTATTGAAATCATGTATCACCGCGCACTATGTCGACCACGAACTTTCTGTTGATGGAATCAAACAATTGACACAGCTGCTACAGTCACTTTCCCTGCTGTGCGAAAAGATCCAGCCCAAGTTTTTCCGGCCCTATATCAATTTCGGAGACGCGCTCCAGCGCATCAGGGTTGTGGCTCGCTTCCTATGGGCAGTTTTCGACAACGAATCAAGCGAGTTACAAGCCAAGCGGCGTTTAGCAAGATTTAACAACATTCAGCAGCAGGGAAGGACCAGACCCAATCGAGATACGCCAAACAGAAAACGTCATCGACAGGAAATAACCTCCACGACGTCAAACGAAGAGCCGCGGGAACATATTTCCGTTTTATCGATTGATGAAGAGTGGTCGAACGAGGAGTTATCTGAAAATCCAGCCGAGCCTCCCTGGACGACGGCAGAGAGCGAAGCTCTTGTAACTGGTTTAGAGATATATCAAGGTGACGTGCTATTATTTCGAGACATCAGATCATACAAAGTCACCTGCAGCATGCTGACCAATATCCACAACAGGCCTCAATAGGTTTACAATGATACTTCGCGACTTCAAAGCAGAGCTGCGTGGTCGAACTATGGAGGACCTGCGCTTAAAGGCGCGAGAGATTCGAGATTCATATGTTGCTGCGATGAAGCTTGATAGCCATATGCTGGACCCTCGACGGTGGGGTTGGCTCTTGGAAATTTAACGAAGCTGGTATTTTTTATCATTTCGGTGCTATGCGAAGACGTTTTTCTTTCCATAGCATGTGTGTGTAATGGATTTTTCCACGCGGCCATAGCTTCTACCCTTTCGAACTGATGTATGTTGGGTGCAAAGGACTCACCGCGACATATATTGTGCTGCAATTTAGAGTAGATATATATATATATGTATATATCTATCTATTTACCACGGGCCACGGCTTATAGCACACGCACAGCATTATCACATGGATCAATCAAAACTAAATGAAGCGCTCTAATGAGAGTTGGCTACACTCACAACAAGTTCGCTTCCGTCATATAACTTGTTATCTTCTATTCGTTGTCTTAGCCGCTCAACTAGCAGCATAGCCAAAGCCACAATTCAACATCGCCTTCGTTTTTGTCCTCAGATGTCAAATCATTCTCATGCATCCCTCAGGAACGTTCCAGCATCCATTTACGTCAACGCTCGAAATATTCATTAAAACGCTCATTTCTATTCTAAAAATTCAGGGTCTACTCCCTAAAATCCACCATGGCTCACGGACCCAATATCCCCTTGATGACCTTGAAACTTGGATTGCAGCCCAGTCCTGACGGGCCGGGCTTTCTCTGTGCGGACATTAGTATAAGGGATGATGACAAGCTCATTAAAGGTGATCATGAGCTCATCGAGGCATCGCAAAAGCAGGGCAGAAATGGGACAAAACTTGTGGAGCATCATAGAGCAGAAAGCATGGAAATCCACATAGATTTGTTGTTGCGGTGACGAACGGAGATACGGAAGACTTTGTGAGTGTGGAGGAGGGTGGAAGCTATGGCTGTGTAAATATGCCTTCATACTTGGGGACTTGGTTGTTGATTTTTCAGAACGGTAAATATAGTTTACTTACTATACTTCGAATTACCAAATACATTATCAGGCCAGGTGGGACTTCATCTGCTGAAATCCTGTTTACGAATTACAGCTTTGGGCGGCCGAGTTGAACAGAGACCCGGCTCAAACCAGCCCCTATCTCAGGTCCTGGATAGCATTGCCGGCGCACTTGTCGGCAGGCCCGGTTACTGTTAGCCAGGTCGCTTCGTCTCAGAACAACTCCCTCAACAGACTGCGATATCCTACCGCGGTAAGTGTTAAAATTTGAGTTGCTAATATTACAGAAGGCTGGAATAATTCCTACATGAATATTTTCACTGACGGCACGTAGCTCTGAGTCAAGCTCATTGGACCTTGGGCGCATGAAGGCGCTTCATACGGCGTTTATTGTAAAAAAGGTATTGCGCTCCAAAACCACACATCTTCTCCTTTCTCGTTTCATTGTGGATGATGTGATTCCTCGGGGTGGGGCGATCATAAGTGAAACCCCTTAACATCTCCTGAGCTTGCCATAACTAAGTGAGACATTTTTATCAGAAGGCTACTTAGGGCTGAAAGGTGTAGGTGAAAACTTCATCTCACAACCGCCTAGCCAAGATTCCCGATGAAACATAAAACCGCTTGAATCAAAGGTATCTAAGATGTTCAACCTATGTGATCTTATTTCTGGGGGAGCGGAGTGGGGTGGTGACAATGGGGGGTGGTGTCACAGAGCCAAGATTAGTGGTGTAAGTAGGCGCTTAGAATTAATGCGACAACCTCTTGAAATGAGATGTTACAATAAGGTGTACTTTCACTACTCGTCTGCTGCGTGGTAAACGGGGTATCATAGTTGTAGGGTTATCAAATATTTGAGAATATATAAACTTATGAGCACACATGCGTGAAGGTTGAGTATATCGCAATGGCGAAGCTTCCGCCGCAAACAGCCCTGATCAGCAGATGGGAGATTTTATTTAACCAGCAGCAGGAAAGAAAGCAGCCACACAGATGTGACAATGCACTGATACAGCAGATATGATTCCGCTGGCGACATGAACAAGAGCGACATTCCACACATGTCCCTCTCGATCGCATTCTTAACATTCCTTCCTGCCCACCGCCGACGCCATGCCAAATCCATGCCCAACGCCTCATCCAACCGCCCAACAACGTGACGGCCACTAATCCATCGTGAACGAATTCTCTGTCTCATAAAAATCACTAATGCAGTCGTTTCAGGCATTGCTCGTCTCATGCCTGCTCAAACCTCAGACTCTTGCCGCCCCCGCCCTGCCCCATCTCAGCGAAGATCTGGGGCCGTCTGTTGGTGCCACGATCGTCCGTTTTGTTTGATGGAGTTACATACATGCACACCCATACTTCCATACGTACATCTGTACATATAGTTGCTTCTGCGTTGGCCACCGTTGTTGGTTAACAAGCACTAGGGCCAAGTGGGGTGTTGGGTTTGGTTCCGTCATTCGCATCTTGCCCGTCCTAGTCGGTGTCTTGGGATGGATGAGATGAGTTGCGGCCCAAGGAGTCCAGGTTTGACTCGAATTATCTGATCCGATGACTTCATCTGGGATAAATACCTATTTTATTTTAGCTTTTCGGTTTGGTTCCCCGGTTCGCGTTTCGGTTCGACGTCGCCAGGAACCATGGATGCGTTTGTTTTGAAGAATAATGGCAGCCTCAGGTACGCGTACTCAGGGGTGTTGGTGGTGATAATTCCTGTCCTCAACATCGGCATCTGGGATATTGGGCATCTTTATCTGGACTGGCTGGATGAGGCTGCCGGCTTGAATCCAGCATAACTAACCCACGACTCACCAGCCGCAGGCTCAGCTTCATCTCAGCCTGTAAGGGGAGTGGTGTTATGGCTCAGATGAAACGCTCTGGCAGATGCTGGAAGGTACTTCATTTGCACAGTAGATCATTGCGAGAGATTTAATTGCCCTGCCTGTAGACAGTATACACACTCCTGTTCGTCCGTATGTCGCTGTCTTGTTGTTCGTGGATAGAGACCTTGTTCAGTGTCAAGAACATCCTCATCCGCCATGTCTAGATTCTCCCTCTGCATTTTACATATCTTCTGTCCACTAGTTAGCGACTGATTGCTGAACTATTAAACATTGACTATCCCCATTCTCTCTTTTCTTTTTCCTTCTGTTCTCTGCGCTTCCCGTGACTGGCGCTGACACTAATCCGAACTTTGGAGTCCAAGCTGCCATCTCTCCCTTTTCTGCTCCACCTCTTTTTTCTCCCTCTTTCTCCTCCCCTTCAACTCCGTCCGCTCTTCTGTTTCCTCTCCTATCCTCTGCTCTCAATTCACCCTCATGCATTGGTTCTGACTGGGAGTCTCACCCCCGCACTCCAATAACCCCAGCCAATCGTCCTCCTCTCGCTCCTTTCCTTCGTACCCCAACGAAGCTTGGACCCCCTGATTCTTCCCACCGACGCCCAAGCGTCACTCCAATCCACACAACATGGCATCGACGGAAGAGCCCCTGATGCCGGCTACTGAGCCCTCCTTGCCGGAATCCTCAGTCGATGGGACTGTGGCTACCTCTGCTCCCACTGATGAACCTGAGCAGACGGCGGAAGAACCTGTTGAACAGACTCCCTCGAGCCCTGCACCCGCTAAGAAGACATCCACTACCGTGTCCCCCCGCCAGAAGCCTGGCACCTCTGCTGCTCCCAAACGCCCGGGAACCGCTACCGCTACCGTTACGAAACGTCCAGCTGGCTCTACATCAACAGTTGCGTCGAAACTAGCCTCTGCCACCGCCAGGGGAACTACTGGAAGCACCCTCAATCGACCCCCCACCCGACCCCCTGTGACGTCCACCACCACTCGCAAACCAGCATCCACAACTACTGCAACTCATAGATCTCGGGCATCTTTGGGCAGTTCCGCAGATGAAAGAGGCAAATCCATTGCCAGTTCGGGGGATGAAAACAAAAGACATGGCATATCTGCCACGGTGAAGAGAGCTTCCCTCACAAGCTCCACCTCTTCCAGAGCGCCTGCGAAGGCTCCTTCGGATCGTAGGTCAACAATTACCCCGTCATCTACCGAAAAGAAACCTACTTCAAGCCGCCCATCCACTGCCCAAAGCCCTGTAAAGCCACCCACCACTGCCACACGAGCTCCTGCGACGGCTACGTCCAGGTCGGCGGCAACGACCACGGCCCCACGGACTTCAAAACCTTCTTCCGCGACGGCTACAAAAACCCCTGCCTCCACAACGTCAGAGTCAAAGAGACGGATGAGCTCCTTGTCTACAACCAAGAAACCATCCATTGACAGTGGGAAACTCGCAGAGAAAAAACTCATTGCCAAATCTCCTGCATTGCAAGAAAGGATCAAGGAGTATGAAGCTCTCCGTGAACTGCTGCAGGCAGCAATTGCAGCGGAGGAAGCCGGCAATGACGAAAAACGCGATGAGATTCAGGTCGAGGTAGATGGGGATATCGCCCAGCTTAAGGGCAGCTTGGATACTGTCAAGGAAGGAGATGAGACCAGTAGCGCCAGCAAGCTTGCTGATATCCAAACCAGACTTGCAGAGAGCGAAGCGAAAGTTGCAGAACTACAAGCACAGCTAGCTGATGTTCAATTGCAATTATCTGAAGCCAGCAAGTCTACGGAAGGGGAGGCAGATAAAATCTCTGCGGCTACAGATCTAGTTCGTGCTGAGCACGAGGCTAAAGTGGCCAAGCTCACTGAAGCCCACGCAGAGGAGCTCAATGCCCTTCAAACGAAGCTAGACGAATTAGAGTCGCAGAGGTCAGAGACAGAATCTCGATTTACCCAGGAACTTGAGACTGCTAGACAGCTAGCTTCTCAGGAAGGTGACTCGAAGACATCTGAATTGCTCGAGCAACAAAAGCAGAGCCACACCGCCGCAGTAGCCGCTCTTGAAGCTGAACTTGCTGCACAACGGGATGTGACTGCAGAGCTTACTGCGCAATTCGATACCTTGAAAGAGGAGCTTGCCGCCCGTACTGCTAGCCTAGAAGAAGCTGCAAAGGCTGCTTCTGAAAAAGAGAAGGAAGAGCTCGCGAACTTCCAGGCCCAGATGCTCAGGCAGGAAACGGAATTAAACGGCCGTGACGCGGTGATCAAGAGCCTCAAGGGTGAAATACAAGCTCTTCAGGACACTAGGGATCAGGAGTTGGCTGCTGCGAATGAAGCTGCCGCTGTCACTGCACAACTTCAGACTCAACTCGAATCTCTCCAGGCCAAACTAGCGCAGACAGAATCAGAAAATGCGCAGGATGCCACGGAGACTGTGAAAAAACTCGCTGAAAAGGAAGAGGAGATTGCAAAGTTGGGCCAGACCATCGAGCAACTCCAGGATGAGATCCGGGAGGCGCAGCAGGCTAAATCTGAAGAGTCTCTCAAACAAGCAGACTTAACCACAGCACACGAAAAAGCCATGGCTGCCCTTCAAGCCGAGCATGATTCTGTCGTGGCTAGCATGACAGCAGAACATTCAGAGGAGTTTTCTCAAGCGGAGGAAATATCCAAGTCTGCCATCGACTCACTCCAACAGGAGCTTAAGGCGGTAACAGAGAAGCACGATGCTGCTCAGGCCGAAGTGGCTAGCTCAAAGGCCCAACTGGAGACTGCGACAAAGGGAGCTGATGAGGCCCATGCTATTGAGCTACAATCCCTACAAGAGAAGCTAGATGCAGCTGAGAAAGCCCTAGTGGACGCCAAACAGCATGCCGAAGCAGCCAGCGCTGCCGAGAGAGAATCCAATTCTGCCAGCCTCCAGGAACTTGAGGGCAAAGTACAGACCTTGGAGGAGGAGCTCGCCAAGGGCAGCGCTCGTATCAAGTCCCTCCATGAAGATCTCGAAGCGGAAAGATCCCAGGTTGAGGGGTTGCGTAAGGGCCTTGAGGCATTCGAAGTAACTACCAAGGACAAGGATGAATATTACGAGACTACAATCTCAAGGCTTGAGGTCGAGGTTAATGAGACTAACGAATCTCTCAAGGACAAGGCGGAGCAACTCGCTAGTCTTGAGGAGAAACATACGGCCGCAGTCGCAGAACTCACTGCCGCCCACAGCGCAGAGATCGAGGATCTGAAGGCCGAGCTGTCCGGATCGAATGTCTCAGCTCTCAAGGAACTGCAGGATAAATACGACGAACTCGTCGCGTCGAACAGCTCAACCGAAGCCGCGCATGCCACCCAGCTCGAATCCCTAAAAGCAGAACATGCCGCTGCGCTGCAGGAACTCGAAGCCAAACTAACAAAGGAATTCGAAGATAGCAAGCTCAAGGTGCAAGCGGATGCGGAGGGATCGCATGCGGAGAAAGTTGCCGAACTTGAAGCGAGTCAGACCAAAGCGATTGAGGAGTTGCTTGGTGCGCATGAGGAGAAGTTGGCGACTTTGAGTAGTGAGCATGAAGCTGCCGTGAAGGAGAAGCTGGCTGCGGCTGAGGAGGCACATACTACTGTTGTTGCGGAGTTGCAGGAGAAGTTGGAGGCGGCGAAGGAGGCTGCTATTTCTCATACGACAGAAATTGATGAGTTGAAAGCGCAGATTTCGAAGTTGGGTGAGGAGCATACTGTTGAACTTTCAAAGGTTCAGAAGGAAAAAGAAGAGTTGGAGGAATCACTTCAGAATTCTATCTCCAGCTTAAACAAAGAACTTGAGGCAGTTAAGCAAGAATCCTCATCTCTACAAGAGGAATTCGAGAGCCAGAAGCAGGTGCATACCCAGGCACTGACTGATCTTGAGGCACTGAAAGCCACCGCCAGCGCTTCAGACGAGAAACAGAACACCGTGGAAGCCAAGTTCGTAGCCTTAGAGGAAGACATGAATGCTCTGAGTGAGAAAAATATCACACTTGTCCAACAACTACACGACGCCGAAGCAACCATTTCCAAAAATAATCGACGTATCCGAGAATTGGAGTTCGAGCTCGCGGATTCAAAGATCAAGAAGCCCGAATCTCCAACCCTTTCCAACGGCTCGAACTTGAAGGCCTCCAGCGGACTGGACGACAGCAAATGGGCAGTTAAAGAAGAGGACACCACCACGGCGGACAACGAGCAGACGGATACTGCGAAGGTACTGCCAGAAGACGCTGGTCCTACCACTACTGAAGGTGAGGACCTCGGTTCTTCTATTGAGGGAACGGTGGGCGTGCCCCGTTTCATTTCTCTTTGTTCGATTTTGTCGCGCTTTTTGTTTTTGGATTTTCGACTTCTGCGCGGGCTTATCGTCGTATCTTGGCGTCCTGTTGTTGGGTATTTTTGTTCCGCTTTCTTCTTGTTTTTTTGTTTAATATTGCGAGCTTGAGTTGTACTTGCAGGTGGTCTTTTAATTCTTGGAAACCTTTGTTCATTGATATGCTAACTTCGTTTTTCTTTTCTAGATGGCCAGCATTCGGGAGCAGCTCCGCCAGCTTGAGGACGTAAATGAGGGCATGTTCGACGAGAACGCTAGGTATGAGACATGATTACAATTATTTATGAATACTTTTCTTGAGCTCTCTGGCATACCTCAGACCATCATCATGTATTGGGTTTCTTTTCCATCTTTTCGCCCCAACATTCCTTTACTCTCCTCTCCAGCTTCTAATCCGCAGTATAAAAAACGCGGTAGAATTGTGGACATGCTCTCCAAAGTCGGCCAGAATCCCACACCACCAACACCAGGCACACCAAACCCATCGAGTAACGACAACAGCAAGCCCAAACCCGTAACCGACGTGCCCAGCGAAGTCGTTGAAGCCGCCTCATAAGCACACGTATTGAACCCAAGAAAAAGGACAAAATAAAAAGAAACATGTTCCTTCCAAAATTTTATGCGTTTCCCCTTTCGGTTGGCGGTTTCAAACGCTCCGCGCTCGCGCGTGATATGATATCCTTTTTTCATCTTTCACCTTTTCGTTCCCTCCGCCTCGCCTCGTCTCCCAAAGAGACTGGCTGTTTGCCAGATCAGGCCGGCGGGTAATGCAACGCCAAGGCTTGCATTCCTTCATGATTATGTTTAAAAATTGTGTTATGCGTGTAACGGATGACGGGTGTGAATTGGGTTGTTTTTTTCTTGCCCTATTCGATTTGCTTTAGGGGAAGGTGTACTTTTTGAGAGCGAATACATATGTATGGATGAAATTATTTATCTAAGTATGTGCGCGTGCATGTGTATGTGTGTGTGTGGCATCTATTTCATGTTCTAGCGTTCTTTGTTTTTCATACTGCCATTGATATCTCATACCCTGCTTATCCTTATGTCCTTTGATTCACCTCGCCCTAAAGCTTTCCAAAAGTGTTCACGGGCGGAGCAATTCCACTTTTATTCTCTCCTGCTGATTACCACCCTTGTTTCTGTTTCTTTGTCATGGAGGTACCTGACAACGAACTCTGTCACTCCTGTTGTTGACATTGAGAATGCGTTTTTATTGTTGAGTTTTCATTGTTTGAGATACCTTCTTGTTTTTTCATATTCCATTTCCTATCTTCCCATCTTATTCTATTATTTCTTTTAAATATCTCAAAACCTCTTTTTATCTCCTTTTCCCCTCATTTTCTGCTGATATTTTACCTTTTAATTATTCGTATCTGATTTTATTTTCAACACCACTGATTTTTATGTCCTCATTTTTGGGATGGCCTATATGGGTTTTACTTGTGTGTATGTCGAAAGCGCAAAATTTTAATCCCCCCTGCTTTCCCCTCCGAGAACTTGATACATGAGGCATTGGTGTCGTATTTTTAGGAATATCTAAGCCCGGAAGATAGACTTGCTGGAGGGGCTTGATAGTCGCAGAGATATGAAATTGTTAAAACACGGCTCTATCCAATTCAAAATCAACTCAATCAGACGTGGATACCACATTCGTATCGAGAGGCCGACAACGGCTTTTGTGTAAGATAAGAAACCTATCCATCTATCCTCCACAAGGATGGAGAGAATGTCGAGTTTGTCTGTACTGTCCTATCCATTCATTATTAGAATTATAATATAACTCCTGAATCGCCAAACCATCTCATGACCAACTCTGTATTCCCCAAATAATGCCTCATTTCTGCAGTCACTTTCTGAAAAATTCTCTGCCTTTTCTCCCTTCTGACTTCTCCCCTCGACGGCTTATGTGACAAAGTACGAATAGTTAGATCCTTTTTTGACCACTGCCCGCACTCAACGTCTCATAGATGCCGGCTCGCTCGGGCCTGATGGGGTTAACTAACTAGTTAACTGAAAGCGTGGCGCTATGACGGCATTTTATCGCTCTAGGGTTGTTGTGGCTGCCAGTGGATATTTTGTTATGCTTTTGCTTTTTTCCTCCAAGCTGTCGTTTTTCCTTTCTTTTTTTGTTTTAAAACCTCGGTTAGAGGTTGCTAAAAAATAGTGAACGGAAGGAAACAGTTATGCCGTTATGCAAATTGATATGGATTCGATTGTTGTCCCCGTAGTAATTATTTCTGCAACTATATAGCTCAGGGAAGTCCATTCGGTCGATGGTGCCTATTTTCGTGGTCCGCGGCTCCGTCTCTCGGGTCACATTATCTCATCCATCCGTCATCCATCACAGTTCAACACACCTCACTCACTCACTCACGCTGGATAGCTCGGATATCAACACATGGATCCGTGCATCCAATAACGTGTTATGTGACCACGCCGCGCCCCAGCCTCCTGCAAGAGACGTCAAAAGACGAAAGGAGGCAGCTTATGAGGATCAAGGAACTTTACTTCCAACGCGCGGTTCAACCAAACCTCGCCGAGGATAGCCTCGACCTCGCAATTCCTGTGCTCCTTTCAGCCGCCCTCTTCCTTGCAAGTCGTATCGGAGCTAAGCTACTGATTCATTACAAATCCCGCCCTCAGCCTGCGCATTCTTCACCGTTCCAGGCTCCATCGGCCTGGCTCCACCCTGGTCGTCAACAACTGGAACTATTTTTTTCCTTCAGGGCAATATCAACCGAAAGCTGTGTGACTGACTTCCTAACTTTCTGACCTTCCTCAACCGCGCCTTTCTCTCCATGTATTGTCTGCTCCTTTACATACCTACTTTTTGAGCACCATCACAGCGCCTTGTCACCTTGGTTACCAGGTTGCCATGAGATGGACTGGTTGCTAGACAGCCGCGTACTGCTGCCATGACGTGTCGCGGACGCGGATTGGATTGAGACATTGGGATGCGAGCTGCTCGCAACTCGAAACTCTCCTCCTGTCATTTAGCGGTTCGGGCTTCACGAGCGTCTAGGAGGAGCAAAATAAGGGGAGAGATCGTGATTACTTTTTGAGTTGCAAGAACGTACATACCCTTACAAGCGATATCGGTGAACGGACCCACGAGCAAACGTGTTGCGATTAGATTCATAACAAAGCCACATGGAGAAGCAATCCCGCCGGCCTCACGCGAAGGGGAAGGCACCCGTGCGTGGACCAGGTAGGCCCACCCGGGCAGGGCTGGCATCCAGATCCCGATCGCGCCGAGGCCGCGGGCAGGAACCCGAGCGCACAACTCCTGAGGCGCTTAGTGAAGTGCCGCTCGTTTATCGCGATATGCTGGCGGAAGCTGGTGCTGGTGCGACGGGGGCCTCGGGGCGGTCCGGGTCTTTGAGTCGTCCGGGTGATGATAGGCCGGTGAAGAGAAGGAGGGTTGGGGAAAAGAGGGCTGGAGGAGTTGAGGCGGCGATAGGGAGAGAAAACGTGGAGGGAGGGGCAGTAGCAGCTGGCGCTAGCAAGCCCGTCCAGACTGTATTTAACGCGGATGCGTCGGATGATGAATCGGAGATGGAGTGGGAGGATGTCGAGGTCACACTTTTCACACCTTCATCTGGGTCTGCGTCTGGACCAGGGCATGATGGGACTACGGAACAACGGGGTGTGGAGCAACAACAAAAGGAAGCTGGGGTGGGGGAGTCAGAAGAGTCGCTGCAGATTACGCTCGAAAGGCCGGCGGAGAAAGGGAAACAGCGCGCTTCTGCTGTGAGGCGGAAACCCGTCACTGGACAAGAGAAGAGGTGGCGCCTTGACATTCATAAGATGCACATTTTGTGTCTATTAGTCCATGTGCAACTGAGGAATATGTGGTGCAATGACAATGAAGTCCAGGTTCGCATAGCTTCATCTACGGATTTTGTAGCACTGGATATTAACTGACACGGAATTTTTCTTCCAGAATGTACTGAAGCGGCTTCTCTCTAAGCATACGACCATGTGTCTGAACCCCAAGGAGACTTTACCACAGTTTACACGCTCGACAACATTTGCAGATGGTCTAAAGCAAGCCAGTGAAACGTTCCGGCGCCGATTCAAAGCCACAGTCCCAGGCATGAAGCGGCCCTATTGGCTCGAGAACCCTAATGAATTGAGCGATCCAACTGTGCGATAAGCCAATAATTTCTACTTTCGTTGAACAATATATCAACAATATAAGAGTAACCCCCCGTGCTAACGAATTCATAGGACCTATTAGATTCTGCAGAGATACTATCGTCTAGAGAAGACTTCCTCCACCAAGCCGTTGCCCTGCAAGGATCGAGAGACCTTGGTGCGCAGCTCTTCTGTGCGCTGCTACGAGCTGTAGGCGTGGACGTGCGGCTGGTGTGCTCCCTGCAGGTGCTTCCGTTTACGGGCGTTGCTAAAGGGGTCATGCCGCTGAAACCGGAGCGGGAATATATCGTTCTCTCTGAAGATGATGGGTCGCCGTCTAGTATTGATGTTGGGCAAAGTTCACCGGCCACTGGTGGCACCGCAAAGGCGCGTGATACACCAGCGCCGTCAAGGACGCGGCGTATCGGACAACCCAGGTTTTCTTCAAGTCCGGCTCCGACTCCTAAGCCCAGGCCCTCAACTGGTTAGTTAAGACCTTTACGATTTCTTCTCATAGAATCACAATACAGCTACTAACCACAACGGTACATAAATACATAGCTTTACCACGAGCATTTTCGGAGTCGCCCTTCCCTGTATTCTGGGTCGAAGTATTCAATGAAGCGATGCAGAAATGGGTCCCTGTCGACCCAGTCGTGACAAATACTGTGGGAAAACCTTCTAAATTTGAACCCCCCGCCAGCGACCGTTACAACAATATGAGTTACGTCATCGCTTTCGAAGACGACATGTCCGCCCGTGACGTTACAAAACGCTACATGAAATCTTTCAATTCCAAAACAAGGAAGCAGCGTGTCGAATCCACCAAGGACGGCGAGGAATGGTGGGCGCGGACGATGGCCTTCTTTGAGAAGCCGTTCCCGGATGATAGGGACCAGGTAGAAATCGGCGAATTGACGGCGAAGGCTGCGGCGGAAATGATGCCGAGGAATGTACAGGATTTCAAGGACCATCCTGTTTATGCATTGGAGAGACATCTGCGGAGGAATGAAGTAATATATCCTAAGAGAGAGATTGGGAAGGTCGGGCTGAGTAAAATATCTCCCAGCAAGAAAAATCCGCCGCTGGAATCTGTCTACCGACGCGGGGATGTGCACCTCGTGAAAAGTGCGGATGGGTGGTACCGAAATGGTAGGGAAGTGAAGGTTGGCGAACAGCCTTTGAAAAGGGTTCGAGTTTTGCGGTCCACAGGAGGAGGTATTGGTCATCGCGAAGAGCTATCAGATTACGAAGAGGATGCTCAAGAGATTCCGATGTATTCCATCCACCAAACGGATCTGTACAAGCCGCCACCCGTCGTCGAGAATCGTGTGACGAAGAATGTCTACGGCAATATCGATGTGTATACGCCGAGCATGGTTCCAGAAGGTGGCTTTCATCTTAGGCACACAGAAGCGGCGGCCGCAGCGAGGGTTCTGGGCATCGACTACGCCGATGCGGTGACTGGGTTCCAGTTCAAAGGCAGACATGGCACGGCCATTGTGCAGGGCATTGTTGCATCTGTTGAGTATCGCGAGGCTCTTTATGCTGTTCTCGACGCGTTGGATGATGAGCGGGTTCAGGCTGAACACGAGAAACGGACGGCGGAGGCGTTGGCGATGTGGAAGTTGCTCTTGCTGAAGTTGAGGGTTGCAGAGCGGGTTAGGAGTTACGCTTTCGAGGGGGAGGGGGATGAAGAAGATGAGGATAAGGAGGAAGAAATGGTTCCTGATGATGATAGTAATATTGAAGGAGGTGGAGGTTTTATTCGTGAAAGTGGCCAGGCAGACGTCGTGCCTCTTCAGAAGGGTTTCTCTGACTTTGATAGCCCACTCAAGGCTGGTGGCTTCCTTCCTGAAGGGATGAAGGGAGAGGAGAACCATTCGACATTGAGCGGGGGGTTTTTACAATCTAGCGCCGTGCTGGATGAACCAGGTCCTTCCAGACCTGCCACAGGTTTAGGAAGTACATCTCTCCGATCCAAAGGCAGATCGCGATATAACCTAATTGTGACCAAAGCTAAAAATGATACATCATCTACAAGCAACCAGCAACAACCCATGCACAATCAGCCTACTTCTGTGGAGCCATCCGTTTCTCAACTTGATATCTCCCCCACTGCAACGCCATTGCGTACCCACATTGCATGGCAACCACAGGGCCAGCAATCCCCTACCGCTCAACTGCAGCAGCAGGAACAACACCTCACCGCAACCGCAGCAGCAGGCTCACCCACAGCCCATATCGCGTTCTCCTCCGCTGGCAGTGACCAGTGCAGCGTCGAGGAGATCTACAGGGTGCCAGACCTCGTGCATGAAGGGGAGTCTGACAGTGAGATTGACCAGAGCTCGATGCTCTCGCATGATCCTGAGGATGAGGATGCGGAGCCGGAGTGGTTGCTTTCCGACTGATATATTAATGGACTCTCATCTCTCTCACTTGGTTCAGCTTCGCATATTCGAGCAGGTTTTCTTTTTTGTTGTGTAAATAAGTAATCATAGGTATATATCCCCCTTTGCTGTTGCTTCTATGCCTATCTGAGTTGGGACGTTGCACTGGGGATTGGGATATAAGATGCTTTATGACCGGCTTGCAATTTCCAGCATATACCCTACTCCCCCTGATTGTTTCCATTGCTGCTTTTCATCATCAGGTTGCGGAAAATCGCAACATCGGCTTAAGGTTGATTATATACACGGCGTTTGTCGCACAGAACTCAAGCCTCTCGCTCTGTGCGTGTGCGTGTAAAGACGCAGTATTAGAAGACTGTATAACTAGTGAGACCGCATAGTTTCATTTTCTGAATGAACGATGGATGACCTGCGTGTACTCCAACCTCATTTCTATCCGAATGGCAGCCAACCCTAAAAGTAATCTCTCGATATCCATCGTACCCAGTTTGCAAATCCAGTTAGATCGTCCTAAAGAATGTGGAGTAATCATGGTGGTAGAACTTTTTTGTTTCCTTCAGCGATCTTGATTAATTTACCTTACGTCATACACGCGTCCGTCGCGTCCAATCTCGCAAATCACATGATCCAGGCATCGACGACTTCCTCGAGTTCCTTGACATTTTCACAGGATGAAATTGACAACTCCTTTCAGCGCAGGGAGTGCTTTTGCTTTTTCAGTTTTTCTTTTCCATCTCTTTTTTATAGTCGAAAAAAAAGTAAAAGAAAAGGATGCCGCCAAAAACAAACACTCTTCAAAACTCGAACCGACTCGATAAACTCAGCAAACTCGACAAGCCCCTTCGCAAGACAAGCAAGCAGACGACTAGGCAAGAGGCAAGACGAGCACGACCGCTGAGTAAATCAAGAATTGATCGTGAGCGACAGTATAGGTTGGCCTTAGGTGGAAACACGCGCAACCAGAAGACCCTGACCCAGATTGATTTTGTGAAACAGGCGCAGGCATTACTAGCTCGTGAGGATAAGGACGAAGATGATGATTTGGAGCTAGAGTACATTGGTGGAGAGACCTGGGATGGAGATTATGAGGTCCCAGTTCAATCGTCAAAACGGAGAAAGAGAAATGGGAATAGGCGCAGGGCCAATACTGGAAAAAGGATCGGGAGTGATCTTGTTGGGAGGAAGCAGGTAGATGAGACCGACGGATCAGATGATGATAAAACCTTGACTCAGATGGGGTATGTTACTGGTTGGCAGAATGATGGAAGAAGCCACAACATGCATGCAGGGCTGGGTAAGAGGAAGGGTGTGGATCGAATGGAGAATATTGGAAAGGAGCCGAAAGAGAAAATGTGTGACGGAACTCTGCAGGAGTTGAGAGCAAACTGCGACAACCGGACGGGCACGCAAGGCAGGAAAAGGAAACTCTCAGAGGTCAATTCTGAATGCCACTCCTCACAAATTGTTCCTCCTTCGTCCCTCAATCTGGGAGGCAATTCATCGGCACGAACACCAGCGACACCGCGGAAACCAATTAATCGGGTGGTTCCTTCATCACAGTCACCAGACAGTCCTGCTCTCATATTACTCCCATGCACATTGAAGGAATCTCCGCCGAAATTTCCCCTTGCTCCACTTTCTCACAATGTAACGCCGAGGAACACTGCACCTCCCTCGAAGGGTGAGTATATGACCCCCATCTGTGACTCGCAACTGGCACAATACGAAATCCCCGTGTCACCTTTCAACTCCGCTAGTACTGGTTCCCCTAACCGGAGTTATGAAGAAGAATCAGTAATCGAACTTAGGACCACACCTACTACATCTCCTCCATTTGCGCCCGAAAAGGACTCCGATAAAAAGCTCTCAAAATCACCCCATAGTATAGCAAAGCAAACAACGCCAAAGGACCAAAAGACTGAACCCGGTGACCCTGACACGAGCTCTTTTGACGCAGAAAAATCAAAGAAAAGAGTGATATATGAAACGGACGCAGAGACAGAGGACGAGGAAATCCACCTTTCATGCAAAGAACACTATTCCTGGCGGACTCAAACTCAAGTCATTCATGATTCCAGTTCGAGATCGCGCAATGATGATTATTATGATGATTACCCTCTGAATGAGCTCCCAACCCAAGCCCGCAATTCAGACCAGGAAACAAGCGATACCCTTCCAAAAAATATGCTTGACTCCGAGGCGTCCATGCTCTATTACCGCAAGCCCATGAGTTTATCATTCGAGCCAGGATCTGAGCTAGCCAATATTAATACACAGAGGCTGGCGGAGTTATTTCCAGCTGCTGAGACAGAAAATGAGGAATGCGTAATCCCCCACCTTTCTACCATTCCCGAAAAACACGAAGCAGAAGAGGATAGCGTAGATCACGCTTCTACAACAAGGCCCACCAAGAATAGTAGTACGAACCATATCTCTAATTCACCACGGCGTCAACCTCCTCTGAACACTACAGCGGAGCGAAGTATCTCACCGCCCTCGTCGCCACCCGTCGTGCTAGTTGAGTCCTCACAGCACAGTGACATGGGAGATGCAGATCCGGACCATACGGCTTGCATTGATTCACAAAACGATTGCCAGGGCCTAGTTACTACAAGTCAATTGTTGACAGATAGCATGATGGAAAGCGTTTCCGGCCCATCAATGTGGATGTCCAGCCATGATCCCTCGCAGGAGGAGTACCAGGATACGGCCGAGACGTAAGGGTTAGATTTTGCAGCATACTTTTTATCTTCTCGTGTAGGATTGCTGGCGCGTCCGAGTTACAGCAATGTCCTCGTAAACTGTATTTTTTAATTGGGATAAACCGACTACGGATTTGGGGGCTCTGGGATTATATTGTCGTTTAATTTGAGTTAGTTATTTAGATTCCTATACTTAATTTTTATACTACTCGATGCACGGATCGGTATCACGTGGGTTGCCATTGAGGATCCTCCAGTCTCCCGCAGTTACAACGTCACTCCAAGCCAACATTCTGGGTCTACGCAAGAGACGACCTTCCTCGATTGCCAGGCTGCGAGAGCATCAGCATTTTCACCGTAATGATATCTAACCTGAGTTAACTAACTGGAGGTTAGCAGCCCCCACCTCGAATACCCGATACTTATCTCCAGCCCGTCAAGCACCAACCCGACTCATGAAACCGCCACAATGGACATAGCTTACGACCATATCCAAGAGGAAATCCTCACCACTCACGACGCCAATAACCAGGAAAATGAGTCTTCAAACCAGGAAGCTGTCTCGAGCAACGCTGACACATCTGCTCAATCGTCCCAACGTCCCAATCTTGACCTAGGTGCCGAATTCCAAGAGACATTCCGTGCTTTTTCCTCAAACCCCTGGGGTGCCCGACTAGGAGGCCTCTGGGGTAATGTTCGCAAACAGGGAGAAACCTATTATCAAGGGGCCCGTCAGGAGTACGAGGCCGTGAGCGAAGAGGCAATCAAAGGGTTTACGGACTTGAGGGCTACTATCGTTGGGCGGACGAGAGGACTGTCTCTAGGAGGAGCATTGGGAGGTGGAGATGGCAGTGATGAGATAGGAGGAAAAGAGAAAGATAAGGAAAATGAAAATGATATGGAGGGCTCTACCGCTGCATCTTCGTCATCAAGTGCAAAAAAAAATGATGATGAACCGGATGGGGAGGGGATAATCTCTCGCTTCCGTAGCGAGGCTGCGAAGCGCTTGAAGGATATCGAGAAGGCGGAGGATGCGGCAGATGAAGCGCTACTTCGTTTCGGGACCAATATCCGTAATTTCCTTCGAGATGCTGTGAGCATTGCACCCCCTGAAGATACCAAAGATAATAAAACGGTTCTTTTCGAGAGTAAGGACGTTGATGGGAAAAGAGTTATCCATACTACGCGATTTGAGGCACAACTTCATGCTATCCATTCGAACATTGATCGGTTATCGCAGGATCCTGTTAGCGACGAGTGGTCCTGCTGGAAGAGCGAGTTTAAGGTCGATAGCAAGACTAGTGAGATTGCCCACGATCTAGAGGCATATCCCGAGCTGCGGAGGGCGATGGAAAGCCTTGTTCCCGAGAAGGTTGAGTATGCTGATTTCTGGTGCCGGTATTACTTCTTCCGTCTGGTTATTGAAACGGAAGAACAAAGACGGAAGGAAATGTTGAAAGGTCTGTTCGCTTATTCCCATGGTGTTTACTGTATCTTCTTACAGTTGCCATCTTCCTAACACACTGAAACAGGTGCATCAACTGTCGATGACGAGGAAGTGGCCTGGGACGAAGATTCTGACTCTGAATCCGACTCCCCATCTACCCCCCAAGTTACCATCGACCAAGCTGGTGGCACTAGTCCCCCGTCAGAGTCTCCGACTTCGATGAACGCCCCCCGACCACCATCCGGTAACGAGACGCTAAAGGCTACTGAGCACCGCAGTTCTAATGACCAACAATCACAGGCTGACAGTGACGCCAGCTACGACCTTGTCAGTGGCGCTACAAGTCGCGCTCCCAGCAGTCCCCGGCAGCGAGAGAAATCAGCATCCACTGCTTCGTCTGCTGCTAAGCCCGATGATGATAGCGACGAGGAAGATTGGGAGTGAACGAAAGAGATTGCTGTTTGTCCCTGGAATATGAGCACGCGACATGTTGTTTGATATTGAGCTCAGGGACAGTGTCTGATCGTACATGTCTTTCCTTGGTTTTAATAGCCTGCCAGGCTGATTACTCCTGCCACAGTGGGATATGACCCTTTCTGGATTCTACCCCATTACTACAATATCATTTTTGCCCACGGACAGCATTTATGTGTTTTGATTAAGATCTCCTGTCAGTGGAAATTATTTTTGTTGCGTCATGGTTTTCTCACCTTTCAGTTACCCCGTGCCCTGTGCCCTTACTATATCCCACTAAATCTACACCTGGCGTGTTACATTTTTTCACAGTTGTAATCTGGGTATCGGCGTTGTGTGTCCCTTGTTGATTCCTTTTGAGATTTTTCATTTAATGTATCTTATGGAACATTGTTACATCGGGCGTAGAGTTTCTGGGTTTTTCGCAATTTGATTACTTTTTATCCCCTTCATTTCATGTTCCCTTCATTTGCCCGCGTCGTCTTCGCCTGAGTTGTGCTTCTGTTTTAGTGAACTTCCGAATATTATATGGTTGAGCTGAACCTCGATGGGTCGTTCGAGCTTATATCTCTTACCACAATGGTGAAAACGACAGTAAGAAATGTAATTCTATTATGACGGGTAATATCTATCCTATATCACAATGTCTTACCAGCCAGCCAGCCATGCCCTCCGTCAAGCTTGATAGATACAACGCTCTCAAGTCCCCTAGTTGTCGAAATACTCAATAAAACACATCTTAAAACTTGTTCCATCTACCCACGATATTAGAAAGAATTTAAGAGTCACATGCAATTCACACTGGGAAAGAAAAGATAGGATGCGCTAGGATACAGAAGAACGATTGCATAAAAACTCGTCTAATTCACCAATGGACCAATTTCCTTCTATTCTATTTACATAAACCAACCCATCTTACCACCTAACTACCCAACCCTTCCCTTGAAGTCTCTCGTATCGAAGTAGGACTAGCACCTAGCTCTTGATCCGTTTGCCCCGTTTCCGGACGGACCAGTTGACTGCCCTCTCTCCGCTGTAGTTGCTGCCTTCTAAGTATCTCAGGTCGCCAACCCCCCTTACGAGCAGCGCGTATGGATGGCGACTCTGGCGCTGAAGAATCTATGGGATATTCTAGGGGCGTTGTTGAACGACGGAATGACCTCCTGCGTGAGCCGGACAGTTGACTTTCAGTAGGCGATCCCGGGTACGTGCCCTTAAGCGGCAGACTCCATTCAGCTGCTGCTCTGGTATTCCACGCTACGGGGCTAGGAGATAGCTTTGTAGACCCCTGTTCAAACTCAGCGTCCGCGCCGTTGTATTGGTATTCTTCACCATGCCGTTTCAGAGGGCTTTCGTTATACGGGTCCCAACCCACTTTGCGGCGGGCTTCGGCGCGGACACGTTGGCGATGGTGTTCGTCACCACCTGCGCCGGTTGCGGAGGATTCCTCCAAAAAGAAGTTTAAGAGCTCGTCAGTAATGGAAAGGTGGGATTGTTGTTGGAATTGTTGGAGGGAGGTTAGGCGGAGGAGCGTTTCGAGGAGAGAAAGAGAGGTGCGGATGTGGTTAAAGAGGGGGTTGGAGAGAGTGGGTTGCTGGAGTAGGGGTTGGGAAGATGGCTGGGTTGTCAGTTGTCGATGTGGAGTGGGTGGGAGTGATGGGGCGGGCGATGATTTGTCGTCCCCACGGAGGTGCAATTGTGCGATTTTCTCTGATAGTTGTGGTTCTACGGATATGGAGCATGGCTTGCGAGTTGAGCCTGAGGTTGAAGTTGATGCATCAGCGGGAGGCTCCGGGTCGGATTCGGCTTCGGTTTCGGAGTCTGAATCCTCGTTTTCGTCGTGGACCTCGAATGCAATCCATTCGAGGTCTAGGCCTCTCGGAAATTTGTATTTCTGAGATTCACTTTGGTCATCTAGGTGAGCGGATGAAGAATCACCTCCCAGAAGTTGTGCGTCAAGATGGGATTGTTCCTCATCCCCTGAGTTTTCGCCGGTCTCCTCTTCTTCAAAATCAGTAAAATCGGAGTCCCGTTGATCCATCATACGTCTAGGCGGGATAGCATTGGTATCCCGTTTCAGAAGTAATATAGGATTGTTCGTTTCTCCCTCACTTCCAATATTAAGAATCTTGCCAGTATCAGCGTAGAATATCTTCGAGATCTCATGGATAGGAATTATCTCTCTGATTCCTGCAAGATCGACATCTTCATAACTTCCCATATTTTCGACATCGGTATGCACGCGGCCATCATCAAGATCTTCAATAATGAGGATTTGGTACGCAAATTCATCTTTCCTGGCCTCTTCACGGATATCTCTCACCTTAGTAAGGCCGTGCTGACGATGTAGATTCCTATAGGATGGAAATATCATATCCATAGATACACGCCGTAATTTAACCCGCGCTTTGTGGATTACCTCTTTCCAAGTAGTGTTTCGGACACTCTCTTCATCCACAGGACGGATGTGCCCTGAAAACAACATGTACACTGATAGCGTAAATGTCGGTCCAATCTGCACAGGCTGTGATGGAGACATGGAGTATTGCGTATCGCCGCTCGTCAAAAATGTACTGGCCTGGAGTAATCGAGATGGTGATACCGTTGAGGGAAGGGATGTTGATAAATTAGCTCCAGAAGTAGTAATGGCGAGGTTAATTAGTGGCACTGCATCCTCAATCCTCTGAAGGAGGTTTCGGATATCCTTGATTATGGATTTTATCTCGCCATCAAGTTTTGTGCGGCCCGTGACTGAGATTGCTCCTTTTCGATATAATTCCTCCACGGACACTGCTTTCGACAGTCGCAGACCAAGGTTTTGAATATCCCACCTCAAAGACTTGGTAAGTGCCAAAGCGGATTCAAGAGAGGTATTACCACGGGCAGCTCTGCAACCAAGTTAACGTGAGAGCATGCAGCAATCTGAATGAAACTCACATCAATTCGATCATGTCAATGGCCGGGGATATTATCTAATAATAGTTAGATATCAAGCTTCCAACAATTCTCATGTCGAACTATGAAAATAAAAATGTTCAACACCAGTAGAAGGAATCGGAAAAAAAAGGCTGCGTACTTTTATTTTGCTCTGCAAACGTTCCTGAAGTGTTTGTAGTTCAACTCGCTCGGAATCGCTCACAGTCTGCCTAGTTCTTAGCGGTTGAAAGAAAGAGTCGCGAGCACGTACACAAGCATACCTTCAGCAACTTTGCGGACTGGCGGATGGCATATCCAGCAGTAATGGTAATTCCAGACCTTAACTTAATCAGTAAACCATCTTCCTTTAGGTATAAACCGAAATAGCAAAATAGCATTCTTACCGGATCGCATAGTTCATCGCCTGCTGCGTCACCTGTTCAAATCCAATCAGTTGATCTGACCTGGAATTCTGGTAATGGAACTCATGATTCTTAATACCCTAGAAAGGAAAACATCCATCCTGGAAAATAGTCTACTGTAACAATAATCTGTCCTATTATGACTGCCCCATTGCAGATGAAGATGGACGTTGAAGAGGAGGAATTCGATGAGGAGAGACTGCTCGACACAGCGTTTTCACGACTCAATATAGGCGCATTTAGTCTGCCAACACCATGATGACCGGACAACTCCCAACGGACAGATGCATCAGGAGAGTTAGTTTGTTGACATCTTGATAGAAGGGGGCACTTATGGTCACGTGGTAGTAGGCGCTTGACGACGTCATCGTCAGACGCGATTAACGCGGAGGGAACCAGCCCGTAATAGTACTAGTGCAGTATGCCTAAAATTCAACCCCTCGCTGTGTCAGTTATTCACCACCCGCTTCCACACCTCATTCTCGCGATATTGGGATATTAAAAAAAATACACATTTCAATATTTATATTCTGCCTTTCCTTTTTATTGACTCTGGACCTTGTGCTCTCTCCCCGTCACTATGTCGAACAAGCCGCTTGACTCGTGGGAAGATGACCCCGCTGCACAGGACGATAACCTATCACGGCAGACACAGAACCTGAACTTGAATAATCAGCAACAGCAGTCATCCTTCCATCCTGGAGCTTCGACATTCCAGCCAGGGGCTGCCGCGTTTCAACCGAACCAGCAATTCCAACAATACGGATACCAACAGTACGGCCAGGGTTTCCAGCAACAAGGATATGGTAGCTATCAGCAACAGCCATATGGCCAGTATAATCAAGGCTACGGTCAGCAAGGCGGATATGGCCAGGCCTATGGTCAACAATATGGAAGCTACAACCAAAATACTGTAAACCCTCAGCAAGCTCAACAGCAGCAACAATGGCGTCCACAGTCAATTGCTGAACGACCACAACCTGGTGCTCCTGTTGCAGCAAAACAAACTCCGACAGCAGCGAAACCGGCAACTACTACTACCGCTACTCCAGCTGCTCTGCCCCCGAAGGCAAAGGTCTTGTCGATTGGCGGCGATGCTATGAAGTCCAAAACACCGACCTCATCCTCAGGCGCCACTCCTACCCCTCCTTCCTCCGTCACTCCTGCCAGCGATTTACAAAATGCGAACGGCCCAGCTGCTGTTGCTGCCGCCTCGAAAGTGACCGCTACTAAAGCCATTGAAAAAACGGAGAAGAAATCCGCTAGTAGCGGCAAGACATCGCCTACATCGTCCGGACGGTCTTCTCCTTCACGAGCGGCGGACGCCAAGGCTACAGCGCGCGACGCAGATGCAGTCGCCAAAGAACAGGCAGCCGATGTCGATGAAGCTACGCTCAGAGAGATTTATGGTGATAAACGTGAACACATCAACTTGATTTTCATTGGCCATGTTGATGCAGGGAAGTCAACTCTAGGTGGAAGCATCTTGTATGCAACTGGTATGGTGGATGAGCGAACCATGGATAAATACAAAAGAGAGGCCAAAGAAGCCGGGCGTGAGACATGGTATCTTTCATGGGCTTTGGATTTGACAAACGAAGAAAGATCTAAGGGAAAAACTGTAGAAGTTGGACGGGCTTTTTTCAAAACCTCGGGCAATACGCCTGATGGTCCGGTGGAACGTCATTATACTATTCTGGATGCACCTGGCCATAAATCTTTCGTCCCAAACATGATCGGTGGTGCGTCTCAGGCAGACGTGGGAATTCTTGTCATTTCCGCGAGAAAGGGTGAATACGAAACCGGTTTCGAGCGAGGTGGTCAAACCCGCGAGCATGCATTGCTGGCCCGAAACTCGGGTGTGAAAAAGCTGATAGTCGCTGTGAACAAAATGGATGACCCAACTGTTGAATGGAGCAAAGCACGATACGATGAATGTACAACGAAGATTGGCAAATTCCTTCAAGGCATGGGTTATGCCAAGGCAGATCTCCACTTCATGCCCATCTCTGCGCAGAAGACTATTGGCATTGATAAGCCTGTTCCCAAGGAGCTAGCACCTTGGTTTGAAGGCCCTGGCCTTCTTGATTTCCTCCACAACATGAAAATGCCTGAACGTAAGATCAATGCACCCTTCATGATGCCAGTCAGCGCAAAGTACCGGGATATGGGCACGGTTGTTGAAGGGCGAATTGAGTCCGGCGTAATAAAGAAGGGCTCCAGCTATATCATGATGCCCAACCACGAGGAAGTCACTGTTACTGCGCTGTACGGTGAGACGGAAGAGGAGATTAATACGGCAACTTGTGGCGATCAAGTCCGTGTTCGACTTCGGGGTGTTGAGGAAGAAGATATCATGCCAGGATTTGTATTGTGCTCTCCCAAAAGACCTGTGCACTGCGTCTCCGCTTTCGAGGCCAAAATCAGAATTCTAGATCTCAAGAGCATTCTCACCGCCGGCTTCAACTGCGTCCTCCATGTGCACGCCGCCATCGAAGAGGTGACCTTCGCGGCACTGCTTCACAAACTCGAGAAAGATACAGGCAGGAAGAGCAAGAAACCACCTCCATTTGCCAGCAAGGGCCAAACCATCATTGCTCGTTTAGAAACCATTGGCGGAGCTGGGGCTGTTTGTGTTGAGCGATTTGAAGACTATAACCAGCTCGGGCGGTTCACACTCCGTGATCAGGTAAATAACTCCAATAGCTACGCATTTTCTAGCGTCGTCATTTGAAATACCGCTGACTTATGCTTTACAGGGACAAACCATTGCAATTGGCATGATCACCAAGTTAATTACGAACGAACCGGCGGCGACGGCGTAAAGTAGAATCGTAAGTCAAAAGTGATAGCGATTTATTTTTTGTTGGGCTTTCTCGTCGGGATGTCTACTACTAGCGGATAGCTGAAGAAAAGGATGGACGTTATTCATGACTGGGAAATGCAATGTGGTGGCCCATGGGAACATGCATTTGATATCATGACATGACCAGCTTTTCGACAATTCTATGATTCCACTTTGTCAGTCTTTATATAGGTAATCTTCCAACAAAGAAATATGGGCCGGGCAGTAGAATAAGGATATATAAAATGGTGGTTGTGTCACAGGACCGCTTGTTTAATAACACACTCTGCTCAAAATCATCACATCATGGCTTGCATTTATATTCCGTAGCCGCTCATATAGAACTTTTCCCAGAGTATTGGAAAACAAAAAAGAACACCCAACGCCCTCGATGCTAACCCGAATTCCCAAGTGACCTAGCACGTACACCATGCAAAATAACAATGCCCAGAAATAAATGCCAACAATGAAGAGGAGGAAGCCATCATCGCCTTCTCTTCGAAACCACCTTCGTGAATCCATCTTCATCGACAATCGGCTCAGGCAAGAACTTTCCCCGCTCCCATGGTCCGTCAATTGCCCTCCGTATTTCATTCGGGGACTCACGTTTCGGCGCTTCAGTTTGTGGGGAGTAATTCCTCGATGCCGTGACCGCCACCGGCGCATCCTCCATCTCAACGTCATCCGCCCAATCCCCAATATCACTTTCATTATCATCTTCTTCCTCCTCATCCTCATCCTCCGCGCCCTCACCATTGTCATCCCCATCGTCATCGCCATTAACCTCCACTTTTCTGAACGCTCCAACAGTTGCACCAGCACCTCCCTTCGCCTTCCACTCCTCCCACATCCTCGTCACCCTCGTAAAATCACCCATCTGCGTTTCCATTCTGACTTCCATGATCCTACGCCCAATCTCGCCTGCACTCTCATCATCCACAACAACATCAAATTCGTCATTCATAACTTGTATCAGGACATCTTCAATGTCTTCGGCGTCGGTCTCCGGCCGGTCCACGAAGAGGTCTGAGATCGCGCCGCAGAGCCAATCGCGTTTGTCGCTGGAGGAGGGCCCGCCCCAGGAGCTTTGCACGGCGAGGTTGAGCGCTGGCCAGGAATTGAGAATCAGGGTAATGCCTAGATCAAACTGGGTAGAAGATTGTTTATTCCCTGCTTGTTCTCGTTGCTTCTCGATTGGATTTTGGTTTGCGGAGGTGGTCGAAATGCTGGCCATGGTTACAGGTGAGCGGAATGGGGGATATGATGAAAGCGTTGACAGAATATTATTCTTTTATTGCGGTAAAATATTGAACTAAGGTTCGATGAGAAGAGAATAGATCGGCTACTTCTAGGTGCTGGGCAAGGAGAGCATGTAAATATTTTGTGTAGATGATGCTGAATTCGCGGGGTTGGGAAAAAATATTTTGGCTCGGAATTTGTTTTTTTTTTTTTTTACAATTCTAGCTTCGGGTGGTGTGTTGCCAAGACTAGTGACCTCATCTATCAATAGCATATATTTTCGAGCACGAGATAATCAAAATAATATCCTCGTGTTTGAAAGAATCCGTTCTTCTATCTTCATTCCCTGATGGTATTTACAGCTATTGAACCGCGTATTGATCAGAAACTCGCCCGACAGAACCTAGACAAAGTTGAAAAGTAATGCTAATAATATCGGGATTTTTTTTTTCTTTTCCAGAGTCAAGGTCTATAACCACTAAATTCTATTTCAGCACTGCACCCCAGAGCATAAAGCCTCGTCTTAGAATCCAAATCCCGGATTTCCTGTATGGGCTCCATGCTGAAGTCATAAGCAATTAGGATGATCATGATATGATAATGGTATCAGGGCAATTACCCCTGTAATCCTGGAGGATCCTATAACATACATCCTAGGGTAAGTCATTTCGTGCACTGGAAGCCGTGAAATTGGAGGGAAGTGATTCTGTGCTATGATTATACTTGTTCCCAAGCTCCTTGCAATTGATATTGTATCCAGGTCTAGCTGGCTTTGTGGAGAGGTTCCGAAGTGCAGTTAAGCCAACTTGGCCTTAAATTCTTGCTGGCATATTTACTCTTGTCTGCTCAGCAAACTGCAGATGCATCTGTATATCACACCCTGGGCCAAGCATCAATGCGTCAATTAGGGAATTTCTCAGACGTTATTCCGCCCGTCAAATCAGCTAGTTCAATCCGGATACTTGGACCAATTATGCCATTCGGACATCGCTCGTAAAGACCTTCAAAAAAAAAAAAATCGCAAAGGAGAAATTTGTAGAGTGTAACACAACTGTCGAGAATGGCGAGAAGTCCGGTTGCTCAGGCAAACGGAAAGTAGCATTTCGGGTGATCATTACCAGAAGATAGAATATGTCGACTTTGTCATTGTGGAAAGAGGTCAGCATTTCCCAGGTATTGATCGATATCCAGGCGGAGAAAAACATTGCGATGTCTTAAAAAACATAGGTATTGGGAAGAGATGAGCCATCTTCCACCTGATGTGCTGGAACGCATTTTCTGCGAGGCCGAAAAGTATGTTATTATCTTATGATTGGCCCTACTGAAGCATTGATCATTTTGGTGGGATGGCTGGCACTTTTGTTTGACTCCGTATTGTCTAACATATCCAATTGATGGTAGTTGTTGTTGGAATCTCAGTGTCCGCCTAATTGATGCTGCTGGCCTGGGTTGAATCCATCTTTGATAATCCAGCATTCCGGAGACATTTTGCATATCCACAAGCGTAATGAAGCACACCTGTTTCCAAATCGTTAGATTTCATATAGGATAATGGTATGCTTTGAAGACAGAACATCTATATCATATGTTGATCTTATCAAAATATGGAGCCTTCCATTCCTTCCGCATTCACTCACGAGAGATAGTTCCGTTCCTTGTTGTACTGTACTTAAAGATCTTCTGTTGAAGCGATATCCATTATTAGCATCAATTTTAGTGGTAAGAGCTTTCTAAGTGATGTTAAGCTAACGAGAATTAGAATGCCGGGGATGTAACTTCTAATGGCGAAGGTGCCTGTTGATGACATTGCGGGCGTCAAGTTTCAAATGTGAGCCTTTCCCACTTCACTAGCCGTTATATTCGCTGGCCGTGCACAGCTTCCACCCATTGAGAGAGTAAAAAAGAAAGGGATGCAGATCACCTGCAAAGGCGAAAGTGTTGTTCTCAGGACCCTGCGCAGGACCACTAAAACAATAGCTCACAATGCGTAGTACGAGTATGTTTGAAGTGGTGGAAACCAACAATTGGAATGTTGATAGTTTGGAACACCAAAACACAATTCATGAGTTTCATCGCGTTAGCAAGAGGCAAAGAAGAGCATCCCGCTTTAATGTTCGTAGTACTACTCCTTGTGCTGTGAAGCTCATCCTCACGGATGGAGCAAACAAGAGGTTAAATTAAAGTTTGCAACCACATGTGAACTGGGAAATATGACATCATCCTCTGCGGAAGCGCCGCTTCGAATTGCGCAACCATAGTATGAAGAAATTATCTTGTGGTTTTCTTTTCTTTTGCACTCACTCCTCTTCCACAATCAACTCGACTTTTGCAAGAGATGGAGGTCACCATAAAATTTCAAGCTATTGAAATCATTCAATCTATTCTCAATTGGACGAAGATAAAAATTTCCTGCGGAGCTGCTGGCGATGCCTTTTAACACGCTGTCTGTTGGTGTCGCGGTAACACCCACTGTTATTTCAACACTCCTAACCCATGTATGCCTCACCTACCAATCTCTCCATAAATTTCTTTTACATTAGGTATTTGGACTGACAATATAGTATTCAAATCGTAAAAAACATCGGTCGAAGCCTACGGCACGCATCTCGTACCATGAAGGTCTTCATATCATTCGTCAATTCCTATTCTACTCCTCTCTCCATACCGTTGAAAACCTACAGGTTTTCACGTCCCAGTCGGTCCCTAGTCCTAGGTGGGTGAAGGTAGACAAGCTTCGAGTTCCCGAAGACCATCTTGCATCGGCAGCGGACCTCATTATTATTCAACTTGGCTCGGAAGGCCTATCACAGGTCGGTGGCAACAAATGGTGGAGATGGCGGGGAAAGAATTCCTCACTTGAAGGGGAGTGGGTAGAAATGCAACGCGATTTTGTCGAACGTCAGCGGAAGGGTGTTCGTTCCAATCGCGTGATGTTGTACATACACGGGGGAGCATACTATTTCGGGAGCCCGAATTCACATCGATATCAAATACAGAGGCATGCAAGGAAGTTAAAAGCAAGGGTTTTTGTTCGGTAGGTCCATGCAAACTTGTAATTTTACAAAGCGGCATATGCTAACCTGCTGCCAGTAAGTTCGATATCTTCTGGGAGTGTTTTCGCGGACCAATGTGTACAAGCACATAAATTCTGACAATGAACAGCCGCATATCGCTTGGCTCCACAGTTTCCCTTCCCGTGTGCTCTGCAAGATTGCCTTGCAGCATATTTATATCTTTTAAGCATGTATAAGCCGTCAGAAATCATAATAGCTGGCGACTCCGCAGGGGGGGGAATCGCACTGTCGTCAGTGATTCATCTCTATATTTACTCCCAACCATAACTAACATTTCAGCTAGTATCCTGGTGACATTGCGAGACCAAAGAATGCCATTACCTGCGGGCGCTATCCTAATGTCTCCATGGGTTGATTTAACACACTCATTTCCATCGGTGTCTGGTGACGGACATGGGGATTATGTTCCTTCCTACGGCTTCATCCATCGTCCTTCTCTTTCGTGGCCTCCTCCGAACACCGACGAGATAGATACAATTATGAAGGCTGAGGAAACACGAGTTAATGGTGGTTCACGTACTTCAAGCTCTGTCCACGGCCATGACAAGAGTACGAAAGCCGCCAGACGAAGTTTCCGTGGCGGGACGTCGTTGACACATAGCAAGGAAACCTCTGTGGGACATCGATCTGACACTTCTTCAATATACGAACCTCATGAGATATTCCATAATCGAAATCGTACTCTAAAGGTCGAAATCGATGGACAACTCATTGAACTAAAGGACCAGATCCACATGTACACCACCAATGAACTGCTCTCACATCCCCTTGTTTCTCCTGTCCTCCAGCCATCATTGGGCGGTTTACCCCCCATGCTGATCCTGACGGGAGGCGCGGAGCTCCTTCGTGATGAGCAAATTTACCTGGCCCACAAAGCTGCTGACCCAGCTTGCTTCCTACCGAGCGAGGAATACCTGGACCGCCACGATCCCAGCCGCCGGACTGTAAATAAATTCCCGCCCACATTCGTCCAACTTCAGGTGTGGGATGATCTTTGTCATGTTGCCCCTACTCTGAGCTTCACACGCCCAGCAAAATATATGTTTCGATCAATTGCCCAATTCGGAGCTTGGTCGTTGGCTAGAGCACAACAGGCAAGCATTGACATTCCTTACTATGCATCTGAAGTTTCGTCAAGTGACGTTGATGGTCCGCATACATCAGCTCAAAAAAGCGCAACACCCAGCCCATATTCAGGCCTCATGGTGATTGGGAAGGCTGGCGATCCTCTCCCACAATTCGAGGACTACATGATTCGTCAACGGGTGGATGGCGACGGTAACATATATCCCTTGGCAGCGCGATCCCACTTTGCCGCCTTACAAATGTTGCCTGAAGAGATTGGCGTACCCAAGCCCGGCCCAGTGCTAAAGTGGCTGCGAGCCAAGGAGGAATGGGATACGAAGTTTGCAAAGCAGAAATCCGCGGTGCAACGGCAAAGGCTGCAAGAGATTCAGCAGGGAGTTGGCGTATTCCGCTATGGTGAATATCCTCCACCAAGTTCATTAGCATCGAGAAAGGACATATCTGTCGCCTACGAAGAGGAAGAATACAAGAAGAGCCATGGTATGTGGCTGTGGAGCCTCATAGCAAGCAAACATGATACGGCGGCTCTTGCAAAAGCACAAACAGTGGGAGAAGCGGATATCCGTGTTGGCCCACAACCCAGTTTGCACGAATTGCCCTCCAGAAGGTATTCGCTCCGCAATCAAGTTTTGCCTCATGTCAAACGAAAACATAGGCATTCCCATCAGGAACGCACAGTATCAGATCTTGGCCAAGCGTCCGAATCCATGCCAGTTCTTGAGCCTCCCCCACGCTCGAGGAAACGATGCGACCCGCAATTCACCAGTTCAGGCTGTGATACGACAACTCCCAACCAACCTCCACCCGAGGAATTCCAGCTAGGATTATTGGCAGGTCCGCAATTTCTCAATCACGACGGCAGACGACCCTCATCCATCTACACGGATGACGCGAGTGTGAGGTCAATAAAGGATGCGGATGGTGTGATTTCGCCCCTCTTTAGAAGATCGAGGCCAGATGGTGAATTTAAAACTCAATGTGAGACCCCGAGTGTTGGGACAAATCCTGACCCATTTACGCCCGAACAGAATGACATGCAAAGCACTAGCGATCCTTCTGGCGTTGAGAGGAATGAAAAAACCACGCCCGTTGACGACCAGTTGCCTGTTAAAGAGGACACCGAGCTACGGGGCGACGCTAGCGGGGATACTTCCCAGGGGTGCAACTCCGGCAAACTCAAGAAATTGAAGTATGACTTCGAATTTGACGAGTAATATCCTTGGACATTGGGGCCATGATATTTCCCAGGTAGAGATTTCATCGCGCTTTTCTCGAAAGCAAAAGCAACTCTAAGTGTGATGCCAGGCCAAGGCAGGGCTCACAAAGCCATGTTGTTTTTCCTGGGGACTTGTTCTTGTTTTACACTTATTCATTCTTACTCTCTTGCTTTCATCTCTCCGCTTTCGTTTTCTGCCGTTCATTTCTCGCATGGTACGGGTATTGCTGTAGTTCATAATTTTTATTTCACCCCCATCCCCCCCCCCCCCCCGAGAGCCATGCTATTTATTGATCGCTATTTTCGGAGTTGGAGTGGACTATTGAGCTGCGGGTATCATATTCAGGTCTGTGTAAACGAGATATTAGCTAGCCGAAGGGACCTTCGCAGAAGGCCTCGTTGTCACTATGTTTGAGACAATGACATGACGAAATGTGATTGTAAAAATACAAATTATTGACCAACCAAGAACGGCTGTATTCTGTTATCGCCATTCCAACCCAACCTTGCGCACAATTTGCTCGGCGACATTCATAAACGCATTTCTCCTCGTGCTTTGCTGGTCGCTCTCTTCCGCCACAACTGTGGGATATCCCCTATCCGCATCTTCACACACTCGCGCATCAAGCGGAATGTCACCCAAGAAGTCTATCCCGAGCCGTTTACAAGCTGCCACCACCCCCCCACCATCGTGTAATTCAGAACCATGCGCGTGTCGCGCCTCTAGATCATCGCTAGGGGGCAGCGACAGTCCTCTCCTGGAGAATATCTTAGTCTCTTTGCCGCAATGTGGGCAGGCAAAATACGCCATGTTCCTAACCATGCCCAAGACGGGAACATGCAACTTTTCAAACAAGCCAAACCCTCGCACTGCGTCACGTAGAGCAATGTCCTGAGGCGTTGATACGATTACGGCTCCGTCGAGAATAATTTCCTGGCCAATCGTAAGTTGTACGTCGCCCGTCCCTGGAGGCAGGTCGAGGATGAGGATGTCGAGAGGACCCCAGGATACCGAGTGTAGAAGCTGATGCATTGCTTTGGTAACCATCAGTCCACGCCACGATATGGGAGTTGTATCCATTAGGGGTGAGGTTGGATCGTCCGTGAGATGTTTGGCGTCGGCAGGAGGAGGAGGAAGGAGATAGCCCATTGACATGGATCTGAGGCCGTAATTCGTAAGAGGGATGAGACAATTATCTGAAGTTTTAGAAACATAGTTAATCTGCATTAGTCTAGTAGATCAATTGATCTCAGGGGATTACAAAAGGGTCATACTTTCGTCAAGGCGCGGTTCTCCAGATAAGTTCAGAAGGGTCGGTATGGAAGGGCCAAAAATGTCGGTGTCGAGAATTCCGGTACGAATACCCCGACGGGCCATAGCCAGAGCAATATTTACTGTAAATATACTCAGCTAATTGTTCCCTAGGAACAAAACGTACCCCAACAGTGTGGCGCACCAGCAATTGTGGACTTTCCTACTCCCCCCTTAGCGGAAGAGACAGCAACAACCTTATTGACATCCCGAATTTTCCTCTTTTCTGGGAGACCTCGTCGACGAGGGAACGATGGAGGAGTTCCAGATCGGGGCAAGCCCTACTTATTACATCAGAATCGGACAAGATAATGTTAAGAACATGAAAGATGTACCAGCGGATTGTCATGATGAAGGGGTCGTAGCGTTGAAAAAAAGTGGCGACGCATTTTGGTTAGTGGTAATTGACTCTGATTTGCCTTCACTCTGGCGTATGATCACATCATGATAGCTGAATCTGACCCCAATTCAAATCTCCGTCATGTTTTGGAGGGCATACAGTTGGCCGCTGCTGGGCTTTTAGGAGGTTGATATTGGTCATGTGACTCGGCAATGCGGCCTGCTTTGCCGAAGCCCACGGAAGTTTTATTGCCCGCTAAGCCAAAAATATATCAATCATAATAATAATATGTGAGGAGGAAAAAAAAAAAAAGGATCACAACTCCACACCCGTTTCTTTGCCATACGGCGAGACTTGCCCCGTCAAAACAGTAATCATGGCAAAGAGACATGATCGGATGAAGTCTCTAGCAGAGCAAATTGCTGACCTAGAAGATCCAACTCCGAAAGGTGGGCTCTCATACTGTGCAAAAATTCTCTTGGTCTGTGCTGGTAACTGACAGCCGAGCTATATGTATAGACTTTGACCCAGAAGACTTAAATGACGGCGAAGAAAGCAGCGACAATCAATCATCTGGAACGGAGGATGGTAATGCTAACGCCGGCCGGGAGCATTACGTAGCTGTTGGGTGAGTGCGTCTGATTTCACTCTCAACTATCATTGACTGATAAATTTCTGGCTGACTCTGCCAACAGAAAGAGCAAGCTCCGCAAACCGGAAAGAATATCTCTCGGAAGCGAATATGCTGGGTCACGAGTTAGTAGAGAAGCACTTGAAGGCGACGGGAGCGAAGACGATACATTCCGCAAGATACAAGCGACGAGGTTATGTCCGAGTCAGCTGATGAGCTGGACGAATCGGAGAACGGACGAGTGGGAGAAGATAGTTCTGATGCAGAATCTGAGGATATGGATAATGGGCTAGGATCTGGTGGTGAGCTAGATGGAGTAACTGATTCTGAAGACGATCAAGAATTTGGGGAGAGCAATGATGACGAAACGAGCGCGCCGGCCGCATCAGACGATCGCGCTGAAATTAGGCGACTCATGGCTTCTGATCACAAAACTGTCGCAGCGTCATTATCTCAAGCTGCGAAGGCAGATGCTGCAAAGGGGAGTGCGATCAAGCGACAGCGGTCGGCGTTCGGTGCCATACTGAACGCACGTATCAAACTTCAGAAGGGCATTACAATTCTGAACGGTCTACCGTCTACGTCGAAGGATGATAACGCGATCGACCAGGCCTCAATCAAGTCTGCCGAAGCTGCGGCACTGGCCCTTTGGAGCACGATCGAAGATCTTCGACATGCACTTGTCGATGCCCAAACCAGCAGCATCTCTTCTAAAAAACGAAAACGTGGCCTGCATCCTTGTGCCTCCACCTCGTCGGCAGATATCTGGAACCGCATGGAAGAAATCGAAGCACAGTCACGGCCCCACCGCCGCGCAGTCCTGGATAAATGGGCATTAAAAACACGTGGCTCAAGGGCGGCACTGCCGAACGCCAGAGGTAAACTAATGAATCACGGAGCAGTTGACCAGCAAACAATAACTTCCGTACTGGATGCCCACATTGCAACAGAACTGGATAGTCACCCGTCCAAACGCACCATGACGGACAAGGTCCAACAACTTAAACAACCCAACGGCACTTCTGGCGCCTCACACGAGCTTAACGAGGTTTACGACGACTCTATTTTCTATCAGGCTCTCCTCCGCGACCTTGTGGAAGAACGAATGTCAGCCAACAGCGGCGTCGAGGCACTTCAGATGCAGCTTCCCTCTCGCCTTGCTATCCACCCCACCACTGGGATGCGCAAGGATAAGGTTAAAAGATCTGTGGATACCAAGGCATCCAAGGGCCGTAAGATGCGGTATACAGTTCATGAGAAACTGCAGAATTTCATGCCTCCAGAGGACAGAGGTACATGGGGAGATCGCGCCAGGGAGGAGTTCTTCGCTTCCTTGCTGGGGAGAAGTGCGCGGGCGGTTTTGGGTGAGGATGATGAGGATGAGGACAAGGTTATGGACGATGAGGAGGATGTTGAAGAGGATGGACTCAGACTCTTTCGGAGTTAGGAAATAGGATAGAGGCCATTAATATTTCGTTCCTTATTGTTAGATTATTATATCTATGCCTGCTCTCCATTTATCGAGTACCGGCTTACTGATGTCTATATGTTCTATCGTCGACGCAACGCCATATCCGGCAACGGCATTTATCCTCTACACGTATAAATCTTCGAAGGAGTGGAACGCTCCACAGTATGAACAATGTGCAACGGTAATCGTCCCACGACACTCACTCTCGCTCTTATTAAGCCTTAAAAAGGCTTTCCCATCACCTAATTGAAGAGCTATCAACAAGGAAGAAGCCTTACAGATCCGATGTCTGTTTAGACTAGTATGAATCGTGTTAATTATATTCCATGCCACTCGTTATGTTTGAAGTGATTGCTTGCTGTTAGAACGCTAGTTTCTATCATTTGTCTTGATTTGTCATATAGAAGTGAGGGACATGCAGTTTCAGAGCAATCCAGCTCGATATGTTCGATATCATGTAAACTGGTTGGCACTCGACGGATTTTTTTGCTATCCCATTTGTGAACCCTCCGGCATCGGGGCGCTTCAACAAAAAGAATATATCCGCATGCAAAGGCAGAAATAAACTAAAGACCACCCAAGAATCGCATTACCCACATTGCCCCTAACGGCAAACCTCAAACCTCGCACATGCTGAGGAGGGAGGCACTTCGCGTGGAAGACGGCTAATATATTACCCAAATGTATCCATGGTATGGTACATTTTTCGTTGTCGGCATTACCTGAGACAGCAGGGAATAAAGGCATAGTCGGTATGAGGCCGCCTGGGATATATTCATCTCCCCGCGCATTGCTTATCCTATTACGTCGATTTCAATTATTATGGACCAGAAACACTACCTACATACCATCCTCTGGCGTGGGTCCCCAAGCTAATAACAACGCGTATATTACTTTCACCATGCAAGCAAACCGGAGGCGTTACGCTCCGTTAGGCGCTTTTCAATCCAGCACAATATTTAAAACAGTGTGTCGACTAAAACAGGAAAAAGTCGTGCATTTCATTTGATCAGATAAATTCATCAAAAGTAAAAGAAAAAAGGAAAAAAGAAATAAGACAATGAAATTGGAAAAGGTGGGGTGGTGGTAATGCATCTATCGAGAGGTGGGGGGAGGGGAAGGCACTACCATTTCTACAAACGCCTTCTGAAGCAAGAAAAAGATTAGTCGAATATTTTGATGTGAAGCTCCCTGCCATCGGATTGGTGTGGTAACAAACTAGGGAATCTGCTCGAGATACCAAGATGCAAAGTCAGCGATGAGAATGCCAAATAATTAAAGACGAGAAGGGATAAGCGTAATTATATTATTTGAAGTCTCGCCGCAACAGGCACGGGAGACAAGGGATTTTAACGAAGGAGATAGGTTCCGAGGAAAGTAAGAGGAAGACCGCTCCCGTAGAAAACCCATTCGAGCCAACTGTATGAAAACTGAGCGTAATCAATAATCGTCTTCGGCTTGTTGATAGATATGACGGCTTCGTGTTGGATCCTTACGCATCTGTTGGCCAGAGCCAGTAAAACCAACTACATCAAGGGGGAAAAAATGAAAAAGAAGAGAGTCAGTGATTGATTTGAATTTCCATGAAATATGTTGCATGGAGTGTAGAGTTCAGCAAATGAGCGTATATATATTTAAGAAAAAAGGTGGGGTAGAGAAAATTCTCACCTCGAGCATTGATCCCTTCGGGAGTCCGAAACATGCTTTCCTTCTTCCCAGCCTTCCCGAGCTTACTCTTAGCCGCAAAATCCTGCCATTTGCTCTTCCCAGCCTCCAGTTCCCGATTGGCTCTGACTTTTCGGGGCACCTTAGCTGGGCGCATGGGGCCGTCGCCTGCCTTGCTTGGCTCCTTGCGCGCCTGGGTAGCCAGAGCTGGGTTGATATCTGCAGCAGCAGAAATTACGCTCGAATTGGCCGGAAGCGTCTGTGGGGATACGGAGCCTGATAGTCCATCAGCCTTGCGTTTTCGCGTGTCAATGATGGGTTTAATGTCTTTCGCAGTCAGGGTTTCAGTTGTCCCGTATGACTTGAAAGAAACAATGTAGATGGGATTTGTGGATGAGCCGGTTATGGATGTGATGCGGGCGGGATAGAATGTGTTATCTCCAGAGGCCCATCGGGCTAGGACATTATCATTTACGGATAAAGATACCGGAGGTGAGGGCTGGGGTTCTTCGGGAGGAGTGGGCTCAACGGTGGGTTTTCGGTAACCCGCTTGGTATGCCGGGTGGTTCTCTTTCGACCATTTTTCTTTTGCAGGAGGAGGGGAGGATTTCGGCTTCTGTGGAGAGGGTCGTAGCTCTGAGATGGATTGTTCCGTGAGGGATATGAATTCTTCAAGCTCAGTCTTCAGTCCCTGCAGTTCGGCATTATCTGGGTCTACCTGCAAACTCGATTGAACTGCCTCAAGCTATAGGATATATCAGTACCACGTAAAGCGTGTCTCTGGATTCGTAAGCGCGGAGGAACCTTGGGAATTCGAAGAAGGGAATGAAACTACGAGAAACATACCTGGACCTTGAATTCCTTCACTTCAGCCTCGAGGACGGCGAGCTCTGTGTTCATTTTTTGGACGTCACCCATGTAAAAAGCGACAGGTGGGTTAAAAGAAAACAGGAAACGATGCAACTCTAATGGAGACTGACGCTTCTTAGCAGAGGTATACAAAAGCAGCCTGGGCCAGAACTGTTGAGCGTAAATGCGACCACCGACAATGATGTGATGGGTGAGGCAAGAGAGTCCCGTGACGATCACCAGGCTGGCCAAAAAGGTTAGCGGAATCCGATACTTCCTATTACAGACTAGCGCGCAGCACACAGGTTGTTGGACACACCGGCAAGCAATATGGATAACTATGAATATAAAACAAAAAAAAAAACCTACCTCTGGCCCTAGGGTTGGCTCAGAGCAATATGAATGAAGACCACCTTGATGAAGAGACTCATGGTACTCGTGGAGAAACAGAACAAGTTGGAAACTCCGATTCTCTCACGCAGTCAGCATTTATACTTTTATATAGTTAGTTCACTAATCTGTTTCAATTTACAATTGAGAATCTATTTCCCTGATAGAGGATTTTCCAACTGATAATCTTTCATCATTATAGAAGAGAATAATAAGCTTGAATGAGAGATAGAAGTAATTCTTAATGAGAAAATCAATCATCCCTCTTATAAATATCTTATTAAATGAATCAAATACAATTGTCTGATGATCTGAGAACTCACATTTATTCTAAATAACTGTAAGAGGAGCAACGGAGGTATCTATATTAGGAAATAGCTACGTGGCGATAGAAGGGCATAGAACATCAGCGATTAGCTTTGAATATAAGAGATTGCTACCTTATTAATATCTTCGTGCGTACTTCACACTGCTCTTGTAACTACCCTTGTAGCCTACCTCTTACAATAACATCACTACTCTTGACATCTATAAATTATCACTTACTTCAGTTCTAACCTTCCTCACCTCACTCGGCATCCTAACATCCGCGCTTCGGTATCTAAAATAATGTATCTGAAAGGTTACACTCAACAGTGAGTGCTTAATGTAGTTGAGCATGGTTTCTGCAAAGCGGGGTCCACCTCTTTTTTTAAAAGGTCCGATTCCAAAAGAGACCCAGACTACGCCCTTGACAGATGACTTCCAGCAGCGATAAGATTGCTTAGTTAAAAAGCAGGGGGTGATTCAACGGTAGGTTTGTCCTGTGTTTTGCGGAGACGCATTTCAAAATTCTCATCAGCGCTATCATAGGAATCATTCGTATCAATATATTACATACGTATCGCTGAACCCACTCCACACATCTAGGGAGGATAAGCCACTAACACTACCGAAAGCCGAGGCATCGCTCTCCCAAAGTGATAGCCCAGAGAACTGGACGTACATACGGAGTACGGAGTACGGAGTACACAGCTCCGGAAATGGCATTTCCATTTCATATCATTGTTTGACGCAGTAGATAGATGGTTGGTTACATAGTAGAACAAGGCTGTTTGTTTCTAGCCCGCAATTTTGAAACCAAGGCTCCTCATGAACCCGGGGGCCTGGTCGAGACTGTATGTCAGCTGACCCCCGGGTAGTCAGGTACAGTGGCGGTTTTGCCGGAGATTGGATAGTGTGGCCCGAGCCGCCTGCCCGTGTTGGAGTATTAGTGGTTATGTACGGAAAATAGAAGTACAGCACATTGCGCTGTAGGATCATGCAGACTCAGCTATCGACTTTCTCCTTGTTTTTTCTCTTTTGTAGATGCACGTCTTCTGCTGCTACTGTTTCTTCGAGTTTGCCGCTTGCTTTGATTTTCGTTTTTATAACTTTTTCGAGATACCAACATGTCAATGGCCTCGTCCTCATCAAATACCCCACGGAAGCGGTTATCCCTGACTCCCGACTCAATTGTCGCCGAATATCCCATCCTGATAATGCTTACTCCTTAAATGCTGCTCACAGACTCCACAACACAGCGAGAGGAATCCATTTATGTGGCAAGGATGGCTGCTTCTGTGTTTTCGCCTCTCTAGCAGTCTACGATTCGGCACATCTTATGAAACGATACTGGTCAAGGCTGTGATTAACTATTTCTACGAATCTCTGTCAGCAATTAACCTGGAGAATGTTACAGCTTCGCCAGCCAGATGTGCCGGGCGTTGCATTCGTTTCTCGAACTTTCATAAGATCAGATTTTCAGCTTGGGATTGGGTAGTGTGTCATTCGCCCAATTTGCGATCATGTTCCCGGGCCAGAGAGAGGGAAATGCATCTGGGACGGCCATGCATTGTGAAGAACAATCCCCTGCATCTTGCAATTTCGAGGCTCTTCACAAAGTGCCTTTTATACCCCGCTGGATACTCCATGGATAGAGTCTCGTCCTCGTTCCCTGAAGGTGTGCCTCCTCTCACCTACACCTCTACTCTTGGATCTTGAAAATCCATACGGGGCACATACCCATCAACTCCTCTTGCCTCGTAACTAGGCGAATTCTGCGGTGGCCAATATGGTGATTACCGCTCTGTGCCAATTGACCTTGCTTGGGCTGGCAAGCGCCCAGGTTGTCAAACGTCCACTCCTCAACTCCGTCGATGAGTTGCTTCCCAAGATCGATGCTGTTCTACCGGCTGCGCAGAAGTACAGTTTGACGAAATGGACTACAGCTGAGGGTAAATACTTCAACCGTCTCCTTTCTTCTTCTAATCGAGCCACATCTCAGCGATTATATGCTAGTTGTAGCGTGGAGTAGCACCTTGTTGGTGGCCGGGAGGGTGGGTGGAAACCATCTACTGACTTCTTTCTTGCTTATTTGCAGTTGACCAAACGGTGTCACTTAACCAATTTTGGAAGGATACCCTTGAGGACAAAGACAGCGAATTCTATTGCAAAGATGACCTTACTGTCTACAATGTCACTTTCATCGATGTGAGAGAAAGCAATTATATTCCTTTGCACCTCCCTTTATAACATTTATTTCGCTAATTTTCCGAGTCTACAGTGTCCCGAGCCCTGGCTTGTCGGCCACTGCGCCAAGGCGGAGACAACCAAAGAAGCCACGTTTGACTTGCTTGGGCGTCTCCCGTCAAGTGCCCGTGGTGTGATATCTGATCTTCTGCTCACGGTAATGAGGCCAGGCTTCAGCATGCGAGCGGCCATTGACCATTCTGTGATTTTTGCATCAAGACCTGCACCATACGATGAGTTCAAAATGATGGTGACAGCACTCAGGATCGGATCGCCTGGCATCCCTGAAGACAAGTTTGCAGAGGCTGTTGCTGCTGACAGCTGTGTAGCTGATCAACCCGCTGCAGACAAAATTGAAAAGGATGGTAATTATGGAAGTGCTCTAGAGGCCGGTTTGACAGTCGTGGCGTACTTGAAACTCGTCAAAAGTCCTCCTTTGGACGCAAGCTGCATGCAAAAACAGCTCGACTTTCTGAAGCCGTATCTGGATGCAAGATGGGATGCGCCGGGCCAATGTCCGAATAAGGTGCCACCCAACATTGTCAAGTACAAGTAAGTACGCAACGTGTAAACCACTATTATGATTCCCTTGCGAAGAAATGTTGTCAGTGATGAGTTTCAATAACTAAGGAATACATTAGGCCTGTCGCGTTCCCGGATGGACTACAGGTACTCGATGTCGACCCTGTTCCGGCACCTCGTGCAACAGTGGTTCAATGGGACAAGTCTGATGGCTACCCTGAGCTTTGCTGGAATCTATCTCAATACCCTAAGATGGGCGGACCAGATCCGTGGTGTAAGGCTGAGAACCTGAATATTTACAATGTCACCTACTCAGACTGTCCGGATCAGGACCCCTGGGCCCTCTGCCATTGCAGTGACGCCCAAATTTCGGCGGATTCCATGGTGGTAAAGTTTGGTCGTCTGACTCCGGGCCTACGAAGCCATGTTCGCCATCTGCTTGTCATCAACTATGATGGTATCGGCGCCAGTGATAGTGCGCCAGACTATCAATTTATCGCTTCTGCAGGCGACGCTCCGGACAGCTCACTCATGACCGCTGCAACCACCATGCTTGCCGACGGATTCTACAACACCGATCCCTGGATAAACGCCATCTCACGGGATACATGCTGGCCGACGATGCCCTACAACGTCCAATTCCCATGGTATGAAATACTTTCTGCAACAGGTGCGATATATCTTTACGATAGCAGTGGCAAGTCGATGCTTGAGCGCGGGTATGATGTATCCTGCATGTCAAATGGGATGAGGGCGCTGGGAGCCTATCATGGTAGCGATTTTAAACAAGGAGGCAAATGCTTCAAGCGAAAACCCAACGACCCGATCGTTCACCCTGATACCAACAACCTTCTACCCTCAGGGCCAAATGCGGTTAGTGAGGAGATAGTGAAGAAGCTATTCCGCCCCTCCCCAGTCTGGAAGGAAATAAGAAAAAATAATTAGGGGGTAGTTAGTTCATCAGGTGTCTTGATAGTGCCTGATTTTCAAGGCTTTTCTTCTTTGATGGTAAAGAGAATGGCGTGATTGACTGGAAGAGAAAGGGTCCTTGATAACTTTAAGTTATTAGCTAGGATTTTTTCCTTTCGATGGACGATGGGTTTCTTCAATTGAGGGACCACTTTGTAATTAATTCGTTGAAGAGTTTTCAATGATAATGTCATATTCTTCCGCAAAAAATGCGTTGAGAATGCACCTCACGTTGGCTGACCTAATATATTAGTTAACTAATCCGGGCCTAGAGCGTTGCCTACATATGTTAGCTGGAGGTAAATCCTCAACCTCAGGACTTCATTTCCTAACCCATATATGACCAGGTTATTATTTGAGAATTTTCTATTCATCCGAACTGCCATGTTTCCGCTATATACCATAACTTCAATGAGCAAATTCTTCTGCGGTGACCCGTTTCTCCGCTTTCTGGCTTGGACCTCCCCGACCTCCCCTACGACCACATATCCAGAGAACTTGAAGTACTTCAACACACACCCCCATGGCAGGAGAACAACATGCCATGAGGTTTTTACGATAGGTAGGATAAATGAAACCTGGGCACTTAAGAAGATAAGACGAGCCAGAGAGAGGCAAAAAAAGGGAAAGAAAGAGAAAAATAAACAAAGAAAGAATGGGACTTGGAGGGGAAGCCAGGGGCAAAAGGACAACAATGATGCTGCTCCTTGAACTGTTCACTCACCCGCTCTCTGTATCGTGACCTCAATCTGCAGCCTGAATTGGACTGCCTCAGGCCACATCCATTCAATTAATTCATTCGGCATACATGCAGCACATGATGGCATATAGTTATTGTAATACATGTACTGTACTATCAATTAACAGCTCTAGTGAAATACTATTCCAACACTGAAGATATGATTGATATAAGAAACTTAATGAAGTCTTCGAAAATCTTCTTTCTAATCAGAAAAAGTAGATTCTCAATTTCTCAGAACAGTGACTAAATTGTGTTTATCAGAGCAATATCAGAAGCCCCCTCAGCAAGAATTAGATGATATTGCAATCGCTACTGCTTTGGTGACTGAACTATTTGCAGCTTGAATTTATCAATTTCATCAAGAACCTCACGTTCTGAGTGGATTATGAAGCTCAACAAACATTTTTAGAATTAGCTATCTGATATGATATATTCAATCTATATCGTTGTTGAGACAACTATTTTTGAAAATAGTGTCACCTCGGAGCGTTGGAAGCAGGCGCCAAGTGGTGGATTAACTACGCTAGTATCTTATCAAAAAAGTTTAAGCTCGTTGATGGCTCGGCATTTGCCATGGTTGCAAATTTTGAGTTTCCATTCCCTTATCCACATACAATTTTTTTTCTAGCCGCGTTAAGACAACATGCAGAAAAGTAGAGACAAGTGCCATTTGGGAAATGTGACATTCAGAGAAGAGAAATGCCTGATCGTAGCATTCGAAAACGAGGCGCTCTTACCGGCCACATTCACACCCCGAACAGAGGCTTTCCCGCGCCGTCAGATCACGGGCTGAGAATTTGCCGGACAAGGGGCTGCTTTCTCATTGGGGGCTCGTGTCTGAACGGCATCGGAGTCGGGGCAACTCTGTCCGGTCGAAGGCTGGAACCAAAGGCTTGAGTCATTCCTAAAGTTTCTCTGCGGAAGAAAGCTGACGTAGGTGGAGACCCCCAGCTGCAAAGGCGTGGCGCTAGAAGGGGTGAAAAAGTTTCCAGGGGAAAGACGCAGAAACAAAGAGAAGTCCGTCCAAGGGAGTCCTGAGGGCACTGAAGGGGCAATGGCAATGGCAAAGGGGACTGATCAGAGATGCGACAGCCTACAGCCTGAAGCCTGAAGCCTGAAGCCGACGCCCTGTTTGAAGCCTGGACGACCAAGATGGTGAATTCCAAGCTCCAACATCTCACGGAACATTGCACCGCGATGAGTGGGAGTCCGCTCCTTTTAAAGCGCGAGCCACCGATCGGGCTTCGGAGGCCCGGGGAAGGGTTCAGGGAAGGGTTCAGGGAAGGACTCAGAGAATCCGACGCCGGATACGACCTCCCCCACGGCTGGATTTATAATCACCAGGCGGCGCCTCTAAACCGGCACGAAGCAATTGCCCGATGTCACCTAGCGGCCTCTGCCGTCGTGCCAATCGACCGCGATCGTCGACCCCTCAATGCACTCCAATTGGCCAATGGGCCTGGTCTGGGCCGCGGTGCTGCTTTTGCGGCCGGTTAGTCCCTCATCCAGGCCTCAGGCCTCAGCCGCTGGGAAGTTTGCCCTGTGACGGGTAAAGCGTGCTCTGTTGCTCCTCCTCGCACATCCATCATTCGGCATCATCAATCATCAATCATCAATCATCATTCCTCATTCCTCATTCCTCATTCCTCAGTCCTCATTCTGTCCCTCTCCCACACCATCGAACCATACCCTCGTTGCTTCTCCCCTAACCGCCCCGTCACTGCCCTTAGTAGCAACATAAGACCTGGAGCTGCTCAGGTCCATCTCAGCTCATCTCTTCATTGCCTCCCATCGCATTCGTCTGGAACAAGCCCAGGAACGTCCCTCCGTTCTCGCCAGAGACGGCCCTCTGGAACCCATTTTCTCTGTTTCATCCATTCTCAGCTAGTTCCTCCGGGGAATATCTCGTCATTGGCCTGTTTCTTCTGCCTTGAAAAAATAGCCTCGGATTAATTTCAAGCCTTCGCTTGCGTCATAGCCTCAACTGCCTGAGCGGTCTTCCTCCTGGCACCCCCGCGGAAAGCGAGGGAAAAGAAGAATTCCAGCTCGTCTTCCTTCTTCCTCTCTTTCTTCACATCTCCTCGTCCTGAGAGTTCCCCTTCGTCCTCCCTTCAACAACCTCTCTGTCCGACCTCTGCTTGGACAAATTTCCGTACTACCCGGATTTTCCCTCTTTCTCTCCCCCGGACTTGCCTCCCAACAGAACTTTTACCAGCGTGCTTTGTTGTGCCATCTGCGCCCAGGGACTCCGATTTCAACGAACTTCCCACGCCTCTTAACACCTACCTTCTAAACTATTGTCGAGTTAGATATTTCCGAAAGCGGCTCGATTGCGTCTGACGCCTGATATTTGCCCACCTTGGCAGATGGCCATAGCTTGATCATCTTCACTAGTTTCCCTCCAGGCCAACCTCTTATTGAAAATTTTTTAAACTCTCCTCTTTTACAATCCTCTTTTCTTCCAACAGCGTAATTCCAATAGTCTTCGCTGTTGAGTCGTTGAATTTCACGAGTTACTCTGTGTACGGATACGTTGGCGATGTCGGATTTCGATTCCCTCTATCAACGCAGTCTGTATCTGTCGCCGGACCAACAGGACCTTCTCCTCGCAGCACTTGCCTCTGGCGATAAAACCGCCAAGATGGCCAACGGCCAGTCTCAACCTAATCCCCCATCGGAAGCCCAATTTCCAGACTCTCGGCCCAACTCATCCTCTCCGCAAGTTAACTCTTTTGACAATACTGGGATATCCAACCGGGATATATTTGAATCCCCACCGGATGAGCCTCTTGACATTGCACAGCTAGGTTTTGAAGGGAGCCCCTTTTTGGGTTTCGACCTTGACGTGGATTTTGACCCACGTGAGGATTTGATTGGGGATCTCCCTGGGCCTTCACCAAATGGTGACGATATCGAACAGGGGGAAAAGAGGAAAAGCATTGACGGGAATGAGGAGGCGGAGGGTGGAAAGAAACGAAGAGAGACCGATGACAAAATGGCTAAGAAGCCTGGCCGAAAGCCGTTGACGTCGGAGCCAACTACCGTATGTGCTTTGATACCTTCCCCCCATCCCTATCTACCCTCCTAACGTTCACCTTTCATCAATTCCCCGAGGGGTCATCCTTTGGTAGGAAATAGTTATGTCTGTTTTGCTTAATGATATCCTCGTGGTAGAAACGTAAGGCGCAAAATCGAGCGGCTCAACGAGCTTTCCGGGAACGAAAAGAGAAACATCTCAAGGATCTCGAAACAAAGGTGGAAGAGCTGGAAAAAATTTCCCAGTCGACGAATACTGAAAATAAACTTCTTCGTGCTCAAGTTGAAAGGCTCCAAGGCGAAGTGAAGGAGTATCGCAAACGTCTGCCATGGGTAAACGGGGGAACCAGTTTGCTGCCGACGACGAGCTCTAGAATGCGTGGTTCGGAATATAGAGATAATTCCCTTCTCAATGGCAATGACTTCTCCTTCCAATTCCCCAAATTTGGCGATCTCCCTGGTTCTCACATGTTTGGCGATGGTTTACCAAAGGCGCCATCCCATCAAGCCAAGCGTGGAAGCGCATCTCCGACCATTCTTGGATATGATTACAGGACACCCGCAACTAGTGTAAACTCATTCAAAAGCGCAAACGTCGCATCACAACCGCAAAATTTTAACCTTGGAAATACCCCTCAATTTGTGCGAACGCCCGATAGTATGCATTCAGCAGACACCGCCAAATCACAACGCCGAAACACGACTGGCATAGAAAACATCAATGGGTCTTTTGACAACTACCCAGGCCGCCCGTCTAGAAATAACACGGGTTTATCCTATACTAGTACTAGATCTGGCACCAATTCTAACAACTATGCAACGTATCAAATACAGAATTACGGCAGTTCCAACGCTTCAAATTCCGCCTCTCCCTCCGCCTCTTCAGAATCTCAGCATCTCTCATCTATAGGTACATCGCCAGAACCCAGTGTGAGCTCACCATCAATTGGGAAACTTGCGGAGTCCGGATTGAACACAATTAATGAACAAAACGGAAATCATCCGGAGGGAGAAGGTGAGAAATCCTTCTACGAAAAGCTTGGCCGGGCCTGCGGTTGCGCTGAGAACCCAGTTCCTGCTGCCTTGTCAGATTCTAATCGTCTTCCCAAACTTCCAGATCATAACAATCATAACAACAACACCAATAACAGCAGTAACAACAACATCAACTTCCCAGGAGATGGCCTGCTAGGGATCGACTGGCTCGCCCAACAAAATGGCGGCCAATTTGACCCTGTCCTGTTCGGTGACTACCGCGATCCCCAAGACGCGGTTCTCTCACAAGACTTTGGAAATTTCTTCAACGACGCGCTGCCGTTTCCCGAGTTTGGAGGTTCACTGGATTCACTCAATGAGCTGAGCAACGGTAACGCCACAACCACCTTGTCATCCACAACACCGCAGAAACATGACCTGCTCAAACAAATCGATAACGTTGTCGAGGGGAAGGATGATGAGGAGGTTGTGCCAGCAGAGGACCCCTCGCAGATGTTATCTTGCACAAAGATATGGTATGCGATTAGTATATTTTATTATTTCTATTACTATTTTATCTGCCATCCACCGCCATTGGTGCCCTCACGGTCCAACTCTGTGTCTAACACCTCACAATCTAGGGACCGGTTACAATCGATGGAGAAATTCCGCAACGGCGAGATTGACGTGGATAGCTTGTGCAGTGAATTGCGGACAAAAGCGCGCTGTTCGGAGGGTGGTGTTGTGGTTAAGCAGGATGATGTGGAGGCTATCATCTCTCGCGCGGAGTAGGGTGCGTGTAAGGAAACGCTATCTAATATGAAAATAATATGCTATATATACTAGTACTTGTTTATTTACCCATGGATGTACCTGAGCAGTTTTTTGATTCTGTTGTTGTTTTTTTGAAGGAAAGTAATCTGACACGCGGTAAAAAGGGTCATGAACTAGTTTAAAGAGGTTGGAAATAGTATATATGAATCAAGGCAATATGGCAAGAAAGGGCGGGCGGGAGAGAGATTAGGAACAAGGAATACATATATTGCGATGAGACAAGAATTTCAAATCCCAAAGCAAAAATTCCTTTTTACATATTTGCATTGTCATCACCATCGTCATCACTTTTATTACCATTATTCTCCGCATTTATGTACTGCACATGCGAAGCCCCCTCCCTCTCTTTGTTTTTGCGTTGCCCTCTTTGCCTCCTGCATAGAGTAGGTATGTATGACATTGGGACTCTATGTAAGTGACGAACCGCTATGCCAACAAAGGGTTAATCCTCAACGGTGGAGTCGCCAATATTAAGATCTCAGTAATAAACATGTTTCTTTCCTTTCATGAGTGCATTTTCTATATGGGCGTGCATGTTTATTTAGTCTTACCAATGCTGCACTCACTCATTTTTCCCCCTCGCATTTTGCCTTTGTTGGCCGTCCGCTTTTATAGATTCCACTCTTTGTGCGCCAAATCAGCCGGTGCATTCGACTGGCTTTTCTGACTCCCTGATTCTGGTGTCTGTTTGGGTTAAGTTCCTTTCAATCAATCGTCTACATTTAGAAGCTGAGGCGTTTGTTTTGGATTACTACGATGCTATTCTAGCCAGGCGCTTCGCAAGCTTATAGAGCTCCTAACCTGCCCTGCTTTTATGCGGCAATGCAATGCTCCACTCATGCACACTGCACATCAATGAAATTACCCCCATCTATATACCTACAGTCGACAGACAAAGAGGCAGATAGGAGTAGTGCCTACCTAGTACTTCCTAGTTAAACCCTCCCCCATTGATCCCCATCAAGCGGATGACCTAATCATACCACGTGATCCGAGCCTCAACCTTCGCCATATCAACTTCGGATCCCTTTTCCTTTTGGTTCTGTAACCTCATCACCAAATAACCCGCGGGTTCTCTCTCTGCTCTTCTCTCGCTGCGACTTCTCTTCTCCTCTCTTCTCCGTTCCGTTGCCTGTTCTCCGGAACGTTGTCCTCCGGATCTTCTAACGTAACCCCCCAGTACTCCCCCTTTCCCTGCCCTTAATATTCCGCTGTTTTTGCCTTCTTTCCTCGTCTTTTCCTCTTCGCGCGAAATAACCCTCCTCCCCTTTGGTTTCAAAGGCCTTGCATCTTACACTTACACGTTGCAGCACATTGCCTTCTCTCCAGCAGAGCTCACCTCTTTATTTATAATCCATATTGATTTTGGCATCCGCCTCGGGGGAACCCAAGTGGTAAAAAGGCTAGCTTTCGGCACATCCAATCCCGGTCAAAACTTGCATCCATCTTGACGTATCTTTCTGTCGCCTTCTTTCTTTCCTTTCATTGTTGCTTTTTTGCGTTCTTTCAAAACTGTCCATCTATTCTTGTCCCAGATTAATTGGTGACGAAGTGACCGAACCGATCAAGTGCCTGAACGCTGAACCGCCAAACCGGACAAAAAAAAAAGAGGAAGCGCGTATCTACACCACCCTCTCCCCGCCTCCTCTTTCATTTTCTCAACTGTTAACATCCATCAACCTGTTTGCCTTTCCTCCTGTCTATCCATATGGCTTCAGTATGTTTTCTCCCCAATCCTCCAAGTAGCCTACCTTATCGACATAAGCCGTCCTCTCGTGAACAAACCTTCTCCAACAGCTCCCTCAATCCTTCCGCACTCTCGTTATTTTTTATTTTTTTATTATTTTTTTTTGGGAACGCGTGTATTCCAAGAGACGATCGCTAACTTTCGGCGAAACGCACAAAAATAATAGCCCCGTCCCGCCCACACCTTTAACAACCCGGGTTACAATCTTGCCAACGGATCGACGAGCGGCCCCACTCCCGGAGCTACTGCGCTGCTCCCAAATAATGGCAGAGTGATTCAGACCGGTGGTGTGCGAGTGCTTTGCGTTGCGGATGTGCGAGGTATGCAGATTGCTGATCAACGATTCCTCTTTCTTGATCTATGTATTTTTGGCTTCTGGGCAAAAAGGAAGAAAAGTTCACTTGATTGTGTGGGAGGATATATATAGGCTTTTGAACATCATATATCTATCTGTTTATGTGTTGATGAGCCCCCCGACTAACGAGAGCCTTTCAAATGGTCTTAGGAAACTTAAAGTCACTCAATGAACTTGCCAAGCAGGCTCGCGCGGATCATATTATCCATACTGGCGACTTTGGATTTTATGATGATAGCTCTCTCGAGAGGATTGCGGAGAAGTATGTTTTTTTCTTTTCTTTTCTTTTTTTTTGGACCCATTCCCTACTTCAATTTCACAAATGTACACCTCCTAATTATGCTTTTTAACTAACCGAATTGATTTTTTTTTACGCCCTTTGCAGGACATTGAGACACGTTGTTCAATACTCTCCTCTCCTTCCAGAGACAACCAAGAAAAGCATTGCCCAAGTTCCATCTCAGCAATCCATCAAACAACGATTCAGCCCAGAACAACTCCCCCTCTCCGAACTCCCGCTATTGCTCAACAAGCAATTGACACTCGACATTCCCGTATACACCGTTTGGGGCGCTTGTGAGGATGTACGGGTACTGGAAAAGTTCAGGTCCGGCGAATATAAGGTCGACAAACTACACATCATCGATGAAGCCAGCTCGAGGTTGCTGGATGTCGGTGGGGTGAAACTCCGCCTCCTTGGCCTGGGAGGTGCGGTGGTTATGCATAAGCTGTTCGATAATGGAGAGGGCAAGACAACGATCGCGGGCGGGCAGGGAACTATGTGGACAACGCTTCTGCAGATGGGCGAATTGGTTGATACCGCAAACCGCGTCTATGACCCATCTGAGACTCGTGTTTTCGTCACGCACGCCTCGCCAGCTCGCGAGGGCATGTTGAACCAACTCTCGGTCACACTCAAGGCTGATTTCTCCATTTCGGCCGGGTTGCATTTCAGATACGGCAGTTCATATAACGAATTCAGCGTTAATCCTACTCTGGACCATTATCGTGGCAAATTGGCGGCATCCAAGGCTTCGTTTAACGACGTGTGGGACACAGTTAAGGGCGAGGTCGAGACTGCCATAAATGCCAACGAGGCCCAGAGAACTCTATTGGACAATGCACTAAATATCGTTGAGAAGATGCCGACAATCGCGAATGGTGGGAACCCCTTCGGAGGCCCTGTCGCAGCGAGCAATGCCGGCGGCCAGGTTGATGAGAGTGCGTTCAAAAACATGTGGAATTTCAACCTGGCGGATGCTGCTTTCGGATACTTGGTTCTGGAAATCGATTGTGGGCGTATCGGCACGGAAATGCGTGCCCAGGGCTTCAACTTCTCACATCGTACCGGCAAGCAAGCAACCGCCGCACCCCCCATAACCCAACAACCATCGACCGTGCCGGGCGCGCCGGGTCCTGGTGCTCACCCCGGACAACCAAGACCAACCGGCGGCGTTCAATTCGGACAGACGCCAGTACCGAACCGTGGTGGCGCTGGGACCACGTATCAACAGCCAACGCAGCCTCCACCCGCGCAAAACAAACCGGCGGGGCCGCTTCCTCCGAAAACAACCGCATCACCAGCGCCCGTAATTCCGAACAATAAAATTAATAAGCCCGCAACACCTCAGCCCACCGGGGCGAATGTCAACGTCCCCGCAAGCTCGACAGACAAAGCCAACGAGTCCAACGGCACAGCTCACGGTGCCGGTGACAGGACCGATTCCAGGAATGACTCCAGAACAGGGCCCCCTCAAGAACGCAAACAAAGCAGCGGCCTCTTCATCTCGAACGTAGACTCCGAACAAGCAATCCGCGACCTATTCACCGACGACGACAAAGCCAAGATCCTCAAGGTAGAGAAATGGGGCAAATTCAACCATGTGGTGACCTTCTCTACTCCCGAGGAAGCAAAGAGTGCCTTGGACCGACTACCAGCTGACCACAAGAAACCAAGCCCGCCGGGTCCGAACCGGAAGCCGAACGTGAAGATGTTTGAGGATCGCGGGAGCCGAAGGGATATTAATCGTGGGGATGGCAACGCGGGGACGTGGCAGGCTAGCAACCGCGGCGGTGGTGCGGCGGGCGCGACTGCTGCGAACGTCGGACAGCGGAGTGGGTATCAGAGTGGCAGCGCTTCGAGCGATCTGGATATCGGACGGGGTCGTGGTGGGTTTGGTGGTGGGCGAGGTCGGGGTGGACGAGGTGGAGACAGAGGTGGACGGGGCGGGGATAGAGGCGCAAGGGGTGGCCGCGGTGGGTATGGAGGTGCTGGCGATCGCGGTGAACTGCGGGAGCGCGGTGGTGCTTCTGGTGCTGCTGGTGGGAAGGGTGAGTCGCTGGCTCCTGCTACCACGACGCCAGCACCAGCCCCTGCGGGAGAGGCGAAAGGGGGTGACTAAATGCGGAGTCCGTTTGATTTTGTATGTGGACGGGATGGATATGGTTGGGTTTGGGCTGTTTTCTATCTGTTTTCTTCCTTTTTTTTTTTTTTTTTAAATGTGATGTGATCGTGTGTAAAACTGTTTTTTTTCTTCTCATTTTTTAATCTAAAGTTTATGTTATCCTCATTTTCAAATCCTTTCTTCCCCCTCGAACTATTCAGCTCCTCCTCCTGTTTTTCCGTCCGTTCTTTATGGTCACAAAATCCTTTCTTGCTTTCATTTCGTTTTTTTTTTTTTTTTTTTTTTCCCTTTTCTCCTTTTCTCACTTCATTCTAAAGAATTTCGTTTCATACATACATACCACAACTGCTACAACTACAACTACAACTACAAGAACAACAACAACTACTACTTCTACTACTACTAGTACCACGCACCTCGAGCTACTCCATATACCTACTACGTAGGCACCTACTTCTCAAGTGGTGTCTATACTGCCGCATCCCCTCATCGACGGGGTTAGAAAAATAGGCAAGCAAGCAAGCAAGCAAGGAACAAGGACAAGAGAATAAATCAGAAGAAAAAAATGATGTGTTTCGTTTTAAATTGAAGTGGCTCACCATACCATGCCCTCTCACTTCCTATTAGTGAGCTGGAAAACTGCTAGGGCATGTCAATATGTTTATATATATATGTGTGTGTGTATGTATGTATATGTTAAGGGAGGCTGATGTAGTTGCATGGATCTAGACAAGGGCATTGCGATCGATCCGGTCGATCATCGTGAATAGAAAAAAATAAAAAATAAAAAATAGTAATAATAAATAAATAAGAAAGTTTGATCCGCACCCATGTTTCCCCCCGAATTTATAACAGCCCTGCCGATGTATATGGATTTTCGCTAGGAGATACATACACACACGTTCATCGATCTATAGAGAATATAGTTTTTCGCATTATATGGGCGGTTTGGTCTCCTTTTCTCATTTGATATGTGTTCTTCCACGGGGAAATGAATGTATGGACAATCCCTCCCTCCCTTCTCCGCCCTAAGGCTTCCCCTTTGAAGGATTTTTTTCTTAGGCCACGGATTGCACTGCGACGCTCCCTTCAGCTGGGACTACAGTTTTGTCTTATGGCTAGATAAATGCAAGTAAAGAACAAGAATGGAGTGTTGGTTAGCATTAGCATGGAATCTCTGAGGGGCGAAAAGGCAAAAAAAAAAAAAAAAGGAATGATAGAAGAGATATCTCACCATTTGCATAAAATATATAATTATCGGCATTCCGAAACGCCATATCAGGCGTTAGCGCGATCGACGCGTCTTCACCGTAGGCAATATCAGTCGTGGCGGGATAGTATACGGCGTCGATATGCGAGAACTCGTGGATGACAGTCAACGCTCGGTCCCCTGAATCGCACTCATGTGATGACACACCAGCCGAATAGAAGATTGGACAATTGACAACGATATTCGATCCCGAGACTGCATAGGCGATCGCGCCCGGACGGGAGCAAACGTTCATTGCATCATGGCACTGGTACTTGACTGTTCCGGCAATTGAGCTTTCGGCTTCGTTGGCGATGGCGCGGAAGCGGTCAGAAACCTGTTTGCGGATGGTGCGGTCTGTCGTGCGGAAATATTGCTCAAATAGTCGCGCATCGCCGTGTTGAGCGGCGCTGGAAGCTTGTGTAGCGATGTTGGAGGCTCTTTTCAGTGCGCGGGCGATGACGGCCTTTTGCTGGTCGTTACAGCCACCGTTGCCAAAGTCGGCGCGGCGGGCTAAATTGTGGTGTTTGGCGCGGGCGGAAAGAATGTTGGATGATTGTTTGTCATTGACCTTTATTCTGATTTCGTTGGACTTATACGGGATGATGCCGGCGATACGTGTGGATTTGGCATCTCTGAAAGGGAATATGCCCTCGGCAGAGACAATGTAAGTGCTGTTTTCCGAGAGGTCGAAGGTTTCCGCGAGGTCGAGTTCGGTTTCGATGGTTTGCCCAGGGGCAATGGGTTGGAAGGCATCTCTGGTTAGACTGGAGGGGTAGTGGCGGATGTGAATGCCTTTGAAGGGCACTTCTTTTTCGGAGCCTGCGACGTATTGGCTTGAGAAGGTGATTCAAGTGTTCATGGAAGACAAGGATGTAACATACCTTCTTTGTAGACTGTGACCTTCTTCGTGGGAGATTTGTCAAGGAGTGTGTTCACTATAAGAACAGGGGTCTCTGAAGTGCCAGTGTTCGTCACGGAAACATGGACCTTGCTATTCCCGGTTGCGGACAGGCTGACATTGAGGCCCTCAGAACGGAGCCTAATGGAGGTAATGGCGTTGGAGTATACAGGAGCGAGCAGTCCAGCTGCTACCAATAGAATCGAAGATAAGTGCATATTAATAAGGAATGAACAAAGGAAAGCTATGGAGGAAGTAAAAACAATATAAGGGTGGGAGAACAGAGACAAAGAAACAAGAAATAAGCACAAGCAAATAGAGAAATGTGAGAAACGAAGGTGATGAGGGAAACGAGGTGGGACAGTGAGTTATCTTCATTGTTCACCAAGATGCTCCAACAGGAGGATTATTGAGCATGAAGCTCCGGTTCCATGAGTGGAAATGTTGGCGGGTCGGTTGAACTTTATCGAGAGGCAGCCCTCGCAAGGCTGAGATCGAGGCCATATTTAGTTTTTCACCTCGAATTCTCTTCCCGGTGTTGGTAACGGAGGACCTGAACGTGCCTGACGGGCATGTGATTTTTGGCAGAAGGCGATTTCCTAGCCATAGTCAGAACAGCCCCACAGTCGGTAATCGAATGTTTGATAAAACCAGTGGGTTGATATTCCTTGACGTTTAAGAGGGTCCAGAGCGGAGAATATGCAAGTCCAGAGTGGGGACAGCGGGGAAGATTTGCCTCCTTGTTTGCCTTTTTTTTTTTTTTTTTTTTTTTTTTTTTTTTTTTGAAAGGTTTGAGAGGAGCACATCCCCAGAGGGTCCATAATGCTCAAATTCCAGAATCTTGCGTGACCACCTCGGTTCACGAGAGTTGCTGCTAAGAAGTGCTGAAACTTGTAAGGAACTGGCTGTTGGGTCAACTTAGATAGCTCCGACAATTATAGTGATAGGAAGGAAGGGATTGGAGATCTTGCGTATCATGTTTCAATATAGAATGACTTGAAACCTCGCAAGTTGCAACTCTGAGCAAGCTCAGTTTGACGAGAAAAAAATTGACTAAATTACTCTCACGCACTTTTTCCAGTGCCAGTGTCAGCCAACAAGCTGCTAGGAGTAGGTACGCTGCGACTAATTCTGTTGAGGGTAGCTTAGGTACACGGGCTTCTCTCCTATCGGGCCCTTTTTAACTTGTACTTAAAATGAAAATTGTTTCCCGAGCCGAACTAGAATTGCTCCGGGAGTTTGGAATTGCATTGTATGCAGTACGTGCACATATGCCGATCCTAGCAGTAGCAGGCCACCTGCTGGCCTCACTATGATGCAGATGTTTGTGCAACATTCATGTCCCAATTTCCCTTCTTGATGGGACCTTAAGAGATGTGGCTGCGTGGACTTGAGCGATCTCTGGCACATTCTGTACTCAATGCGACAGTAGAGCTTGACATAGTTTATCGGGGTCATAGAGGTCATTCCAGGGAGACATTTTCTTCATTTCTCCATAAATCTGCGACAACGGACTCTTCCGTCCTGCGATGAGAGTTGATGAGGTTATGCGCCTCGAGGAATTTGTCCGCCAAACCTATTGAGCAGAGCCAAAGATAGAGCATCTCGGCACCATGGCCCCGGATGCAACGGATGAGTTCCTCAAGTTCGTGTGTTATTGGCTAAAGCATTCGACCGCTTGTCAATGAAAACTGAGAATCGCAGAAAACGGGCTTAAGTCCTTGTAAATGCAGGCCTAGACCAGCATGATGGTTTGAAAGGAGGCGTCTTCATGACGTAGGCTGGGTTCGGTGGACGACTCAAACCCTCCGCGACACGCGGGAAAAACGGCCAAGGAGTAATTTTTATTCAGCCTAATCCATGGTTTCCACCTGGAATGAACACCATATGCCCCTGTGGTGTTGTGGTTCCTGGGAATCGCCTGTATAAAAATCGTTGTGATGTTTGACTGAGAACTTGGACAATGCCAAGCTTCAGATGCTTTTGGTCCATGAGCTGACATAAGCACGCGTCCAACCATTCTCCCGTCACATCGACCGTTTGCGCATCCCAACCTCTCACCTCTATTGCTGGTCTTATATTCTTATCCTGCTGTGTGGTTTGGCGCTGGTTATCATCTTCTTAGCGGAATCAGGTTTTGTTTTGCTTGCGTCCCTTTCCTTCCGTTCTATTTCGAATACTGTCACAGGTTTGGGGATCCTAACGTCATCCAAACCCTCCACCGCTGCTCCTCAGATATTGAAATATTCCCTGTATCTTGATGATTTGACCCTCGTATAAAGGGCATCTACTTCAACAAGGGAGTGTTAGTGGTTGTGCTAGAATCTACGAATGCTCCTCCGGTGACTTCTGCCTGACGAAAATATCCAGCCATGCGCCTTGGCTGCTTGCCGCTCCTGGCGGGACTGGTAGCTGTTCAGTACAGCTCCGTCTTTGCGCAGGGAGAGACGAAGATTCACGAGGAGGGTCGCTGTGCGATTCGTGGCCACTGCGGCAAAAAGTCTTTTTTCGGTGGACAGTTGCCTTGTGTCGATAATGGATTTGCAAAAAAGCCAGCAGCAGATACACGAGCGAAACTGGTTTCGCTATGTGGAGATAAATGGAAGACGGGGAATGTTTGCTGCGACGACGATCAGGTATGAATCCGTTTTTTGGGTGAGAAGCTGTGCTTCCCAGCCCTACGCTGATTAGGGGATGTGACAGTTGAACTTACGTTTGTTTTGTTCTGCTTTTCCAACAGATTGCTGCTTTGTCCTCGAACCTGAAGCTGGCCGCGGGTATAATTGCCTCATGTCCGGCTTGCAAAGAAAACTTTTTCAACCTATTTTGTTCCTTCACGTGCTCTCCGAATCAGTCGCTTTTTATCAACGTTACACAAACAGACAAGATTAATGGGAGGACAGCGGTGACAGAGCTGGATAACTTGTGGTCAGAGGGATATCAGGCTGGTTTCTACGACAGCTGTAAGGATGTGAAAAACGGTGCTACGGGCGGCAAGGCAATGGACTTCATTGGTGGAGGAGCGAAAAATTATTCTCTGTTCTTGAAATTTTTGGGCGATAAGAAGCTGCTGGGCAGCCCCTTCCAAATCAATTTTGTGACAGGATCAAAGGGACACGAGGATTTGGGGATGCGACCTTTACCAGAGATTCCAAAAACGTGCAGTGATTCGGACGAGAAATATCGGTGTTCATGCGTCGACTGCCCCGCTGTTTGTCCCCAGTTACCAGCGTTGACAGAGGAGAGCTATTGCCATGTTGGGTATTTGCCCTGTTTATCTTTCTCTGTCATAGTCATCTATGCGGTGTTTTTGCTGCTCTTAGTCGCTGGAACTCTTGGTCATTTCGCCTTCCGGAGACGCCAACAACGAAAACTGGAACGGGTCAGGCTCCTACAAGATACAAGCCCAAGTGATGACGAAGATGAAGGTGATCTCATTGACGATGCTGGCATTCTCGACCGCCCTCAAACCAGTTATAGGCTAAATTCTATTTTCGATGCGATGTTTAACCGCCTTGGTGGTGCTTGTGCTCGTTTCCCGGCATTAACGATAACAACAAGCATTATATTATGTGGCTTGCTAAGCCTGGGATGGCTACGTTTCGCTGTCGAAATAGACCCTGTCAAACTCTGGGTGAGCCCAGACTCAGCTGCTGCGCGGGAGAAAGCATTTTTCGACGAGAATTTCGGGCCTTTCTTCAGAGCCGAACAAGCATTTCTCGTTAACGATACCCATCCAAGCGGACCAGGGCCTGTTTTAAGCTACGAAACGCTCAGTTGGTGGTTCGACGTGGAGAGTCGAGTTCGCCGCATGATTTCGTTGGACAAGGGGCTCTCTCTGGACGATATTTGTTTTAACCCGACCGGGAAGGCTTGTGTTGTCCAATCATTGACCGGATATTTTGGAGGCTCTTTCGCCAATGTCGACCCCAACACTTGGGAAACTCATTTGAAGCATTGCACAGAGTCTCCAGGCTCCGTAGAATGCCTTCCAGATTTCCAACAGCCCCTAAAACCAGAAATGATTCTCGGTGGTTATGGACAGACCGATAACGTGTTGAATGCCACCGCACTTGTTGTTACATGGGTGGTTAACAACCATGCCCCTGGCACAATAGCGGAGGCTGGAGCAATAGATTGGGAGGGTAGCTTGAAGAGAGTGCTCGAGGTGGTTCAAGAGGAAGCAACTGAACACGGTTTACGTGTTTCTTTCAACACTGAAATCAGCCTTGAGCAAGAATTGAATAAGTCTACGAACACGGATGCCAAAATTGTGGTAATCAGCTACGTAATTATGTTTCGTCTACGCTTCGTTAGCTCTTGGATCTACAACTTTGACTTGGAAAAGCATCCTCAGCAACCCGGCAAATAGTCTAGTGCAGTCGAAATTTACTCTTGGTATCGTCGGATATTGATCGTTCTGATGTCTGTCTCGGCTTCTGTTGGATTTTCTTCAGCAGCCGGAATCAAGGTGACGGTTATCATCGCAGAAGTGATCCCGTTTCTCGCCCTGTG